TGGAACCTGTCCTGAACTAACTCTTGTAGATCAGGCTGGTCTGGAACTCAAGAGATCCGCCTGCCAATTATATAATTTTATTATTTTTTAAAATTAAGTATGCGTTGGGGATGGCATGTGCATATGAACATAGGTGTTTTGGGATTCTCTGGAGCTTGAGTTATATGCAGTTCTGAGCTGGGAACCAAGCTCAGACTCTCAGTGAGAACAGTATGTGCTCTTAATCACTAAGTCATCTCTCCAACTCCCAAGCAATTATTTAAATAATTAAAATATTCCAACATGTAAATTTTCTTGTTTTCAGATCTAGGTAATGATTTTACCATGGTGATATACTTCCAGCTACAAATTACACTTGTATAAATCAGAACATATAATTAAAATTCTTTTTATTATTAGAGATTATTTAAAACTACATGAATGATCAATATATTCGTTCTTATTTTATTCTTTTTGGAGGGGGTTCGAGACAGGCAGGGTTTCTTTGTGTACACCTGGCTGTCCTGAACTTGCTCTGTAGACCAGGCTGAACTTAAACTCAGAGATGCACCTGCTTCTGCCCCTGATTGCTGTGATTAAAGGGATGTACCATGGATCAGCTGGTTTATTCTTTTGAAAGAGGGACTGGAGTCCAAATTGGCCTGGAACTTACCATGCAGCACAGCTTAAGCTTCAAACTAGGAGTTCCATTCACCATAGCTTCCCAACATGAGCCACCACACCCAGAAATTAATTCTTTCTTTCTTTCTTTCTAGATGAAAAAGCATGGACCACTTAACAGATCTGTGTGTCATGCTTGCACAGGGGCCATGCTAATATTTGTATTATTCCAATATTAGTATATATGCTACAAAAATTGAGTATCAGCAATAGTCTTCTATCAGCTAAAGCCAACAATATTTTGCTAGCAAGATCAAATCTTTAAAATGCCAGAAGGCAATGGAATGATGTTAACTACCTTTTGCAGTGTAGCTTTGACAACTACAGCTTCCCTAACTGGTGGGTTCTTGTGAGAAGCCTGCTGAACTTGGGAAAAAGCTAGCATCAGTGCCCAGATCCATAGCAGCTTAATAGTTTTCACTTACTATTTCTCCTAGCAGGACCACATTTTCTCCTCTGACCACAAAAATCCCTCGAGGAATATCACCGTACTTTTTGCCCACGTGAATGCGTTCCACAGTTTGATGCAGCACTAAGTTAGCTACAAGCACACAGAGAAGAAACAGTTATTTTTAAATTTCACTGATTACAACAAACCATTTAGGAGAATTTGTCCCCTTTCTTTTTATTATTTTTATTTTTTGAGGGGGAGAAGATCTTATTCTAGCCTCACCTGGCCTCGAATTCAAGCTGTCCCAAAATCTGTGATGATTCTCCTGCCTCAACCTCACATACATGGTTCAATTATGGCAGAAGTCACCATATGTTCAGTTTTAGGAGACATTCAAACAAAGAATATTTTCCATTATCTGGGCTAATGAATGAATGATGGTAGGAGTAAGTTACTTCTTACTATTTATTAACTGCTAGTATCAACAATGGTCACTAGAAAGACAGAAATAAATGCAAAACTTGAAAACTTGAGCCTAGACAACTGCTAAGATTCAAGCTCTGCTTTTCTGGAAGGAGAATTTTTCTTTAATGTGTGACTGTATGTAATGACTTAACTATTTAACTTTTGTTCAGTACTTATGATTCATGTAACCCAAATATAATTTTTAAGGACTATGACACAGCAAGAACCTTTCTTTACCTTGTCATATAAGCATACCTGGTAATCTCAATATTCACTATTTATCCCTTCAAAGCACTTTGATGAATTTAACTTAAGATTGAGAACACTAACCTGTAAGAATATTTTTCTTCTTTCAATTAGTACTATTTATTTTACTTGAAGTAAAGCAAAAATTGTTTGTATCTTTTTTTAAAATTTATTTTATGTACATTGGTATTTTGCCTGCACATATATCTGTGTGAGGGTGTTAAATCCCCTGTAACTGGAGTCATAACAGTTTTGAGCTTCCATGTGGTTGGTGAGAATTGAAACTGGGTTCTCTGGAAGAGCAGTCAGTGCTCTTAACCCCTGAGCCATCTCTCCAGCCCTGTGATGTTTGTATCTTATTGTCTTGGTTTGAGACAGTTCTTGATCTGTTCCCAAAGTGATCCCTTTGCCTCAGCCTAATACGTATCTGAGACATAGGCTTATGGCTGGCTGTTTATTAGCCTCTAAATTCCAGTGGTTCAGCTAAGTTTTTCCTCACATTCAAATCTGGTGATCTAGCTGATGACCTACAAATGACTCAAAAGCATCCTATACCAAAGGGAAACAGATTTCTTACTTAAGAAAATGCAGACTGCAAAATGAATACTAACTCATAAACCTGATATAGTCCTATATGTAAACTATTGAGTTTATTGTCCCCCTATCAACAAAGTTTTAGGAAATGGCCTCTATTTTCATGGGACAGGGAAGGATGACCACAGGAAATGACTTGAAGACTAACCTTTTTTTGTCATTTGGCTCCCTCTAATGGGGAAATAAAAACACTAGTGAAAATCAGTTTTAGTTCACTTTGCTGACACATGGAGAAAAGCTAGAGATAAGTACATGTCAATATAAAATGACACCAAAAAATTCAATAGGATTAAAGAGTGAGATCATAACAATACATACCAAACTGATCAATGCTTCTTAGAAAACCTATAAGTGTCCTTCCATCTCGAAGCAGGACCAAGTGCTTTTCTAGGGAAAGGAGAAAAGATCTTTAAAACCAAAGCGTCAATTTCAGTGAGCTTATATGGTAACAATAAAAATTCAGTTGCCAGCTGTTTAAGCTATACCAAACTCTCTTCTAATGTATTTAGGGTGGCGATTGTTGTAAAGCATGAGAGGGAAGACTAGGGAAACCTGGGAAAGACTCAGAATAGTACTGTAGAGTCAGAAAAGGACACTGAGCAGCCAGGAGGGAACTGGTTCCCGGCTCTGATATTTACATTTAACACTCTTAGTGTCATATAACTTCTCTACCTAAAACAGAAAAAGTTGGTCTAGGTGATTTTTATTATTCTGAAAGGATTTTACATAAACCAGTTAGGCTCAAATCCACTATATAGCTGAGAATGGCCTGGGTCCATCTAAGTTCTATTTACCTTTACCATCAGCTAGGTTTCTATTATATTAATCCAAGAAATATGTCAACATTTTCTTTCTCACATCTTGCCCCTACCCCACTTTTGTTTTCTGAGACAGGGTTTCTCTGTGTTGCCCATGGATGTCCTGGAACTAACTAACTCTCTTTGTAGACCAGGCTGGCCTCAGTGGTTAAAAGCACTGGCTGGTATCTTCCAGAGGTCCTGAGTTTGATTCCCAGCACCCACATGGTGGCTCTCAACTGCCTATAACTAGTTCCAGGGGATGCTACCTTCTCTTCTGGTCTTCCCCAGCAGCAGGCAAACTATATATATTCATACACATCTTTTTTTTTTTCCTTTAATGTTGCTTTTAAAATACTGTGTGAAAAGCCAGAGAGTGGTGGCAGCATGTCTTCAATCCCAATGCTTGGGAGGCAGAGGCAGGTGGATTTCTGTGAGTTGGTGGCCAGCCTGATTTACAAAGGGAATTCCAGGATAGCCAGGGATGTTACACAGAGAAATAAAAAAAACAAAACAAAACAAAAACAACAAAAACTGTTTGATAACCATAAACAGTTAAGAATTTATGGGGGGGGGAATTAAAGTGTGGGCTGGAGAGATGGCTCAAATGAGCATTTGTTGCCCTTATAGAGGATGAATTTGGTTACCAGCACCCACACTGTGGCTCACAACTGTCCTTAACTCCAATTGCAGAGGATTTGATGAAGAAAGGGGTATTTGACTTCATGGATACCAGGCATACACGCGGTACACGTACATGCAAAATTTGCATATACAAACAATAAAAATCCTTAAAGGACGAAATTGTATCCTCTTGGTTTGTACAGGACCTATTTTCACGAAAAGCAAAGTTGTCATATAGAAAAACTAAGTTTGAAGAGACAGCCTTTCTAGAAAAGTTAGTTATTGCGCCTGACACCTGCCCCACAATTTTAATTTCAAAGTGCTAATGACCCTCATAGGAAAAGACTGTAAGTGGCTACACAACAGCAAACCTGCGCTGACTGCTAATTAAATTCAACTGCTGCCGTCATAACATTTTCGGGTTTTGCTGGGTCCTCCCATAAGCACTCATCCATCCGCCGTCAAGTATAACTTGCAGTGAAAGGCAGGGTACGCGAAGAGAGTCGCCTGGGCCACTTCAGAGTTCGCACGTCGGATGCTGCGCCCCTCGGAAGGAGGAAGGAGTTCCACAGCGAGAGGGTCACCAGTCCGGGGGCAGAGGAGGCAGGTTAGGAATGGGCTGTGAGGCTGTGACGGCAGGCCGACCTCCCCACCGGGGCCCAGGCTCACTCTCGAAGCTCCGTCTCAAGGGCAGCCTTGAGGGTCCCACACCAGGCTTCCCCGGGGAGAGGTACTCACTGTCGATGTCCTCGATGAGGCTGGCAGTGCCCGGCATATAGTTCATTTTGAGCTCAGGCAAGGCTGCCCTGGACAGCCGCGGAGGGCGAGGGCATCCAGTCGCCCGTCGGCGGGATACGGACGGGAACCCGCCGCTCACCTGCAACTCAATTGCCGCTACTCGCCGGAAGCGCTTTCAGGTTCCCCCACCCACTTCCGGTATCGCCTGTCCGACCACAGAAAGAGGCGTGCCGGGCGAGCGGTCGTGGGCAGCGTTTCTCCCTCTGTGGGCAGCGAAGTGGAGCCCAGATCCGCGGGACCGAGGGCGGGCGGGGGACAGGCGCTTCCCCCCGCGTCACGGAGTACGGCGTCTCTCTCCGCTTTCCTGCTCCGAGCCCGGAGTCAGGGGAACGGTCCATCTCCGGCTCGGCGCTCGGCGTGCAGGGGGCGGGCCCGGCTCGGGATTGGCTGCAGCCGTCCGACCCCTTTCGCCGTCCGCCAGTACCCGTCGCCCGCAGGCGCCTGCGCAATGGGCCGGCCGTGGGGGGCGGGAAGCGCTTCGCGGCAGCGGAGCCCATGTCGGCCCTGAGGCGCTCGGGCTACGGCCCCAGCGATGGCCCTTCGTACGGCCGCTACTATGGGCCCGGGGGAGGCGATGTCCCGGTGCACGTTCCTCCGCCCTTATACCCTCCTCTTCGGCCCGAGCCTCCCCAGCCTCCCGTTTCCTGGCGAGGGCGCGGGGGCGCCTCGGCCGAGACCACCTGGCCCGGAGAAGGCGCAGGTGGCGATGCCTACTACCCCTCCGGAGGCGCCTGGGCAGAGCCGAGTAGAGCCGGAGGAGGACACCAGGTAAGCTTGGCAGTCCTTCCCGGGACCAAGAAGGGAAGTCTTGGGCGAGGTCAGGACCATTGGGAATTTTATACTTAGGGTTTGTTAGGACTTAGGTTTCCGACTTGTTCTTCTGCGGAGGGTGCAGAGACAAGGGATAGATGCTCGTGTTCCATTTCTCCCTTCGTTTTTACTTCAGCCGTCATAAGTGTTCCTTTTACCACCAAAAAAGCCGAAAAATTATTCCGCCCTGACTTCCTAAGCTTAGTAGCAGGCTGCAGGATCTCTCTCTTAAGAGCGTAATGTAGGGTGATCGGGCTGTAATAATTTATCCTGCGTGGCTCCGGCAGCTGCAACCCCTCTCGCGAGGAAGGGGGTGGGGTGGGGGTAATTTAGTTCCTTATCACTAAATCTTTGCCTGGGATTGAATCACGAATAATCAATGTTGCAAAGTACCTTTATGTTCTAGTTAGTCATCACAAGACTAACTAGACTAACACAAGACTAACACAAGAAAGAGATGTTATTAGTGCTTCCCTATTTTTGAATGAAGAAGGCTCTGAGATATTAACTTTCGTAATATATTTAGACCTATAACATTTTATTACCTGTATACACGCCAAAAATGTATTTCTATTTCTCCTTGTAAGGAGAAATGGTATAGGATGGTGGCACACATCTTTTGCCCATTTGCTGAAAATGAATTATAAAATTCCCACATATTGATGATGGAATTGCAAAATACTACATGCTTTGGGAAATAGTGGGGTAGTTCCTAAAATTTGTGGCAGAGAATTAGCATATGATCCAGCAGAACCACGTGTTAAGTATACTCAAGAAATTGAAAACAGCAACAACAAAAAAAAAAAAAAAAAACCAAAAACAAAGAAATGAAAACCATGTCCACATAAAAAGTTGTTTAACATGTCTTTGTAGCACAAATCATAATGCCCAAAATTGGAAGTAACTCATAGTTATATACTGATGGCTGGATTACCAAACATGGTGTTTGCTTTCGAACATAACATCCAGAAAGTTATGAATTCTCTATACATGTTTGTCTAAACATGGATGAACCTTGCCTAGATCATGCATGGTTGGTGCAGATAGTCACAAGGATTGGGTCTCATATTGTGTGACTCCGTTTAAATGTGCCACAGAAACATTGGTGGGCTCCTAGAGTTGGAGACTGGAAGGAAGTGTTGGAAGACTGACCTCTGAAGTTGTGTTCTGAAGTTAGTGACAATGGTTTCACAGAGTCCTGTGTTGGTAGTGCACTCTAATCCCAGCACTCGGGAGGCAGAGGCAGGCGGATCTTTGTGAGTTGGAGGCCAGTCAGGTCTACAGAGCTAATCCCAGGATAGGGATGCTCCAAAGCGATACAGAGGAAACAAACAAACAAACAAAAAGGGGGGGTTTCACAGTTTTGAGTACCCTAAAAACCACTGAATTGTACATTTTAAAATAATAGGCTAATTATTATTTCTCTAAAACTTGTGTAAGAATAAATACATGCAGTACTAAGAAGTTAACGTAAAGAATAATTCATATTTTCTGTGCTGATTCAGTAAATAGGATGGGATAAGTAGGCTATTGGACTTTTATGATCTAGTGATCAAGCCCTCGCCCAAATTAAAGATTAGTTGAAGGGGAAAAGGAGTTGATCTTTAAACTGCCAACTGAATCCTATTGAGTTTGCTATATTACCAAACTAAAAGTCTGTTTTCTGTGGTAGAGATAGAAAAAAGACTTGGAAAAGTTAAAATTCAGTGTCATATAGGGAGTTGTGAGGTTTGGTTGGAGTAAAGCTGTGCACATAGTATAGGTTATAGTACTAGAATAGTTTGAGATAAAACTGGGAATGTATAATGGGCATTTGTAAATCATTTTAAACTTGACTTTTCAAGGTGATGATCCTGAAACTTAAGAAGTTAAGGGTAGAGTTTCATTTTTTTTTTTTTTTCTTCTCCCCCACCTCCCAGGTAGGGTTTCTCTGTATAGCCCTGATTGTCCTGGAACTCTGCTCTGTAGACCAGGCTGGCCTCAAACTCAGAGATCCACCTACCTCTGCCTTCTGGGTGCTGGGTTTAAAGGCGTGTGCCACCATGCCCAACCCAAGGGTAGAGTTTCTTATGTATCCAGAAAAAAAAAAAATCAATCATGTTGTCATAGATGTACATCTTGTCATACATGTACATTTTTTTCAAACCCACAATCTTAACTTTATTGACTTTTACTAAATTTTACAATATATCTCTGAAATTAAAAAAAAAAAAAAAGTACAGGGCTAGGGATATGTTCTGTGACCAAAGCCTTGTTTGTGTGTGAAGGCTTTGGATTCCTAGACCCCAGGTAAATGCTGGGTGGCTTATCTATGATTCCAGCTTTTGAGGGTTGAGTTGGTATCCCTAAATCTAGCTGGTTGGCAAGACTAGCTAGCAGTATGGGAGAGCTGTGGTTTTGATTGAGAAACCCTGCCTCATTGAGTGAGATAAAAGAGCTATATGCATGTGTACCCTCCACATATATGTCCTCACATGTGCAAACATGCATATGCACACACATGAAAAAAAGGATTATAGAATTTTTTCTTTGTTTTCCCCCTAGTGGTGGGACTTGAACCCAGGGCCTTATGGATTCTAGGCATGCTTTCTATCAGTGATCCCCTATACCTGCAACCCTACAGGAAACTTTTAGGGATCTACCTAGAAAGTGTGATCTGTGGGCAGCAACCTTTAGTATCACTGCAAGGCTGTTAGAAATGCAGTCTTGCAACTTATTCATGTGCATAGCAAAGGGTTAAGTGAGTTGAGGAGCTTACTCTGAACACACAAAGACTTGACTTTACTCATTAATTTTCCCAAGATGTGTCTCTTGTATCACTATGTAGTCAAAGATAATCTTGAATTTCTGAGCTTCTTTCACTCTACCTCTCAAATGCTCAGTATAGGTGAGCTCCACCCTGATGGGAGATGTCATTCTATAAATGTGTCTCTTATTGCTTAATGAATAAAGCACTGTTGGCAAATAGGAAGGCAAGATAGGTGGGACTAGGAGACAAGGAGGATTCTGGGAGATGTAGGAGGAGATTCAAGATAATAGAGACTTGAGGGAAAAGATCCAGACCCTGTCTCCAGTAAGATAAGACCACGTGGAAACACTTAGATAGAAATGGGTTAATATTTGAGGCAGAGCTAGCCAATAAGAAATGCTAGTAATGGGCCAATAGCTTTATATCTTATACAGCATCTCTGTGTGTTATTTGGGGGTGATGGCGGCACTGGGACCAGGCTAGTGGGAAAACTGTTCATAACACCACCCTGCCTGTTTTATTTTGTTTTTTAATTAACTAGCATAGGGGAAAATTGGAAATCTACCACTTTTAACAGGTTTGGTTTGGGGCTTTTTGTTTGTTTTGTTTTGTTTTGTTTTGTTTTTTTTTTTTTTTTTTTTTTTTGAGACAGGGTTTCTCTGCATAGCCCTGACTGTCTTGGAACTTGATTTGTGGACTAGGTTGGTCTTGAACTTAGACCAGCCTACCTCTGCCTCCTAAGAGCTGGGATTAAAGGCATGCACTACCACCAGACTTTCATCAGTTTTTTGTGAGAGCAATTTCTAGGGCTGGAGAGATGACTCAATGGTTATGAGCACTAGACACTCTTCCAGAGGACCTGGGTTCCATCCAGCGTCCACATGGTAGGACTGTCTATAACTGTCTATAACTCTACTTCCAGGTGATCTGACACCCCTTTCTGGCCTCTTCTGGCACCAGGCACACCTGATGTGTATACATGCTTGTTGTTTGTAACATTTCTATCCTGTTGCCACTGTTGGCCACCAGAACTAGATGGTAAAATTCTGTTGTTATATTTCATACATTGTTTTCAGGACAGAGAAATTTAAGGGAAACTGAGCTGGACGCTTTTTCCCTACTGGCTAACTTTCATGTCTTAAGTTCCTGTGCAGGCAGCTTGAGAAAAAAGAATCGTAACAGTCTTAACCAGATATGGACCCATGCTAAACCCCTAACTTGCCTGGCAAAAAATGTGCACTTGTATGATAGTAGCATGACTGCTACAGGGTTAATGAGTCACTTTGTGTTTGAGTCCTACTCTACAGGAGAGAATTCATGACTGGTGCTGTAAGCCTGTTCAAAATCCCGTGACTGGGTAGGTCATAGACCCCATGGGGAAAATGTTGCTACTGCTGTTTTGCTAAATGGACAAACTGTACCCACCAAAGCTCTTCCTTCAAATTACTTATGTTTATGCTCACTCATTAGTGCTATTTTCAGGTTTGGTCAAAGGTTTGCTGTTGTTGGTAGTGGCGGTGGTGGGGTTTATGTGTGTTTTATAGTGGGTGGTGATTAATGCTGAGGCTTATAACTGGTTAATGTGCTGAGAAAATGTGACTGTTGAATACTCAGCCCTAAATGGGACATGCATTTTATCCTTCTCAGGCTCAAAGAACATTATGGAAGTGGGGATAGAAAGACTGAGAGCCAGAAAAAGGAGAGGGCTGTTAGGGAAGACTGTCCTCTGGGTATATGATTGTTGCATTGCTGAAGTCACAGCAGCTGTGATTACCTGCACAAGATTGGGCTTAGCAGCACTCCATAACAGATGTAGGAGAGACTCATGTGAGTCCACCTTTCTGAGGATTTATAGGCCATAAACAGATATGAGTAGAGAGTGGCTGACAAGGCACCATCCCTCCCAGAGGCACTATTAACAGTTAATTGTTGCTGGGTGTGGGGTTAAGTTTTCTGTGCTCCAGCCGATAACCCCTCATCCATGCTCATTAGAGCAACCCTAATTAAATGTACTCAGGTTTGAGGGGCCGAAAAGGGGGAAATTGTTCTGGAGTGCAGGTGAACCTGCTGTGGAGTCTGTGGATGTTAGCAGTGCTGAGTGCCTTCTTGAGATACACAGCAATAGTGTAAAGTGAATACAAGAGAGCTTGGCACAGGCCTGCAATCCCATCTCATGAGGTAGCTTAAGATGAAAGGAATTAATTTTCAGACCAGCCTGCCAGCCTGGAACCTTTTTTTTTTTTTTTTTTTTTTTTTTTGGTTTTTGGTTTTTCAAGACAGGGTTTCTCTGTATTACTTTGGAGCCTGTTCTGGAACTAGCTCTGTAGACCAGGCTGGCCTCAAATTCACAGAGATCCTCCTACCTCTGCCTCTGCCTCTGCCTCCCAAGTGCTGGGATTAAAGGTGTGCGCCACCAACACCTGGCTGAGGATTGTCTTAAAGTAAAATAACAGGTGGCTGGTGATATACCACACTGATAGAATACTTGCCTAGCTTCTTAAAACTCTGGGCTTAATCCCCAGTATGGGAAGAAAAAAAGAACAAACTAAAAACAAACAAACTGAAGAGCTGCTCGTGTTTTCTCTACTCAGTGGATAACTGCATTTCAACAGGGTTTGGTTTTTGTGAGGTGAGTATCTGAAGAAAGAAAAGTAAGGGACTGTGGTGTTAGGAAGCTGAGTCAGGAAGAAAGGAAATGAATAATGTGGAGGATACTGGTAGTAAAAATTGTACCATAAAGAGTCAGCTGAAGGACAGTCCCTTGCTGGAGTTCTTAAAATTTAGGCTTGGTCTCCCCACCTCTAGGGCAGTCAGCTCCGGCCCTTGTCTTCTCATGTCTGGGAAGAGTATAGATATACAATAATTCAAGGTTTAATCCTGCATAACCAACAAACCACAAAAACTAACAGACAAAAACCTCTTCTTTAAAGGAGATAAAAATGGCTTGTTATGAGCCAAAGCATACTTTTCAGTTCAAAGTCAAGTAACTCACCGAATAATAAACACCTCATGTGTGAAACTAGACAGTCAGTACTTAGGAAAGTTTTAAGAACTGGTTGGAGGATTCTTATAAGAGTTTAGTGGCTTTATTGCAATTTATTTGAGGACAGAGCCTGAAAAGATGATGTACAGCTAGACTTACTCCTTCAAGTGGTGATTGTTCTATGAGTTGATGGCACTGAAGTTATAGGTTATAAGCAGAAATCTTCACCTTAGGACAAAGTACTAGAATACAAAAAATGCAGATGTATTTACTTGTAGTAACTTGAGTAGTAATAGTTTCATATTCCAGTGTTGTTAGGTAAGTATTATCCTAAAAAGTGATAAATAACTATGTTGTACCAGTTAAACAGGCTAAATATTTCTTATCTGAAATGTTTGGGACCAGAAATACTTTAGGTTTCAGATTTTTTGAAAGATACCTGCATAAAAGTAATGAATTCTTTTGAAGGCAGGACCTGAATGTAAACATGAAATTCATTTATGTACAACCTTTACATGTGGTTTTGAAGGCAACTATACGACATTTTAATGCCCCTGCATTTGTTTGTTTTGCTGTGCTGGGAATGGAATCCACAGCTTTGAATGAGCTTGGTAAGAGCTTTACCACTGAGCCACTCTTCTTGTCCATTACATGCATTTGACTGCAGCTCATCACCTGAGATCAAGTATGACTTTTTCTTCTTGGGATGTCATACCAAAGCTCAAAGTATACAGAATTAGAGCAGTTTGGATTTCAGATTTTCAAATTGTGTTATGTTCAACATGTACTGACAAGAGGTAGTGACTGGAATTGAGAAAGGGCAAACTACTGTCAATGATTTTACTAGTCATCTTGACATAGAATCCCTTTTATTATCATTTCAGTGTGTGGTAGCTAATGCATAAGATCAGCCTTTTACCAGCTATTCAATAGTTGTTTTGTTCTGGGGCGTGTGATACACTTTGTACTTTTAACTTTTTTTTTTTTTCCTGTTGTTCCATTATTTTGCCTCTTGTTAGAGGTATCCATTTTCCTATCTAACCATTATTAAGAGTGAGTTGGGCCAGGCGGCGGTAGCACATGCCTTTATTCCTAGCATTCAGGAGTCAGAGGCATGAGGAACTCTGTGAGTTCAAGGCCAGCATGATCTACAGAACGAGTTCCAGGATAGTCAGAGCTGTTACACAGAGAGACCCTGTCTGGAAAACAAAATAAAGTAAAACAAAAAAGAGAGAATTGAACATGGTAATGCACACCTGTAATTCTAGCTAGGAAGGTAGGGGCAGGAGGATTGCAAGTTAGAGGCCAGTCTTCATGGTATAGCAAGCCTCAGGCCAACCTGGAATATGTAGCGAAACTGTTTCAAAAGAAAGCATTGACAACAGAAAGAATGCTCTTTAAAAATTATATGTTTTCCCTTTTTCCTTAGGAACAGTCACCATACCCTGGCTATAATTCCAACTACTGGAATTCTGTGCGACCGAGGGCCCCATACCCAAGTGCATATCCTGTGAGACCAGAGTTACAAGGCCAGGTATGGCTGAAATTTGAGATTTTCTGTCTTTTTTTTTTCTTTTCCTTTTTAAAGAGAGCTTTATATAGCACAGGATGGCCTGAAATTATATTTAGTTGAGGTTGGCCTCTATTGTGGAAAAATAAGGATAGGAAAAACAGGCTGAATAGATGTTTATTCAGGGAGAAATAACTTACAACAGAGACAGATGACCACCAGTAGGCTCCTGTCCCAAGGATGCCTCCAGATGCTATCTGTCTCCAAAGGAAGCAAGAGAGCACTCTGGGGTCCTCAGACCTCTTTCTCCCAAGTCATATATGCACCTGTCCCTACCCCCCAATGGGGGTGGTCAGTGCAATAGGTTCTGGCAGGGCAAATATCTCACTACAGACCTTGAATGTCTTGACCCTTGTTGCTCCATCTCCTGAGTGCTAGGATTATAGGCCCCTGTTAACCACACCCAGTTTTATGCAGTGTTAGGGACCAAACCCAGGACTTTGTGAACACTTAAGTAAGCACCCTGTCAAGCTTCAATTTTAAAAAATTATTAACATGTATTAAGTATATGTAATAATGGATTTCAGCATGACATTTTCCTTTTTTATTTTACTGAATTTTCTTTACTCTATGTTTTGATCATATTCTTTTATCCCCCACCCCCACCCCATATCTTTAGAGCCTGGCTTGGAGCTTGCAGTATAGAACAGGCTGGCCTCCACCTCACCTGCCTGTCTCCCTAGCGCTGGGATTAAAGGTGTGTGCCACCACCGCCTGGCATTCAGGGAACAACTTTTGAGGCTGCATCAACAGGTAGAGATAGTACCAGTCCAGAAAAGACACCAGGTTCTTTGCCAGCAAGAGTATGAGAGTGACTAGACTAGAAGTTGAGAAGTGATCAACCAGAAGTAACTGGTGCCAAAGTGATGTTATCTGGGATTGGAGTTTTAAGTTGTTAGTGATTTGCATATCAGCGGTATAGTTTACTTGGTGCTTCCCATGCTGTTATTGATGCTGGCTTTGTTCCTAATGGCATGCAGCTTGGTCAGACAGGAAAAGTGGTAGCACCAGAACTTTATATTGCTGTCAGGATGTCTGGAGCCATCTGGTATTTAGCTGGAATGAAAGACTACAAGGTAGGGGCTGGAGTAATGGCTCAGAGGTTAAGAGCACTGGCTGCTCTTCCAGAGGTCCTGAGTTCAATTCCCAGCAACTACGTGATGGCTCACAACCATCTGTAAAGAGTTCTGTTGCCCTCTTCTGTCCTACAGGGATGCATGCTGACCGAACACACTGTATACATAGTAAATAAATAATTTTTTTTTTTTTTTTTTAAAGAAAGACAACAGACCCAGAAGTGCCGATTTTCTAGATGGCAGATATGGAATGGTCGCAGATTTATTTAAAATGGTTCCTGAGATGACTGAGATAATAAAAACTTGATTATGATCATGCCTTAAGAAAATTGGTCAGGCAGTGGTGTCACACACCTTTAATCCCAGGTGGATCTCTGTGAGTTGAAGGCCAGCCTGGTCTTCAGAATGAGTTCCAGGACAGCCAGAGCTGTAACAGAGAAACCCTGTCTTAAAAAACTAAAATAAGTGGGGAAAGAGGATGCAGAAGTAGAGATAACAAGAACCACAAGTTTAGCACTAGCAGAGACTTCCTTTACAGTGAATTCCAGAGTGAGACCCATCTTAGACAGGCATATAAGTGAAATTGGAAATAAGAAAGAGTAAAAATAATTGCTTGTGCCCGTCCTGATATAGCTGTATTTGGGAAATGCGTCTTCAGTCTTTCCTTTGTCATCTGTGTATACCTGGAACAGTTATTTATCTTTTAAATGTTTTAATCCATTTTTTTTAATAGTCTGTGTGTGTGTGGAGTGTGCACTTGTGGAATCAGGACAGCTCTCAGGAGCTGTTTTCACTGGGCTCTTGGGACTAAACTCTTGTCACTCGGCTTGTAAAACTGGCACTTTTACCCACTGAGTCATCTCTGCTGCCCTATTGCACACTTCTGTGCCTGCGTGTCATGTGCAGCTTACAGGCACCGTGACAGGAACGTCTTCCTCCTTTTTGAGAGAGCCCTCAGTCTCTTAAGTGCAGAAATTATATATGGGATGATGACCACCATGCCCAGCTTCTTCCTCCTCTTCCTTAACATTTTGGAAAATTCAAACAAAAGAAATAAATGTTCTTTCAGCTCGAGAAGTAATCTGAGAGCTATACCCCCTCCACACACACACACACAGGGTCCCGTAGACTAGGCTGGCTTTTTATTTCTTAGAGTATTTTGAAGCAAATACCAAGTAGCATATCTTACTGCTTGTAAATAAACCTAAGTATGTTCATTTAAAAACAATAGAAATAAAAACAACAACTACCATATCGTGGTGGTTTAAACGAGACTGTCCCCCCATGGGCTCTGTCATTTGAAAACTTGATCCTCAGTTGGTGGTCCTGCTTGTGAGATTTAAGAGGTGTGGCCTTGCTTAAGGAAGTATGTCACTGGGGGTGGACTTTGAGGGTTTAAAGATTTGACCCTCTCTGAGCTCCCTCTTTCTGCTTTGTGTTTATAATTTAAGATTATAGCTCTCAACGGGCACTGCTGGCACACGCCTTTAATCCCAGCACTTGGGAGGCAAAGGCAGGTATATCTCTGAGTTAGAAGCCAGCCTAGTCTACGAGACCCTGTGTATGTATGGAGGGGGTATAGCTCTCAGCTTACTTCTCAAGCTTCTGTTTGCTCCATCACAATGGACTCACCCTCTAGGACCAAAGCCCACAAAAGCTCTCCTCTTCAGTTGCCTTGGTTACAGTGTTTTGTCATAGCAATAGAAAAGTGACTAATATACATAGCATGAAGCAGCACCAGCAAGATAGATAACTCAGTGGGTAAAGGTACTTGTCATCAAGTTTTATCACCCAGGTTCATTTCCTGGAACCCACATACTGGCAACTTTCACCAAATGTCCTCTGAGCTCAAAATGTGTGCCATAGTATTTGTGCACATATGACCCCACCACTGTCACACATACACAAAAGCAATAGATAAGGGGGTTGGAGAAATGGCTTGGCTCACTGGTTAAGAGCACTGGCTGTTCTTCCAAAGGACCCGGGTTCAGTTCCCAGCACCCACATGGCAGATCACCACTCCAAGACCTGACAGCTTCACAGGCAGAATACCATTGCATATAAAACAAAAATTAACTATTTAAAAAAAGAAAAGAAATAGATAAGAGCAGGCATAGTGGCACACATCTGCTTTTTTTTTTTTTTTTTTTTTTTTAATTCTAGTACTTTCTTCCTTGCATTGTAACTATAAAAATCCCATATGGATTTTCAGTGTTGAACATGATCACATTTCAGAGATTTATTCGTCAATGTAATACATCCCCCCCCCACCAAAAAAATCACCATGACTTCATGCATTCAGAGGAGAAGTATTTCCTGGTTAAGTGGGAGATTGTGCAGATGGTTTCTGAAAGACCTTCATTGTATAAGCAGCTTTATGGTGCACTTCATGGGTCTTCAGTTTGCTGTAGTCCAATTATACTGAGTAGAGTGTTCCAAGGCTCTGGGTTCTTTTTCCTGCCCCACTGACATCTGATGGACAGTAGGGACTGAGCTGCTCTAGTGCTTCCTGCTTCAGTAAATATGGAAGAGGACTCACTGGAGCGGGGATGCTTTTTGCCTTGCCTGGTGATCTGGCAGACTGTGTTTGCAACAGAGGCCGACCTCCACTAGACTAGAGAACAAGACCAGGACTCAAACACTCAGGAGGCAGAGGCAGAAGCAAAAGGATCTCGGTGAGTTCAAGGTCAGCCCTGACTACATGGCAAATTCCAAGCCACATAATGAAACCTGTCTCCAAAAAAGAAAAAGGAGTGAATAAAGTTTAAAAAAAAAAAATTCTTACAAGGAAGCAATTCTAATTAAATCTACTTGTTTCTAACAATAAATTGAATTAAATACCTTCAAAGAATAGTCCTTGGGAGTGGATAGCTCAGCAGTTCAGGCTGCTCTCGCAGAGGACCTAGGTTCAATTCCCAGCACCCACATGGCAGCACACAGCTGTCTGTAACTCCATTTCCAAAGGCTCCAATACCCTCATACAGGCATACATACAAGCAAACACCAATGGGCAGAAATAAAAATAAATTTTTAAAAACTTTGTTTTTATCATTTTGTCATTTCATTATCATACAGGATTTAGATTTGTGTTTCTATGTTGTTCAAGACAGGGTATCTCTGTGTAGCTCTGGCTAACCTGGAACTTTGTAGTTCAGGCTGACCTTGAACTCACAAGATCCACTTGCCTCTGCCTCCCAAGTGCTGGGATTAAAGGTGTGCACCACCACCACCTTGCTTTACATTCTATTTTTTGTGTAACTAATTTTTTAAAGAGTTACTTATTTTTATTTTATATAAGTACCTTACTTGCTTGTGTGTGCACCACATGTATGCAGTGCCCATAGACACCAGAAGAGGGCATCAAATCCCCTGGACTGAATTACAGATGATTATGAGCTGCCATGTGGTGCTGCTGGGTCCTCTGGAAGAGCAGCCAGAGCCCTTAACCACTGAGCCTTCTCTTCTGCCCTATCCTATTTTGTGTAGTTACAAATAATGTACATGAGTTACTTCATATCTGTGACTTTTTTCTAGGTGAATGATTTCCTTAGGAAGCCAAATCATACAACAAAAGGTCACATGATGTCCAAATCTGTACTGTTTTCAGACTGAAAGCCATAAGGGCTTCCAGGGAAATATCACTTGGCTCTTTAATCTTTTATTGTTACTGACCACACATTAAGTTCTTTGGGCATTTGTATTTTGTTTCTCTTGTTAATTTTTTTTTTTTTTTTTTTTTTAAACAGGTCCTACTAATGTAGACCAGGCTGTCTTCTACCCCATATTCCTCCTGTCTCACCTTCTTAGCTGGGATCACAGATGTGTACACACAGTTAAGGTTTCTCCCTTTCCTCAGACAAGGTCTCACTATGTAGGCTACTAGCTACAAGTGTGAAATTTTCCCTGCCTCGGTGCTGGGATTACAAACAGGTGCCAACACAGCCATTTTAGTCATGTGTAGTGAAAATGAAAAGGATTAGAGACAGCAATGGTTACAATTTAAAAAGCTGAAGTGGGCCTGGGGAGGTGGCTTAGTCACAAAATGCCTGCCGTGCAAACATGATGGCCTGAATTTGGATTCCCAGAACCACATAAATGCTAAATGCAGTAGCTCAGGTGTCTGTAATCCCTAGCCTGGAGTAAATAAGAGGCCCTGTGTCAAACAAGTTCATTCTCTGACCTTCACAAGTATTCTGTGACATATGTCCCCTCCACATTCTACACATACACTCTTCATTCACATCACACCCCCCCACACACACACACAGAGAGGGGGGTGGGAAGGAGAGAGACAGAGAGAGAGGAGAGAGAGATTGAGAGAGAACATTAATAGTTTAAGCTTAGGGCTTAGCTTTCATCTTATTTGGAGCATTAAACAGGAAACTACAGGAAAAGGGACTGGCAGTGCATATTATTGGACACACTTGTCTGGCATGCATAAGCCTCTGGGTTTGGTTCCCAGTGCTGTTTAAAACAACAACCACAGGAGTAAGCAGTAAGGAGTTTCTCTGTTATTTCAGTTGTTGGTGTTATCTAGGAAGCAGGGTGGCTTCACTGTTCAATATGGACCATAGAATCAGACCTGGGTTCATTTCTTGAACTTGTCATACTTACATAATCACCCTCTGTTGAACATATTGTGTACCGCTAAATCATTTATTTTTTGTTTTCTCACTTAATTTTCTTTGTAATCCTTCAAGGTAAGTTTAGGCTCTTCATTTTCCCTGTTAGAGAAACTGAAGCTAAGAGTAATTGCAGAGTGAGGTCTGTCTCTGATTTCTCTCTTTCTCCTTTCTACTATATAGTGGTATTTCCTTTTTTCTCTAGCTAGTCCCCCACATTTCCTAGAGTCACCTTCTGTGGATACAAGTTCTCTGCTAGTGAATGTAATTGTGAATTATATTTAAGAAAATGCTTGAGAAGGGCATCACTTTGTCACTTCATTTGCCATCACAATATATTCTCCCATGGGTGTAACATAACTTACAGTACAGCCTGAGTGCAGTCTGTGGCTTGTGCTCACAGTAGAGACGAGAAAGAGTGATTCATAGACTGCTGAGGTAGCTTAGATTTTTGTCAACTACTGCTATCTTTTCTTCTAACATTTTGTACATAACATTATGTACCTGGCTATACTCAAAGCAGTTACTCCCCAGAAGTTCCAAGTACTTACCGTTCACCTGGTAACAACCCAACCCCAGTTGGACATTAGTGCATTTCTGTAGTTGGTTGTTTTCTTATTCTTTACTCTTTTGGCCCTTTGTTCTTTGGGGGCCCACCACCTGGCTCCCAGATAAATACACAGAGGATTATTATTTCTTATAAATGCCCGACCTTAGCTTGGCTTATTTCTAGCCAGCTTTCCTTAACTTATCCTGCTGACCTTTTTTTCCCTGGGCTTTTCTTTCTATAATCTTAGTTTCATGCTTACTCCTTGGCTGGTTATGTGATTAGGAGCCTGTTCCCTACTTTCTTGCTCTTGATATTTTTTTTGCTTCCCGATCCCTCTTTCTCTCCTATTTATTCTCTTTTCCTGCAAGCCCTGCCTGTCCTTTCTCCTGCCTCCCTATTGGCCATTCAGCTCTTTAGTAGACTAATCAGGTGTCTTAGACAGGCAAAGTAACACAGCTTCACAGAATTAAACAAATACAACATAAAAGAATGCAACACATCTTTGCATCATTAAAACAAATGTTCTACAGCATAAACAAATGTAACACATTTTCAACTAATATTCCACAACACATTTCAGCCCTTTAACTCATTCATCTTTCTTCTTCTCCGATTTTCCTTTTTTTTCAGAGTTTGAATTCTTACACAAATGGAGCATATGGTGCACCATACCCTCCTGGCCCTGGACCAAATACTGCCTCATATTCTGGGGCTTATTATGTACCTGGCTATACTCAAAGCAGTTACTCCACAGAAGTTCCAAGTACTTACCGTTCACCTGGTAACAGCCCAACCCCAGTCTCTCGTTGGATATATTCCCAGCAGGACTGTCAAACAGAAGCACCTCCTCTCAGGGGCCAGGTTCCAGGATATCCTGCTTCACAGGTAAGCAGTTTTCTGTCAGGGAAACAATGTCTGCTTCCTGAATTATAAAAGTGAAAACTTATTTTAAATTCTAAGTTATATTTGTTATTTGTGTACCTGATGGGAGTTGGGGGGGGGGGTGACAACTGTATCACAGCCCATGTGTGGAGGTCATTGGACAACTTTGTGGATTGTATTCTCTTTTTATCTTCTGTGGGTTCCAGGGATCAAATTCAGGTCACCAGACTTACACAGCAAGTGCCTTTATTTACTGAGCCATCTCACCAGCCCGTAACTATAATTTTTTTCTTTCCTTTCTTTCCTTTCTTTTCCTCTCCCTCCTTCCCTCCCTTGGTCTCTCCCTCCCCCCCTCCCTCTCTCCCTCTCTCCCTCCTCTCAGTATATAGCCCAAGTTGGCTTCAAACTCACAGCCAACTGCCTGCCTTAACTTCCTGAGTGCTAGATCTAAAGACATATACCACCATACCTGGTTCCTATTTTTGTGCCCTCTTTTGCTTTCATTATTTTTAATAACGTGTGTGAGTGTGCATGTATGATTGTGTTTGTACCCATGTATGTGAATGCAGGTACTCACAAAGGCCAGAAGTGTGAGAACCCCCGGAACCGGGTTTGGGAGCCACCTGACATGGTGTTAGGACTTGATCTCAGGGTCTTCTAAATAAATAATATTTTTTTATTTATTTACAAAAAAATAAACCTTTTGTAATAAAGTAAAACTTTAGTTGTTCGAAACTTTCCCTAACTTAATGTGCTAAGAATATACTACATTTATTTCTGATTGTTTTAAAAATAATTCTATTTTCTTTGTGTTTATAGTGTATAAATTCATATATCTGTAGTGTTTTTGGAAAATAATATACTTCATCCAGTGAATTTTAGGTCTTACTTCTGAATGTTTCACCAGCTCTGTTCTTTGTGTATTAGAGTCAGGGTTTCTCGGGTGTGGAGAACTTTTGGTAACTGATTAATGACTTACTTGAAGGTCAGGATCTGTCTATGTTATTTTTATTACTTTAAAATTTTCATTTTGTTTTTTAAGCAGTGACCAATTAGTACACTAGCATATTTGTTTTTCCCAATTTAGAACCCTACAATGACCTTGCCCCATTATCCTTATGGAGATGGTAACCGTACTGTGCCACAGTCAGGAGCCACTGTCCGACCACAAGATGATGCATGGGCTTCTGGTGCTTATGGGATGGGGACCCGTTACCCCTGGCCTTCAGCTGTACCCTCAGCTCCACCTGGGAATCTCTACATGACGGAAAGTGCTTCACCCTGGCCTGGCAATAGTTCTCCTCAGCAACCTCCTTCACCACCACCCCAACAACCTAAGGTAGGACACTTCCAAATGCTGTTCTTTTAATCACTAGGTAATTAAGAGAATACAAGATGATACATCTCTGTATTTGCCTGTGGTGGAGGAGACTAACTACAAAAAATGTTGATTACCATACTACAACATTATGTCAGCTTAATTTATGTTTTTGTTTTTTCTTGTAGACATTATTGTTTTGGTGATTTTTTTTTAAGGTTATCTGTGTGTGTGTGTGTGTGTGTGTGTATATGTAGATGTACTGGCTTCATGTATGTCTATGCACCATGTGTGTGCCTGGTGCCATTGGAGGCCCAGATTCCCTGAAACTGAAGTTACAGACAGTTATGAGCTGTGTTATGGCTACTGATAATCAAATTTGGGTCCTCTGGAAGAGCAGCCAGTGTTCTTAACTGCTAGCTATCTCTACAGCACAATATCTTTTTTAAAAAGATGGAAAATGCTTATTTTCTACTGTGATACTATCTGAATATTAAATAGAATCAAAGAATGTATTTTATGACCTCAAATGATATGTGGACAGAAAATGAGAAACAGTGTGAAGTAGCAGAACACTGTCTGTGTGGTGTTGTTTCTATAAGCCACGGACAGAACACTGTCTGCTTTTGGTTGTGTCCCTGGGGTTTTCACTATTTAAGGAGGAAAACTAATTAAGTCACTGGATGAATTATGAGGTGTTCACAAAGATGACTTGTATTGAGGTAGATTCCACCTATCATATTTAAGAATTCTATGGCTTTTACGTGAAAGGACTTCCCTGTTTATTTTCTTAATGGTTCTTCTTAGATGATTAAGGTGGGATCCAGCTTTATTGGTGGGAATCTTTTCTTTTTCCTGTTTGGGAAAGATGGGTACTAACATACCTGATGTTGATGGCCTCCCATTAAAATAGCTTTTTTTCTCCCTTCTGTTTTCCCATTCCAAGGATTCCTCGTACTCCTATAACCAGTCGGGTCAAGGCATGAACCGGCACAGCTTTCCATGCAGTGTCCATCAGTATGAGTCTTCAGGAGCAATGAACAATGATAATTCAGACCTTTTGGATTCTCAAGTCCAATACAGTGCTGAGCCTCAATTGTATGGTAATGCCACCAGTGACCATGCCAGCAATCCAGTTCAGAGTAATAATCTCCCTGAAGAGTGTTTCTCTTCAGATGAAGGTACGCCTCCAAGTATTAAAAAAATCATACACGTGCTGGAAAAGGTTCAGTATCTTGAGCAAGAAGTAGAAGAGTTTGTAGGGAAAAAGACAGACAAAGCATATTGGCTTCTGGAAGAGATGCTGACAAAGGAGCTCTTAGAACTAGACTCTGTTGAAACTGGAGGCCAGGACTCTGTCCGTCAGGCCAGAAAAGAGGCTGTCTGTAAGATCCAGGCCATACTGGAGAAATTAGAGAAAAAGGGATTATGAGATAATTTGGAGTGAAGGGTAAGCCTGTTACTAATTTGGCCAAAGAAGTCTTGAATTTGGTTGGTTACCATCTTTTGAAATGCCTGTTGTGACAAGAAGCAACACATTCCAACTTCTGACCTAAAACTTGAAAGGAAAAGAAAAGTGGGCAGAGGAGTGGATGAACACATTGCAGGGCTCTTGGCCGTTTTCAGATGACTGACCATAACAATACTGGAATTAACAGTGTTACCAAGTAGACCCACTCCTAAGAAATCCATGGCCGTCTCTAGGCTGCTTCTTATCATCAGGAGGGAAATAGACTTTATGTAACAGGTTATCAAAGCATAATCTGAGAAAAGCAGGCTGTTTTGTAAGCATCTAGACTGTCGCATTTTGTGCATTGTGACTGCATATACTTCATGTGTAAATTATAGCTTAGACTCTTGACCTCTGTTTTGTTTGTTATCTGCAGTTCACAAATGTAATATTATTCTACTTCTTGGTACATTTTGTAGAAATGTGTTTAATATAATCAAATACTGGCAGCCAGATAGATGGGCAGTTCTGAACAAATTCATATCCTTTGACCACTTGAATCTATTGTAGTGTGTAGTGGGCTCCTGAAGTCAACCATATATCTCCTTTTTGTGTAGCATGTTATATTAGAGTTCTCCCCACTCTTGCTTTTCATAGTAGTCGGGAAGGTGAATTTGGAAATTACATTAACATAAGAATGGCAATGTTTTTGGACATTTGACGACTTAGCTTTTTTGTTGTATTTGGATAAAGATCCACTTTTGAAATTCTTTTATAAGAAAAATATCTTTGGCTATTGCTGCTTCTATAGAGAGTCTTATGATAGAAACATAAAACCTAAATGCCACAGGTGGTATAGTGACTGCAAAAGGCAACAATAATACTGTTCTCCATTTAATAGTTTCTGTGGGACAGATTTTGAGTTCATTTTATAGTTGATAGAAGGAAAAGGAGATTTATGCTCAGGGAATGAGTCAGCCATAGCTAAAATAGGAAATTTTTTTTTTCTTTTAAATTTGGTCTTTATTTCATAGAATAAATTACATAGAATTGCCTATTTCATAAGAAAGATGTTATTTATTACTAATAGTCGATTTGTTAAACCAAGTTTAAGAAAGGGGCCTTTCTTGGTTATCCATATATTTGTTATACAGAGGCAGGTAAATAATTTACCTTTTAAATCTAAAGTGAGGTCTAGCATACAGTATCTGCTTTTGCAACAAAAGCAGTTTCTTAGTAAAATATCAAAGTAATACTTGTTTTCTAGACTAGCAGACCTTTATGTTAGTGATAATAAACCTATAGCCATCCCTTCTACTTACATAGAACCAAACCAATGCCAACATATAAGTAGAAATGTAGTAAAAATATTGTATGGAGGCTAGGAATGTGGCTAAGTTAACAGTGTTTGTCCAATGTACATGAAGGCCTGGGTTAAATCCCAATATTGCATAAACCAGGCATAGTGGTACATACCTGTCTCAACATTTGGGAGGTGGAGACAAGAAGATTGCAAGCTTAAGGTCATCCTCATCTACACAATGAATTCAAGGCCACCCTGAGCCATACATAAGATCGTGTCTCAAAAAGCTAAAAGGATAAGTGAGTCAAGATATGATGGTTTTATCCAGGAGTTTGTCGTTTTTAAAAGATATTATTTGGCTGGGTTTGGTGGTATACACTTTTAATCCAGGCAGAGGCAGGTAGATCTCCTGAGTTCATGGTCACACCTGTTCTACCTACCACCTACCTACCTACCTGTCTGTCTGTCTACCTACCTACATGCCTGCCTGCCTGCCTACCTATAGGATGTGTGCACACACATGTGTGTGTTTTATATCTACAAGTTTTATTTTTGAAACAGAATTTCATGCCAGGTTGGCCTTAAACTTTGTTTGTAGCCTAGGACAACCTACAAATTGTGATCCTCCTGCTTCACCTTTCAAGTGTGTGCCTGGTTGATGTGGTGCTGAGGCTCAAACTCAGGGCTGTGTGTATGCCAGGCAAGCACTGTACTGAGCTACAGCTGTCGCCCTGATTCTCCTAGTTTGTCCTAATATAGAAATGTTTTTAACGGTTTTGTGAGCTGGACATGGTGGCATGCATCTGTAACCCCAGCATTCAGAAGCAGGTGGATGGGTCTCTGATTCTGAGACCATCTTGGTCTACATAGTAAGTGCCAGGCTAGCCAGTAGTGAGACCTAATCACCATCAAAGAAAAGTTTTCTATAAAAATATGACAATTATACTTAAAAGTTTAAGAGGAGAAACCTTAAAGCTGTGTAGCCAGTGAGACACTGACAGGTACAGAACACATTTTTGCTTAACTTGTGCTACCCAAGATGCCAATTTCTGCACTCTTCATTTTTACATATTGTACACGTTATGCACAAATGTACATATATGTGTATATATCTTAAGTTATTTTTTGAACCATTAACATGATTTTAAACTTACAGAAGAGTTGTAAAAATAGCGTTCCTGTGTACCCTCCATCTACCTTCCCCTTGTTTTGACTTCTGTAACAAAAACATTTGTCACAATTAAGAGTTAATCTTTTATAGTACTATTAATATTAGCTAAAGTAGCAAGCTAAAAGTAGATATTTTATTTATCTTTTTTATTGGCATCCTCTTAACCATTCCAGATTCTATTTCACACTTAGTTGTTCTGTCTGAGTAGTCTTTCCCAGTGTGATGCTGTATTATAAGGATAGCTGGTGGTGTCATGTATTTCCAGTGTGGTTCACTCTAAGCACTCAGCTGAGGTGGCATCTGCTAGGATTTACTAGTGTAAGCTTACCCTGCTTTCCTTTGTAATTACTGAGTATTACTATGCAAATGTCCTGTTTCTGCTTAGAGTTTGCCTCTCCTATCTCCTGGCAAATCTTGCTTGTGGAATTTACTACTGTGGTATTCAAATGTTGATTTTTCTATTTCTTTTATTTCTCCTATATTTAATAACTGGAATTCTTCTGAAAGGAAGAACTGTGGATTCTGGATTTATATTTTTAATTATATAAAGATATTCAGGATAGGTATGAACTCAGAACTTAAAGATATGAACCTAAAGATATAAACCATGTTAATTGATTGCAAATGGCCAATATCAAAAAAAAAAAGCAATGTTGATGACCTGTCTTTGAAGATATAATGAATTTAAGAATGAAAATAGTATTTATGATTTGTAAAATATGTTTGACTTTTGACGTAAAGTTGATTTGAAATTGAAACACTTTTCTTTTAAAATTTTACATCTAGACTTTTTTAAGGTGTCGAAATTTATATTACTTTGGGGATCATTTTTGTCAAATCTTGAATAAAGTTACCTACACCTGGCATGATAAACACAGCTGTTTTCTCTCTAGCACCTTTGTTCTGGTAAACATCCTCCTATAAACAACCAGCCCTGGCTGGTGAGGTGTCTGGCTCCTGATTCTGTTTGTCTCTACCCATCAGTGCATGCTGGTCTTAAATGCCTTTTTAAAGAATGAGGTTTGTACAAACAAAAACAGCCAACAGTAAAAGGAATGGGGTTTGCAAACAGCACTTTAGTTAGCTGATATAAATAATACCTTTAAATTAATCAGTTTTTGTTGTTGTTGTTTAGGTTGAAGGCTATAGATTAAATTGTCCATTAAGAAAAAGTCTTGAGAGGATAGGTAGTAGACAGAGCTTTTTTCCTTTTTCGTCTTGGAATTTTATCTTTTTTAAAAAGTTGTAAGTTTAGAGCTCAGCAGGTAATCCCCAGGGTTCATATGGGGTAGATTTGACTCACTGGTAGCATGCCCCTACCACACTCAAACATAAGTCTGTTAAAAAAAAATTAAGTTCTGAGTCAAATATGTGAAAAACAGCATTCTCTTGGTCTCACCCTATTTTTCTTGTTCTCCAATGGCAACCACTTAAAATTTTGTTAGATTTATTATCTTATGCGTTTGTTTCACTTACGTGTATTCCGTGTGTGTGTGTGTGTGTGTGTGTGTGTGTGTGTGTGTGTGTGAGTGCGCGCGCACGCGGAGGCCAGAAGAACTAGTTACAGTTGTGAGATGTTGTGTGAGTGCAATCCTGGCTGTCCTGGAACTCATTCTGTAGGCTGGCCTCAGCTCATAGAGATTAGCCTGCCTTTGCCTTCCTAGTGCTTTGTTTAAAGTCATGCACCACCACTGCACAATGAATTGATGATTTAAATGACACACAATTATGGTTTTCTTTTCTCTTTAATCTGTCATTTTGTGAGACAGTCACCATGTGGTACAGATTGGCGCTTGATCTGTAGTGCAGGGTAGCATTGACAGTGCTCTTCCTGCCTCAGCCTTCCTGTTTTCCTTTCGGGGTAATGACAGTTCTTTTTCTGCTTCTTCCCACTTCTGAATATGGTTTGCACAGTCACTTCTTGTGTCTACTAGCCAGAGCTCAGTCCCATAGTGAGTGGTGGTTTCTTGAACTACTTGTTTTCCCTGTAATTACTCTTCTGTCTTCTTTGCATGCTTATGTCCTCGGTGATCTTATTTGACCTCTAAGTCCCTTTTCTGGAGCTAACAGTATTTCATTAGTCTCAGACTCCTGAGAAAGTCTGCTGGAGCCTTCCGTACACATATGGAGAATTCCCTTTGCCTCTTGTTTTCCTGTATTGTTTTTTTTTTTTCTTTAAACTTTCTTAGCTTATTTCAGTGTGTGTGTGCGCGCGCGTGTGTGTACATACATACTTATATATTTATATTGATTTTCAGTAGCTTCCTGGAAAAGGGTACATGGAAAATGTTTGTCTTTAGATCTCACATAATTTAAAATGTCAATTTTGCCACACATTGTACTGAATTTATTAGGTGAATACAAATAATAGGAAATGGTTATTTTTAAGAACTGTAGCCTGGCAGTGGTGGCGCACTAGGAGGCAGAGGCAGGCAGATCTCTGATTGAGGCCAGCCTGGTCTATACAGTGAATTCCCAGAAAATATACAGACAAAAACTATAAATTCTTGTCTTAGTTTCCAGAGTTTAGTTTCTAGAATTGCTTTCGAAAAGTGTATACCACTGTGGTCATCTATCTGTAGAAGACCCATATTTGCCAGGTGGTGGTGGCACATGCCTTTAATCCCAGCACTCTGCCTCTCAAGGGTTTTTGATAGCAACAATGGCACAAGTTGTGAGCAGCAGCTTTTCCAGGTCTGTGGCAGTGCATCATTAAGACAGTATTTCTTAAATTCTAAGGCTGGAGCGTTTGCTGAACTTCAGATTCCATAAACCTCCAGTTCACTTAAGACTGCTCTCTACTGTGTACTCAGCCTGTTTGTTTAACCTTCCTTTAATAGAATTATGCAACAACCAACCTCACTTGCCTTGAGTTTCCCATGTAGTCAGCTTTTATAACAAATGCATAGCTTTCATAATTTTTAGTTATGTACTCTTCCGTACCCTGGCCCATGCAGTAGTGCATTTGTGTTTGTATGTGTGTTATGGTCATCATTTGCTGGAAATAGCAAATAGGCTGAACATAGTTTTATAATGAATGTCTACCATAAGTGCTGCATAATGTGTTATCTAGGTTAACTGGGGCAATTGGGAAGTCAGTGATTTCATCCTTTGTCACTCTATTTCTACAAAGTATCTTTCATTCCTTCTCTGTGTGATGCTTTCATAGTTCAATGGAGAACTAAGCCCTTTGTTTTAGACACACAGAGACACACAGACAGACAGACAGACACACACACGGATAGGGAAAGACAATCACAAGAAAATATTCAAGCAGGCACAAATTTAGATTCATACACAGATAGTAGTAGCAGAAGACAGGGAGAGCGAAGTAGAGAATTCAAATCTGGCTTGCTCTTGGTTAGATGACACCTGAACTGCTTTAATTTCTGTCTTTAGTATGACACCAACACCTGAATTTATTATTAATGTGTTCAGAATGACTGCACAGGTACTCTTCAAATTTATGATATGGATGCCATAATTTATCCTTTTGTTAGATGTACGATTTCATCTGAAGTAAAGGTTGGTGCCACTTAGGTGGTTTTCGGTTGCAAGGCTCCATTTGCAGGATATCAAGGGCTCCATTGTATGGATTTCCATTTAAGATATAAGATGAACTATTGTGTGCAGAAAGATCTGTTTTTGTTTTGTTTTTGTTGTTTTTGTCTTGTTTTATTTCTAGACAGAATTGTTCTGTGTGGCACTGGCTGTCCTGGAACTCATCTGTAGATTAGGCTGGCCTTGAACTCAGATGAACCACCTGCCTCTGCTTCCCAAGTCTTGAGTTTAAAGGCATGCCCCACCACAGCCCCAAATGTGTTTTGTTTTTGTTTAAAGACAGGCAGTGGGGGGGCATACCTTTAATCCTAGCACTTGGAAGGCCTAGACAGGTGGTCTCTGTGAGTTTGAGGCCAGCCTGGACTACAAAGAGTTCCTGGACAGGCTCCAAAAGCCACAGAGAAACACTACCTCAAAAAACCAAATCAGAATATTCTTGCTTCTGGCTCCTATAGAGTAGCTGGGACTACAGGCCTACTCCATCATGTGTAGCTGGTTGTAAATTTTCTGGGATAATTTTATTACAATGAAAACCCAAAATTCTTGTGCCTAGGTAGATGGTTCAGCTGGTAAAGTTTACCATGCAAGTATTTGTCCTACGTTCTGATCTCTAGTGCCTACATAACGTGGCAGTGTGTACCTGGAACCTATCAATGGGGAGGCAGATCTAGGAGGACCCCTGAGACTCACTACTCAACTAGTTCTGCAAAATCAGTAAGCTGTAGCCTCAGTCAGAGGCAGAGGCAAGTGGATCTGAGTTCAAGGCTAGCCTGATCTACAAAGCAGTTCTAGGACTGCCAAAGTTAACAGATCCTTCCACAATATGGTCCTTGGGATCAAACTCAGAACATCAGGCTTTACTGAGAGATATTCTGCCTGTTCCCACAGCCTGTTCCCACAGCATGGTGTGTGTGTGTGTGTGTGTGTGTGAGATAACTGTAGATCAACATGCAGTGCTTTTTAAATTTAATTTTGTTTAGTTTTGAGATTATAACTTAATTACAATATTTTCCCTTCCCTTCCCCTCCCATGCACCTCCCTGTTTTCTTGCAAACTCGTGGCCTTTCTTTTCCCATCAGTTCTTATTGTATGCATATATGTATTGTGTATAATAAATATACTCCTCACTGTAACCTTATATACTGTCACTTGAATGTATGCTTTTATGGCTGACGATGTGACACTGGACAAGCAGTTGATCTTCTCTTCCTTAGGATCACCTCTCCCACTTCCCAGTTTTCCTCAGTTACCTGTAGTTCTCTATGGGCTGAGGCTTTGGGGGGTTTTTCCTTGTCTAGTTTGGCACCATATGCAGTTTTAAGAAATAATATAGATTGCTCAGCAGTCAATTGCAAGTATTGCTCTCAAGCAGGATCTGAATTCAAATCCCAGAACCCACATTGGGATGATCACAATCACTTATCACTCTAATTCCAGAGCACCCTGAGGCCACCTACTCTTGTGCATACATCATGCACACACACACACCTAGGAAAACAGTTGATACAGGAGCTGGAGAGATGGCGGTGTGGATAAGAGCGCTTACTGTTCTTGCAGAGGCCCAGAGTTTGGCTCTCAGCACTCACATCAGGCAGTTCACAACTTCCTGTAACTTTAGGCCATTGAACCCAACACCTGTTCTGTACACCATTCAAGTGCACATTCTCCCCATACAGACACACATATACACACCTAATTAAAATTAAAAGCTTTTGAGGGCAATGGTGTTGCATGCCTTTAATCCCAGCTCTTAGGAGGCAGAGGCAGGCAGATCTCCATGAGGTCTACAGAGTGAGTTCCAGGACAGCCAGGGTTACATAGAGGAAACCCTGTCTTGAAAAAAAAAAAAAAAAAAACAGAACATTTTAAGTGATGGAGATTTCATGTACACTTTCCTTAGTTGTAGCTGGCTTGGAACTCACTGCAGACCTGGCTAGCCTCAAACTTTTGGTGATCCTCCTGTCTCCTGTGTGCTAGGATTGAAGTCATGTACCACTCACTCTTCATGGCCATATTTTGCCCATTTTCTAACTGGATTTATTAATAAACTTTAAGAGTAGTTTCCATTTTTAGAAAAATCTGTGATAATATAGAGTTCCAATATACATTTCACCCAATTCCATTGAATCCAACTCCATTCCTTTATTGAACATTTGTCTAATGGCCATCCTTGGTTTTTACCTGAATTTTTTTTTTTTTTTTTAATTCCAAGAGTCCATGCAGTGTATCATATGTCATTTAACCACCATGTCTCCTTAGGAAATCTTGGCTGTGATAGTTTCTCTAGCTTCGTTTTTAGTGACCCTGACAGTTTGAGAGCTACTGTCATGTATTTTGTAGCTTGGCCTTCCATTGGTATTTGGTATGTTTCTCACAATTAGACTGGGACTGTGAATTTGGGGAGAAAAGGCGCAGAAGTGGATTTCGCTTCTCACCAGTTTCATTATCTGCCTGCCTGCCTATCCATCTCTACTATATATCAGACATAATAGATATTATATATACAGTAAATAGTATATATATTACCAGCACGACACTGGAGATGTTGACCACCTTAATTTTGGCAAGAATAGTACCTGTCTTATATCTTCCCTGTAAAGGTATCCTTTTGAAATTTTTTCATCTTGTAAATGCACCAATTTACTTTATAAACCCATACTAAATTGAAAGTTTCGTAAGTCAAAATGGATTGAGGGCCAGTGAGATGGCTCAGCAGGTTAAAAGGGCTTTTTTCTAAGCCTGACAACCTGAGTTCAATCCTCAGAATCCACATGAAGGTGTGTCTTCTTTATTTTCTGTTGTTGTGAGATGATACCATGACCAAGACAACTTGTAGAAGAAAGAGTTATTTGGGGTTTACAGTTCCAGACAGTGTTTAAAATGTTATTTACTCTTTTGGCTTTTTGTACTCTTCGGGGGCCCACCACCCAGCTCATACATGGAGGCGTATTCTTAGTTATGAATGCCTGGGCTTAGCTTGGCTTGTTTCTAGCCAGCTTTTCCATTTTATTTTTATTTATTTGTTTTTCGAGACAGGGTTTCTCTGTGGCTTTGGAGCCTGATCTAGAACTAGCTCTGTAGACCAGGCTGGGTCTCAAACTCAAAGATCCACCTGCCTCTGCCTCCCGAGTGCTGGGACTAAAGGTGTGCACCACCAACGCCTTCTAGCCAGCTTTTCTTAAATTAAGCCCTCTACCTTCTCCCTCTGGGCTTTTATCTTTCTTCTGCATATTTCACTGTCCTTACTCCATGGATGGCCTGCCGGCCGGCCCCCAATGCCCTCCTGTCCTTGTTCTCTTACTGCTGCTCCCTCTTCCTCATTTCCCCTTCTATTTATCTTGTCCGTCTGCCAGCCCTGCCTACCCTTGCCCGTGCCTGGCTATTGACCGTTCAGCTCTTTATTAGACCATCAGGTGTTTTAGAACAAGCAAAGATTCACAGCTTCACCGAGTTGAACAAATGAAGCATAAGCAAAAGTCACACACCTTAAATAATATTCTAACACAGGTTAGAGTCAATGACCATTAACACTGGGGAGCATGTCCACAGGCATGGTACTGGACCAATCTGAGAGCTGGCAGACTGACCTGTAATGATGAGAGAGCTAACTGGGAATGGCTTGATTTTTGAAACCTCAAAGCCTGCCTCCAGACACATCTAATCCTTCCCAAACAGTTCCAACAGCTGGGGACCAAGTATTCAAGGATAGGACCCTATGGGGCTGCTGTCATTCACAGCATATCTGCACACACAAAACTAATGTTTAAAATACTGAATTAAATGAAATGTGCCTAATAGGAATTAAATTTGACATCTAGCAGTTACTCCAACACTGGGAATAAATCTCTTTAGGCACCTTACTAGCCATTAGCTTTACCTTTTGTTGTAGATCATAGGTCAGCAACTACCTGAGACCAAATATAACTCCCCGTCTCTGTTTCCATACTGTCTGCTGCTGTCGTGTTGTTAGCAGGCCAGTGGATTTAGCTGCGCCAGAGCTCTTGCAGCCACAGGGTCCAAAATATCTGTTTCTGCACTAGTATATTGAAAGGTAGAAAAGAATTTTTAAAGGCTGGAGCCAGTATAGGGCTACATAGCAAGACCATTTCAAACCAAGTAAAGCAAAAAGATGTTGAGTAAACATGGAGCTGGGGGTACTGGTTTTGCAGAGCTTTAGTCCCAGTATTTGGGAGGCAGAGGCAGGCCAGATCTGAGTTCTGAGGCCAGCCTGGTCTACAGAGCGACTTCCAGAACAGCCAGGGACACACAGAGAAACCCTGTCTTGAAAAATCAACCAACCAAACAAAAACCAATTTAAAAAAAAAAGTAAACGTGGATATTTGTGTGTAGCTGTTGGTTTGCAGAGACTTCATACGTGATAAAAACGTCCTCGTTCAGTTCCTTCTCGGCTCGTGAAAATGCTTCGAACCCTTGCCTTATATTCTAGTTAGGAAACACTAAAGCATCTTGTTTTCCCTTCCTGTGGCACCGCCAGCCAGGTCCGTCATCAACAAGCTACATCTCCGCCCCCACGTCTCCAGAGTGCTGGCTGGGGTTAGATGAACGAGCTGCGGCCTCCAACCAGGTTACACCATCTAGGACAAAAACACCTCATTTGCTGTTTGCATCTTCCACATCCTGTCAAACTCACCTCAGGGATACTTTTCTGGCAACCTCTCAATCCAGATTGGGGGAGGGGAGAGGGGAAAGTGATAGGAGTGAGGGGGCAGAAAGAGACAGACTTCACCGGGACACCGGCGCCCTGCTGCCCTCCAGCCTCCCCTCTACCTTTCTCACTAGGGCTCCTTCATCTCTGTGTCCCTCATCCCCCAAGTCCGGGCCCTTAGTGTCGTCAGGACCCACCCCGACTCCCTCGGAAAAGCGCCGAGCCTCTTCTGCGATTCCTACCCTGGCGCCCGCGCCCCACGCCGCCTGCGCCAGGGCGCCCGAGGCCTGCCCGCAGGAGGAGCTACGTCTCGCGCGAGCCCCCGCACATCTCGCGACACTTCGGCGGGTCCTCCCGTGCCTCAGGTCGTAACCGGACTAGCAGTCTCCGTCTGGCACGCTAGTCACTGCCGCCGTAGCAGGAGCGCAGTGGAGCCCGCGGTGCGGGGTTGGGGCGCGACCGCAGGCTCCGCCCGCCCGCCCCGCCCGCTCCGCCCCGGTGGGGCCGGGAGGTAGGCTGCAGCGGGGACATGCCACGACTCCCTCTGCGAGGGCCGAGAGCGCGAGCGGCTGCGCTGCCAGGCGAGTCCAGGTCCGCGGGGGGCGCTGGGCCGAGCGGGCCAGGGGGCGGGCTCCGGTCTCCACCGGACCCGAGGCATCCGTGGGCGGCTCGGCTGCGCTTCGCCGGGCCGCGAGGCCTGGAGCTGGTGGCTGGAGTCGGGCGGGAGCTGAGGGCAGACCGAGCAAGGGCTCTCAGGCGGATAACGGGGAGGCCCGGGCGGCTCGGCTTTGCTGCCCGACCGTGCCCGGTGCAGGGATGCTGCTCCTGCTTATCCATCTTCCACTCAGAGCTGTGAGCTCTGTTTCCGTGCCTGTGGCGCTGGTCACCTGTCATTCTTCGTGGAGGGGGCTATTGAGGTCACCTGTTACTTTTCACCAGCAACCTGGGCGCCCAGTCTCCGTAGGCTGGTGTCCAACTGTGGCTGCAGGCAAAGTTCCTGTTTGGGCGTCAAATGTTCCACAGTCTATGTTGAGGCACACTTGCAGAATCAGCCTAAATGATTCTTAAGTGGCTGCTTCTGTTTTCCGTAGTTTAAGATTCTAATTATTTGTATAAATGTGTGATGGTAATGTGTCAGGGAACCCGGAGTCTTAATGAACCTACCTGTTAACGATTATATGCCACACTTGGAAGCAGTGAATTTCCAGCCTTTGGTGGTACGTTTAGGTTGAAAATTATGGTGAAATACCTTGTTGCAATCAGTTTTGACCATGTGTATCTTGGTATTTCAGGGTTTGTTAAAAGAGTTTATTATCTGGTCATCCATTTTAGATTTCTAAAGAGAATTGGGAGCTTCAGGGCAGAATGGAGGAGCTGAACATTTTGTTTCCCTCCCCCAAATAATTTTTTATTTTTGTTTTAGTTTATGTAACTTTTCAAAACATGCTCATTTTGTGTGTGGGGGGGCGTGTGAACATTTACAGTGTTAACAGGCAATTAATAAGTCTGATATTTTGATATTGCGTTCTAGAGCGAAATGTCATCAGTGGAATCGAACCAGGAGCACCTGCCTAAGTCAGATCCATCCCCATCACCAAACTCCTCTAGTTCCTTTGAGCTGATAGACATGGATGTCAACAGTTTGTATGAACCCGTTTCTTCACATTGGTTTTATTGTAAGATAATAGATTCTAAGGAGATATGGATTCCTTTCAACTCTGACGATTCACAACAGCTGGAGGAAGCACATGGCTGTGGTAAGAAGAAAATGGTGACTTGTAACAGATTCTCATCTCTCTCAAACTAAAAAGTAATGGCCCTTACTGCAGTCGATAATAAAGTTAAATTTTAGAAACTCTCCATTTAGTTTTAGTACTAAATTTCTCCACAATTATCTAATATTTTCTGTAGTCTAGCTTGTGTTTTAGTTTTTACTTAGAAAGTATGTGTATAGAGTAAGGTGTCACATTGCAGAATGAACTAACATGTCATTTGGGGTTTTTTTTTTGGAATTTTCTAATTTTTTATTTTATTGAGTCATACATGTTTCCCCACTCCCCTTCCTTGCAACCCCCCTCTTCCCACACACAAACACATTCCCAGTTTACTCTTTTTCCCCTTTTTAGGCAGATCCATGTGTGTCTCTCTTAGGGTCCTCTTTGTTACCTAGGTTCTGTGGGGTTGTGGTCTGTAGGCTGGTTGTCCTTTGCTTTATGTCTAATGTGCACTCACGATTGAGTACCAATTATATTTGTCTTTCTGGGTCTGGATTACCTCCTGGGATGGCTTTTTCTATTCCATCCATTTGCCTGCAAATTTCAAGATGTCATTTTTTTTTTTTTTTTTAACCACTGAGTAGTACTGCATTGAATAAATGTACCACATTTTCCTTACCCAGTTTTCAGTTGAGGGGAATCTAGGTTGATTCTAGGTTTGGGCTGTTAATGAGCAAATGTCCTTGTGTGAGTGTGCATCCTTTGGGTATATGCCAAAAAGTGGTATTACAGGGTTTTGAGGTAGATTGGTTCCCAGTTTTCTGAGAAACTACCATACTGATTTCTAAAGTGGCTGTACAAGTTTGCACTCCCACCAGCAATGGAGAATCTTCCTCTTCACATCCTTTCTAGCATAAGCTGTCATCAGAGTTTTTGATTTTGGCCATTCTATCATTTGTGGGGTGTTTTTTGTTTGTTTGTTTGTTTGTTTGTTTTTGTTTTTCCTTGTGAAACAAGAATAGTGGTATTTATGGTATATCATCACGGTTGTCATTAATTTACCTTTTGATCCCTCAAGGAAAAACTTGAAAAATCTTTATGTATGTATGTATAGTATGTATGTATTTGTATGAGTGTGTATGTGTGTGTATGTATGTATCTGTATGAGTGTGAGAGAGAGAGAGAGAGAGAGAGAGTGTGTGTGTGTGTGTGTGTGTGTGTGTGTGTGTGTGTATAAGAGGCATTAATTAGGGAATCCTCAGGTAGTTTTTTTTTCTTTAAAATATGATTGGTTTTGACATATGAGAAGTGGTTCATGAGAAAGGAACTATATTCAATTTACTTTAATGTATAGCCAAGTAGAAATTGTTTACGTTTCACATGATTACTCGGAGTGTAACTTTCAATTATATTTTTGGAGAGTTATTGTGACATACTGTACTTCATTTCTCTTTTGCAATTCTTATAGGAAAGGATTGTAATGAGAGAGTTGTTCCCACTGATGGGGGCAGATATGATGTTCATTTAGGGGAACGGATGCGGTATGCTGTGTATTGGGATGAGCCACCATCAGAAGTGAGACGATGTACATGGTTTTACAAGGGAGACAAAGACAATAAATATGTTCCTTACTCAGAGAGCTTCAGCCAAGTTTTGGAGGTATTCCTCTGTTTCTGTTTTACTTACTATTTTCTTTTGTCATTTTTTGTTTTTAATTCTTCTATCATATTTTGTGTAACCTCCAGGAAAAATTTGCCTGCTTTTATGTCACACTTTGTGTAATTTCTCTTTGCAAGTTTGTGTCAGGGTAAAGTTTTTTAGATTTTAAATTTTATAGAAATTATATTAGGCATTTTAAGTGAAATGTAAATGTTTCCCTAATGATAATTGTTAACATTTAAAATGTGACTAAAAAAAAATCTTTTAACTTATTTATTTGAGACAGTGTTTCTCTATGTAGTCCTAGCTATTCTAGAGCTTTCTGTGTAGGTCAAGATGGCCTCAAACTCAGAGATACCTGTCTTCCTTTGCCTCTTTGGTGCTGGGACTAAAGGCATGTACCATGACACCTAGCCATTTTTAAGTTTTTTTATTTTAATGAGTGAGTGTTTTGCTTGTGTGTATGTGTGCAATGCCCAAGGAGGCCAGAAGGAGTTGAGTCCTCTGGATCTGGACTTACAGATGGTTGTGAGCTGCCATGTGGATGCTAGGAATTGAACCCAGGTCCTCTATAAGAGCAGCAAATGCTCTAAACTGGTAAGCCTCTCTTTAGTCACAATTTGTATTATTCTTGTGCTGAGAAATAATACAGGTTTTTGAAATGAAATAGAATGTTATTGACACATGTGCCAATATGAACAGTGATAGAATTAAAAGTAATATCTATGTGTGTATACACACACACACACACGTAGAGAGTGTGTGTTTTTAATCTGTTGTTGTTGTTTTATTGCTTGAGACAGGGGTATTTGTTTTATTTTGTTTCGTGAGACAGAGTCTCATATACCCCAGATATGCCTCAGACTTGACAGGTAGCTGAAGATGACTTCAGCTTCTGATATGCCTGCCTCTACCCCCTTGAGTTCTGGGACTCCATCACTATACTTGGTTCTGTGCTTTGCTGGGGATAGAATATGAGGCTTTCTTCATGGTAGTCAAATTGTATCTTTTTGAGACAGGGTCTTGCTGTGTATCTCTGGCTGGCCTGGAACTCACTGTGTGACCCAGGCAGGCCTCAGATTCGTAGAATCCTCATGTTTCAACATTCCAAGTGCTGGGATTACAGGTAGAAAAGACCACACTTGGCTGCTGGTCATTGTAAAAGAATGTTAATGAGCTGGGAATATAGTTCAGTGGTAGAATGCTTGTCTCTTATATGCAAGGCCCAGAATTAATCCCCCAGCACTACACTACCAAGAATTTTAAAATGAATTTGTAAAGTTATAGATTGATTTTCTTATTAAAATTCATTAATAAGTCCAGGTTTAAGAAAAAAAACTCTTAAAAAAAAAGTCTAATATAAATATATTCTATTTTAAGGAAACGTACATGCTTGCTGTAACTTTGGATGAATGGAAAAAGAAACTAGAATCTCCAAACAGAGAAATTATTGTATTACACAACCCGAAGGTAAAGTGAAATATAGTATGTTACTGAGATTAAGATCAAAGGTAACCATTGATCTTTTGTTCTATGGATGGTACATAGGATATAACCTTTGGCATGGTTTATATTAGATTCACTAATAACAAAGGTTATTAAGGTTTATAGTCGTTATTCCCTCTGTTCAGCTTTTACGTAAGAATTTTCTTCTGTTTGTGTATGGGGATATGCATATATAACAGTGTGCTTGTTGTAGCCAGGAGACAGATTTGAATATCTGTCCTGTTCTGTGTGGAGACGGCACTCTTCATTGTTAGCCAGAATCATGTGTTCTGCCTCCCATCTCAGCATAAGAGCACTAGGGTTAAGATTTATGAGTAATGTGTTCAGCATTGTATAGGTTCTGGGGATTTTAACTCAGGTTCTACGCTACAATAGCAGTGAGTGCCTTACCCAATAAGCCATTTCCCCAACCCTAAATCTTCTCATGGAAAGTTATATAGATATATATATATATAGATATCTATAGCAAAACCATCTATATATTATGTAAGCATATCTTTCATGTATAGGGTTTTTTTTTCCCCTAAGACAATGTTGTACTATGGAGCCTTGGTTGGCCTTGAAGTCACTATGTAGGTCACACTAGCTATGTAGACCAAGCTGACTTAAACTCACAGGAATTTTTGCCTCTGCCTCTGCAGTGCTGCAATCAAAAGCATGCACCACCACTCCTGGCCCATGTATGGGATATTATTGAAATATCTGTTCTCGTTTTAGGCTATAGAGTTGAATCTCAAAGCTCCAAGTGAGGTTTGGTTATATGAAAGATGTGTTTCTGTTATTCAAAATGTATTAAACTACAAGTTAATGCAGATTCTATTGCTCTGGTCTTTTCTATTTAAGCTCATGGTGCATTACCAGCCAGTTGCTGGGTCTGATGAATGGGGTTCAACCTCCACAGAGCAAGGGCGTCCAAGATCAGTAAAAAGAGGAGTTGAGAACATCCCTGTTGATATTCACTGTGGTAATATGAATCACTTGTTTTCTCTTAAGTTCTGATATGTTGGTCTGTTCTTTAAATTGTGACCTTTTATTCTTTCAAGTTATATTATTTTGAGGCTTAAAAATGGCCTGTAATTGTTTTATTCATAGTCTTTTATGAATCATTGCCTTTTTGTTTCTAAAGATGGCCTATTTTGAGCCTTTGTATAGGTAGCATTCAGTGCAGTTTTCAATAAAAGTAATTAAAATTTTTAAAAAAAGGTCTATAATTACATAGGCTTATTCCAATTAAGGTTAATATCACTTCATCGAAGTTGTTTGGGTTTTTGTTTGTTTTTGACAAAGGGTCTCATTTAGGTTAAGGCTGGTCTCAAACTCATTTGATAGTTAAGGATAACTTTGAAGTTTTGATACTCCTGCATTATCCCTCTTGCACTGAGAGTACAGGTATGCCTTGACTCTGCCTAGTTTATGTGATTCTGGGTATCAAACTTAGGGCTTCCCTGGATGTGATAGTGTACATCTTTAATTATAGCTCCAGCAGAGGCTAGTGGATCTCTGTGAGTCTGAGACCTGCCTGGTCTGCATAATGAGCTCCAGGACTGACTATGCTACCTATTGAAATGTTGTCTCAAACAAACAACCTAGGACTTTGTGTGTGCTAGGCAAGCATTCTGCCATCTGAAGTACATCCAGGTGGTGTATGTGCACTCAGTGCAAGCATATGAATGTGCAGGTGCTTGTGTCCAGAAACATGAATGGGGAGACTAGTATCTGTGATCTCTGTCAGTCTCCACCTTATTGCCTGAGCCAGGCTCTTGCTGAACCAGAAGCCCACTGTTTAGGCTAGCCTGGCTGACCTCTGCAGAACTCTGCAGAATTGTCTCCACTCTCCATTGGTGGGTTGCAAGCATGTGCAGCTGTATACAGATTTTTATGTGGGTGCTGGAGAGTCAAACTCAGGTCTTCATGCTTTTGCACTTTTCCCAACTAAGCCACCTCCTCAGCTCCAGTTTTGATTTTGGTTTTAATTTTTTTCCTTTTGGTCTCTGAAGCATTTATTCCTCAGAAATACAGAATGCTTCACAAATTTGTGGGTTATCCTTACAAAGGAGCCATGCTAATCTCTGTATCGTACTGAAGTGAACCTGACTTTTTTGAGTTACGATCTTACTGGCCTACTCCAGTGTGCATCTTCCAAGTGCTGGAATCTCAGGCATGTAGCACCATCCTCAGCTATTAAATACTGTGACAACACAAAAACTTACTATTTAAAGTAATTACATACCTGTAATCTCAGCACTCAGGAGGATGCAGCCGAAGGATCTCAGGTTTGACCCATTGTGGGCTTCATAGTAAGTGCCAGGCTAACTTACACTTTATAAAGCAACTCTGTCTCAAAAATAAAAAATTAAAGTTGAAAAGGATTCAGGGCATGATAACTCATGCCACTAATTCCAGCACTCAGGAGGTAGAGGGAGGCAGATCTCTGAGTTCAAGGCTAGCCTGGTCTACAGAGTGAGTTCCACGACTGCTACAGCTATGTAGAGAGATACTGTCTCAATCCTCCCGTCCCAGAGGAGAGTAACATAATATTTTAGCCTTTAAAAACATGGCCGGTATTATTGGGATGATTGTAAGAGTGGAATGATTAAATGAGAAAAATGTATCAATAGTCTGTTCCCTGGAATTGGTCACCATACTGTTATATAGAGGTACATTCTTAGGAAATACATGTATTGAAAGTTTAAAGAGGTATGCTGCATGAAACTTAGTGATGAAGTCTGTTTACTTCCGAATAGTTCAGAAAAATAAATATATGTATGTTTACACACCCAAGAAGAAAGCATAGTAAAATTAATGTAATTGTTTAAAAGTTGAATTTGTAACTGGAATTCCATGTTCCATGCCTATAATCCTAGCATTTGGGAGGTGGAGGCAAGAGGATCAGTTCACTGCCAGCCTCAGCTCCATATCAGGTTCAGGGTCAGCTGGAGCTAGACCCTGTGTCAAAACAAAACACTAAACAAAGCAGTTTGGATTTTTAAATAGTGCATGGGGGTTTCTTTAGAATTTTTTTTTTTTTTTCCTAAATCTTAAAGTTATCTCTAAACCTGGAACAAGCTTCAAGGACTTATTTAAGAATACTTATAACCCCAGCATTCATGAGGCAGATAGGTGGATTACTGTGAGTTCAAGGTTAGCCTGCCTGGTTTATGTAGTGAGTTTCAGGCCAGCCAGAGCTACATAGTGAGACCCTATCACAAAAGCATTAAGAAAAAAAATTAGAAAAGTAATGTACTTTTACTAAGTAGTTAAATATGTGTTTTGTGGCTTTTAAATTCTTTTATTTTAAATTTTGTTAGATTTATAACCTATTTCTAATTTTCTTTTTAATTTTACTTTTAGGGGAACCTTTACAAATAGATCACTTAGTTTTTGTAGTTCATGGGATTGGACCAGCCTGTGATCTCCGTTTTCGAAGCATTGTTCAATGTGGTAGGTTTGCAGAGCATGTAAGATAAATCACTTAAGAATTATCTCCTGTGAGTCAGAATCAAGCATTGTCTTTTGGTCTGTTGTCTTAGCTACATAAGAAGATTTACTTGTAGAGCTAAAGATGGTGACACGGGAGTGAAGCTTCTCAGCTGAGTCCTAAGTGCTAGGAATTTCCAGAGACTTAATATTCTTAGTATTAATCCATGAATGTGCAGGCCTGTAATCCCTGTGGATTGTGATTTAACTAGCCAATTTAAAACCAAATTCAGAGAGAACAGTAGAGATACAAGTTTAAGTAAATAATAGAAACTTATTGCTGCAGTTCCTACCATGACAAACCTCTTGACAAACCTCAAGCTTTAAGTCTGTATATAACTTAATTTTGAAACATAGTATGTTCAAAGCTTCATGGTATTCAAAGCTACTTGGCAGTCCCCTTCTACTTGGCAATGGTTCTGAATAAACTAAAATTATGACCTGTAAGGTTAAGGTTGATGTGATAAGTGTTTGGAACAGCAGTGTATATATATTTAATCTAAAATATTTAGGGCTCAGCAGTTAAGAATAATCACTGACTGCTCTTCCTCAGGATCAAGCCTTAATTCCAGCACCCAGGAGGTGGCTCACTTTCTGACCAGTTCCAGGGGATATGACTCACTTCTGGTCTCTGCAGGCAATGCATGCATATGGGATAGACATACATTCAGGCAAAGTACACATATGAGTAAAATAAAAATAAGAGTTTTGTTTTTATTTTGAGACAGAGTCTCACTATATATAGCTCTGGCTGTCCTGGAACTCTCTCTGTAGACCAGGCTGGTCTCAAACTCACAGAGATCTGCCCTCCTCTGCCTCCCAAGACAAGATCTGGGATGAAAGGTGTGCACCACTATTCCTTGATGAAAATAATCCTTTAAAAAAATACAAAGTACTGGCTAATGGATCAGGAAATTTAACTTTTGAATAGCTGTCTTACCAGGAGTGTCTGTGTGTTTGGGTTTTTTTTCTTTTTTTAAAAAAACAGTCTCTCTAGCTGGGAGTGGTGGTACATGGCTTAATCCCAGCACTCAGGAGGCAGAGGCAGGCAGAATTTGAGACTAGTCTGGTCTACAGAACAAGTTGTGGAATAGCCCAGGCTACACAGAGAAACCCTGTCTGAAAAAGAACAAAACAAAAAGAAGCAATCTTTTATTTATGTAGCCTGGCTGGCCAGGAATTCATTATGAGTACACGCTGGCCTTTTTCTTTCTTAGTAAATCCTGACTATTTTTATTTTGTTTTGTGTGTGTGTGTGTGTGTGTGTATGTTGGTGTTTTGCCTGTATGTCTGGGTAAGGGTGTCGGTTTCCCTGGAACTGGAGTTATAGACAGTTGCAAACTGCCAAGTAGGTGCTGGGAATTGAACCTGGGTCCACTCTGGAGGGGCGGACAGTGCTCTTAACCACTGAGACATCCCTCCAGCCACTCAACTATTTTTAAAATAATTTTTAAACTTATAAACATTTCATTTTCTTATTTGTGCTTGTGTGGGCACATATATGTCATAGCATATTTGTGGAGGTCAGGGGACAACTTGGAGAAGTTCTCTCTTTCTACCATGTGGTGGGTACAGTCTTCAGGCCTGGTGGCAAGCACCATTACTTACTGAGCCATTTTGCTAGACCAACTAGCTGATGCTGTGTCTATCAAATGCACATGCAAAAATCAAACAGGAAAACAATAGCACTTAGAGTTAGGTTAAGAACATGACTACCAGACTCTTGACATGGAGTCATGAGTTTTAAAAAAATTTTGATGTCAGCTTTTGTTTTGGTGAAAACCCAAGCCTTACATTAAATGAATATTTCCTAATTAAATGTCTTAGTTTTTTCTAACCTTGTGTCCAGTCAGTGTGTGTTCTAAGCAGATGTTGTTAGGAAGGGTTACTGCATGTTTTGTAGCATCCTGAGTCTGTGTACTAATTGCTTTACTGTTGATGCAGAAGTTAATTTTCTTTTCTAGTGAATGATTTCCGAAATGTTTCCTTGAACCTGCTGCAGACACATTTTAAGAAAGCCCAAGAAAACCAGCAGATTGGAAGAGTAGAATTTCTTCCTGTCAATTGGCACAGTCCTTTGCATTCTACTGGGGTGGATGTGTGAGTAGTCCCTTATGTCATTAAATTGTTAACTGTGATTGTGATATTTTCTGATAGTCATTATGCTTAAGGAAATATCTGCTACAACTTATTATGTATTAAAGTAAAATTTTTAGCCAGGTGGTGGTGGCGGCACACATCTGTAATCCCAGCACTCAGGAGGCAGAGACAGGCGAATCTCTTAGTTTGAGGCCAGCCTTGTCTACTGAGCAAGTTCTAGGATAACCTCCAAAGCTACAGAGAAACCATGTCTCGAAACCCACCCCCCCAAAAAAAGGGGGGGGGGAATAGGCCAGTGCCTGAGCATATATACTATTATATACAAATTAACTGTTTAGATCTCAACTTTCAGTGTTGAAAAAGAGTAATCTTCCTGCTGGTCTTGGTGACTCATCCCAGTACTCAGGAGACAGAGGCAAGTGGATGTAGATGGATCTCTGAGTTCAAGGCCAGCTTGGTATACATAGTGAGTTCCAGGATAATTATGAGTACATACAGGGACTCTGTTTGAAAACACCAAAGCAAATAAACAAACAAGCTTCCCATGAAAGTACAGTCTTTTTGATACTTGAGCTTAGCATTCTTCTCTTTCTTGTTTGCCCTCTCCAACAGAAACCTACCAACTTCCTCATAATCCTATTAAATAGCGATATCCTCAAGGGCCTCACAAGTGGGTTTTTCTCCCTGGTGTGTGCTTTCTGTTTTGCAGTTTTGAGAATCAACTCATAGAGTTTACCCATGCCAGACAAGCATTTTATTACAAAGCCACATTCCCAGCCCACCAGCATTGAGGGTTACTGATTTATGGATGATGGAGGATTAGCTCCTTCTCCTAACACAGCCTTTCTTTGAGTCAGGGTCTTACTGTGTAGCCCATTATGATTCTGAAGTCTTGATCCTCATTCCTTAATGTCCCAGTATTGGCATTACAGGCATGTGCTGTTCTGTCATGTACAGCTTCAATGTGGAGTTTTTATATTTTTGTAATTATTTTAGTATACAGGTGTTTGCCTGCCTGTGTGTCTTCACCCACTTGCCACTGTATAAAGGCATGCTTGACATACATCAGATCAAATTTGTGATTAAAAAGTACTGAATGTTTCTTAAATTGACATGCCATCTTTGCACAGGGGGCATGAAAATCTTCCCTGTATTATTCTAATTTTAGTATATGTGCTGAAGAAGCAACCATTATATATTTATAATTACTCAGAGATGTATCATTAAATGATAGTCAGTCCTTTGTCTTTAGATATCTCTGGTTAGAAGTGTTGTTCCTGATGTGGTAACATGTGCCTTTAATAGTAGCACTCAGGAGGATGAAGCAAGTGCAAGAGCAACATGATGTATCTAGTGAATTTCAGAACATCGAGGGCCCTTTAGAGATCCTTGTGTGTGCACACAGTGTGTACATGCTTGCATGGAGCTATACTCACTGTAGTGTGCATGCAGGAGTCAGAGCAGAAGAGGTGAATCAATGGTAAATTAGACGCTATTAAAGATTATTTTAAAACAGTTATTATTTGCTATCAGTGAATGTTTGATACATACTTATATACCTATATCCCTGGCTCTGAATGTATGATATTTACTTATTTTATATACCTACATACCTGAAGTTTCTGAATGTATATTTACTTTATACACTACATACCTGGGGTTACTTAAACATATTTTGGATAAAAAGGGATCACAGATTTAAGAAACACTGATATATGTTATTTCTAAATATGTACAATTTATTCAATAAATCAATACCATTCAAAATGTACTGCCATGCATACTACATTTATACACAAAATTCTCAAATTTTTAATTACCAGTAATGTTCCTTAGGTCTAATTTGGTAGCAAATCCTGTAATCCTAACATGTGAGAAGTAGAGGTAGGAGGACCAAGAGGTCATTCATCTTTAGCACATAGCAATTTTAAATTCAGTTTGGTCTACATGAGATCCTGTCTCAAAAACCCTTGAATTCCTGATCCTCCTTCGTAAACTTCTGCAGTGCTGGGACTGTAGGCATGCCACACCTAGTTTACACAGTGCTTGGTGCATGCTACTAGGCAAGCATCCTGAGCTGTCCTCATCCATCACAGATTTTAAAAAATCTTTATCTATTCTTTGACTGTTTTATATTTGTATTCAATATATCTTGATGATATTTACTCCCAACACTTTCCTTCCACTGCCCTGTAATCTCCCAATGTCCTTTCCCACCTTCATGTCTTTTCTGTGTCTAACTCACTTAATCCAGTTACTGCTGCCTGATGGAATGGCTGATCTTGTTGACTTGTCCTTGTGCAAATTTATTATTTTCCATGTAAGCATAACTGCAATGAGTTCAGGAGTGCAACAGCTATATTGTGTGCAGAAAACATCTTTTCTGCCCTCTCTTTGTTGTTTCCTAAGCTTTGGAGGTCTTGCTGTAGATGCCCCATGTATGGTTGAACATCAACAGTTGCTAGTTCTCAGCATTTGGCCAGCTATGAATCTCTGAACTGACTGCAGAAGAGCACCTGTGTGTTTCACCAAACACTTTTGTTCAAGCCCATCTTTCTCTATTTTGATAGGTATCTCTTGTAATGTTGTATGTTTGACTCTAAGCTTTAAGAATAAGCTAAATAATAACTTAGAAGCAGCAATGGTCTGGATTTAGGCTTTCTGCTCAAAATAATCCTTTTTTCCTCTCTCTCTCAGAGATCTGCAGCGGATAACCCTGCCCAGCATTAATCGTCTCAGACACTTCACTAATGATACGATTCTGGATGTCTTCTTTTACAATAGTCCCACGTATTGTCAGACTATCGTGGACACAGTAGCTTCTGAAATGAACCGAATATATACACTTTTTCTACAGAGGAACCCTGATTTCAAAGGGGGTGTATCCATTGCTGGTCATAGTTTAGGTAACAAATGAATTCCCTGTAGCCAGAGAGGACTATCACATTGTGATATATAGTATTAATTGCAGAGAATTCAATTAATCTGTGATGAAGACTTTGGAAGGGGTTGGAAGGGTGGTGGCAAACTGGAAAGATTTTCTGTTGATTTTCTTACGTTTGTAATTGGCTTATAACTTTTCTGTATAAAAGAAGCCAATGTCTTAGAAATTGTCCCTTCTTCTATTTTGCTTATAGGTTCGCTTATATTGTTTGATATCCTAACAAATCAGAAAGATTCTTTTGGGGATATTGACAGTGAAAAGGTAATTTAGAAGTTTAGATAGGTTGCCTTACAGTATTCCATACTAAGGACTTTTAATCTCTCTGTTTAGCTGAGTTTAGTCTTATGCCATAATGTTAAATGTACATTTATTTTAACAGCTTGGTAATTATCGCTTGTCATTCTTGGGTGATAGAAGCAAGACAGTATTTTGCTTCTATAAATCACTGTCATATTGTAAAAAAAGAATGGTGTCTTCTTCTCTTTGAAAATGTGCACTAATGGTGCATGGATAGAGTTGTAGTCATCGAGTTAACTGTAGCTTGCTTGCGAGGATGTGAAGAGTGACTTGGATGGTTTATGGACGTCATGTTTGGAAGCCAAGGAGAAACATGACAATGAAACTTATCTCTTCATCAGTCAGAGTCCCATGAACGTTTATCATGGTAGTAGTGATTTATGTATTTGGTAGACATTGTCTTTTATTTTTCTTTTTAAGTGTCCTGTGAACACTTGGGTTATGAGTTCTTCTAGGACTGGGCTCTGTCTTAGACTATTTTATCTTTTAGATATTTATCTTTTACATGTATAACTGGTTTTTTTTTTTTTTTTTTTTTTTGGATATTTTTATCTACATGAGTTTTCTGTTTGTATGTGCATCAGAAAGTGCCAGGTCCCCTGGAACTGATGGTGTGAGCTACCATGCAGGTGCTAGGAATTGCTCTTAACCACTGAGCCTTCTCTCCAACCCCTCCCTATGTAGCTGTTTTGCCTATATATATGTAACTACATCATGTATATGCCTATTACCCCTGAAGGTCACAAGAGGGCATCAGATCCCATGGAACTGAAGTTACAGGTGGTTGTAAGCAACCGTATGTGTGCTAGGAACCAAACCCAGGTCCTCTATAAGAGAGTAACTGCTGAGTCCTCTCTCCATCCCCTTCTTAAAATTTTAAGTGTATGAATGTTTGGCCTATGAGTATGTCTGTGTGCCTCACTTGTGCATGGTGCCGTCAAAGGCCAGAAGAGGGCATTAGATCCCTGTCACTAGGGCTACAGATAGTTGGGAGCTGTCATGTGGCTGCTAGGCATTGAACCCCAGGTCTTCTGGAAGGGCAGCCAGTTCTCCTAACCACTGAGCCTTCTCTCTAGCCCTGACTGTTTTATTTCTCTCTGTTTCTTTCTTTCAATCTTTTTTCTTTTATCTTTTGATTTTATGAGCTTGGGTTTCTTTGTTTACCTCCTGCTGTCTTGGAACTAGTTCTGTAGACTAGGCTGACCTGGAACTCACAGAGATCCACTTGCCCTTGCCTTCTGAATGCTAGGATTAAAGGTGTGTGCCATCACTACCTGGCCCGTTTTATTTCTTAAATTTCTTAAATTATGTTTCCTTAATAAGAGCTCAGTAAAGGTTTGCTAATGGTGATAGAGAATATTTGATATTAATTTAGAAATACATTTTTGCTTGGCATGCTAGTACATGCCTTTAATCCCAGCACCTAGGATGCAGAGGCAGGTGGAACTCTTGAGTTTGTGACCACCACAATCTACATAGTGAGTTCTAGGACAGCCAGGCCTACACAGAGAAACCCTGTTCAAAAAAAAGTATTAAAGGTCATCCTTGCTTACATAGTAAGAGACTAGTCTGGAGTTCATGAGACCTTGCCTCAGAAACAAAGCAAAGTATTTAATGTTAGGATTTGTTATTGTAGGGTCTGGACAAATGGCTCAGAGGTTAAGAGCACTGGCTGCTGTTGCAGAGGTCCTGAGTTCAATTTCCAGCAACCACAAGGTGGCTCACAACCATCTATAAGTGAGATCTGGTGCCCTCTTCTGACCAGCAGACATACATGCAGAACATTGTGTACATTTAAACAAAAATTAAAGAAAAAAAAAGATTCGTTATTGTGAATATCTTACATAATAATTTAAAATTATTAAATAGTATTAATAAAAGAAACTAAATGAATTTTGTGAATAATAAGCTTTATGATACAATTTTTAGGGTTCATTAAGAACTGTTGAGGATCAAGGAGATGTACCAACATTAGAAGAAGATCTGAAGAAACTTCAGCTCTCTGAGTTCTTTACTATCTTTGAGAAAGAGAAAGTTGATAAACAAGCTCTGGTAAGAAAAGGCTTTTAAATTTTATACCAAGCCATTTTCAGTATTTTTATCTTCATCATGTTGACCAAGAACATGCCCTTTGGAAGCTTTTTACTTATAAATATTTCACCATTAATTATGATCTTTAGCATTGTTTATCTCTTTTTATCATATAAAGAGGTCAGGGCTCATCATATAAAGAGGTCAGGGCTCAGATGAGCCATATTGATACATACATATAGAGAGGGCATATAAAGCAGGCTAAGTTTAGAGAGGGCATGAGGCAAGAGCTAACCCTGGCCTGAACAGTAACTGTCCCAATTCTTATTTTCTGTTATGGGAAAAGATCAGTATCACTGGTATTTTCTTTTCCTCATTTGTCTTGTGCTTTTTCTGGTTTGTAATACATTTGTTCACTTAGCTGATACATAACTACCTACTATGACAGGCATGGGCAACAGGATGCTTGTAAGATAGACCTTGTCACTGACTTCAGTGTTGGCTGTCTTTTAGGAAAGGTGAATTAATTATACATTATTTAATTAGTTATGTTAACTGATAAGGAAAAGTACACAGTGGTGTAAGAATGCAAAGGAGAAGATAGTCCTCCCCACTGAAATGAGTAGCACTTACATTGAGGTTTTGTTATTAATCTGTTGTGTTACACTACTTTGTTGGCCAAATGTTCTCACAGCTTCTGTCCATCAGGAAGAGTAAAATGTGAGAAACTGACATCTAAATGACCGTCATTTCAGTTCTTTTTTTTTTTTTTATAATATTCTATTACAATCATATTGACAGTATAGTTTTTACTAATACTCCTATTCTTAGTTTATGTTATGAATAAAACAAGACTTTCTTTCTCAATGTTACTTGTGTGTTATGCTTTTAGGAAGCCAGCTCAATATAGAACCAAGAAGAGTGACTCCTTTCAGAGTCTACAACATTTAATTGATTTTATTTTGCTTAGAAATTAAAAAAACAAAAACAAAAACTGTCTTGTGTTCTATGCCTAGGCTTTATGCACAGAAAAAGATCTTCAGGAAATGGGAATTCCCTTAGGACCAAGAAAGAAGATACTAAACCATTTCAGGACCAGAAAAAATTCAATGGTTTGTCTCTAACACAGCTTAGTGGGGTGAGACAGTTCTTTGACAGTGATAGTAAACCCTTATGCTTTGTGAGATATATACTCTGCTAACTAAACAGATGGTCTGTACTAGGGATTAAATCTAGGACCTCACACTTGCTAGGCAAGTACTTTAAAACTAAGCAATATCTCTATTACTTTTTTTTTTTTTTTTTTTTTTTTTTTTTTTTTTTGAGACAGAGTCTCAATAAGTTGCCCTGGCTGGTTTTAAATTCACTCTGTAGGCCAGGGAGACTTCAATTTGAACTCGAGATCCTCCTGCCTCAAGCCTCCCAAGTAACTGGGACTATAGACCTGCATTACCAAGCCCAGATCTGGTTTCATTTGCTTTTTGTATTGTTGAAACAGGATTTCTCTGTGTTACTCCTGGGCTTTAATTTGATTAAAGGTATCTGCTAAGTCCCAAGTCTTGATCCAGTATTTATATTATATTCAGTACCCAGAGACACACTGGATTTGCATTGATTATAGAGGCACATACTTTTATAGAGTTTAGCAACAATGCTCTACAGTTGTCTGTCATGCCTGCCTGCGATTTCAGGGCTGCTAAGATGGGTGTGTATAGCAACCATCATTTATTTGTTTGTATTTTTTTGAGACATGGTCTCTCTGTGTAGTCTAGCTTAGAGCTCAATATATAGATCAGGCTGGCCTTAAACACAGAAAGATAGATAGGCCTGCCTTTAACTACTCCCAAGTGCGGAGTTAAAGCTGTCCTCCACCAAGCCCAAGAACTTATTTTTTAAAGATTTATCTTAATTTTTTTTGTTTTATGTGTTTGCCTGCATGTATGTCTGTGTACCAGATGCATGCCTGGTGCCCGTGGGGATCAAAAGAGGAGATTGGATCCTGTGGGACTGGAGTTAGACCGCTGTAAGCTGACATGTGGGTGCCGGGAATCGAACCTGGGTCCTCTGGAAGAGCAGGCAGTATTCTTAACCATTGAGCCATCTCTCCAGCCCACTTGTATTATTTTAGAGCACGTGTGGGATGTCAGCTCAAGAAAGACAAGACAACTGTTAGTTGTGAAGGACTCTACTTAAAATTATTGGTTGCCATTTTGAAGCTTTTCCTTTGACATTAGCAGCTAGTTTCAGGGGATAGTATCTCCACATTTTTTTTTTTTTTTTTTAATTCTTTTTAGGATGTTAATAGACCAGCCACATCTGCTTCAGAAGTAAACAGCCCCAAGGAAAATGGTGACTATTTGGATGTTGGCATTGGGCAGGTAAAAATACTCTTCGGTTTTTGTTTAACTACTACTAGTCATATGTAGGAACAAATAAAACTCATTATTACTGAGAAATACCTCTCTTCCGCCTTCCAGGTGTCTGTAAAATACCCCAGGCTCAACTACAAACCAGAAATATTCTTTGCCTTTGGATCTCCCATTGGAATGTTTCTTACTGTCCGAGGATTAAGAAGAATTGATCCTAATTATAAATTTCCCACATGTAAAGGTTTCTTCAACATTTACCATCCTGTAAGCATTGAGGAGTTGCTATATAGTTTTACCTAAACACTAGAATTTCTTAGCAAAAAGCATGTAATTTTGTATTGATTTGCTTTTTCTGTATTATTCATTAGTAACTAGACAGTAGTATTAATTAGGAAGAAGCAAGTAGGAGCTGGTGGTGGCACATGCCATTACTCCAAGCACTCCAAGCAGAGGCAAGCAGATCTCTGAGCTTAAGGTTAGTCTGGTGTACAGAGTGAGTTCCAGGAAAGCCAGAGATACACAGAGAAACCCTATTGAAGAACCAAAACAAACAAAAACAAAACAAAAGACAAGGAAGAAATTAGAAGAACTGCATATTTATATGTATGAAGTCAGAGGATAGCCGGGGTACCATTTGTCAGGGGCTGTCTACTTTTTTTTTTTAAATGAGGCAGGGTCTCCCACTACCCTGGTCTGACCTGGGTCTTGCCAAGCAGGCTAGACTGGCCAGCCAGTGAACCTCAGGGATCTGCCTGTCTCAGCCTCCCCAGTGCTGTTTGTCCTCATGCCCAGTTTTTTGTTTTGTTTGTTAAATACAGTTCTAGGAATCAGACTCAGGCCCCTGTGCTGCCGGTCAAGCACTGAATTGAATAAGCCATCTTCTAGCCCATAACTGTACCTTTTTACAAAATAAATGTAATTATTTTTGCCTAAGATATGCAATTCCTTGAACTGTCTTATTAGGGATAAATATTTAGCTGTTATTTTTTTGTGTGTAGTTTGATCCTGTAGCATATAGGATTGAACCAATGGTGGCCCCAGAAATAGAATTTGAGCCAATGCTGATCCCACATCATAAAGGCAGGAAGCGGATGCATCTAGGTGAGTCTGTGTATAGAACTGAATTCTGGATATTCTGATGAGTATAAACTGGAATTGATTGTTTCTTTGCTGGGCCTTAAACTTAGCATCATGTAGCATCTCTCCTTTATTTGCTGTTTCAGAGCTGAGAGAGGGCTTTACCAGGATGAGTATGGACCTAAAGAACAACTTGCTGGGTTCACTGCGGATGGCCTGGAAGTCTTTCACAAGAGCTCCATACCCTGCCTTACAAGCTTCAGAGACAGCAGAAGAAACCGAGGCAGAACCTGAATCCAGCTCAAACAAGTTCAGTGGTCAGTGACACTGTATAGAGGTTACCTGAGGAGGGGTACCATGCTGTGGGGTTCTTCCCAGGCATCTTTCCTTTCCCCTCTAATTATGTAGGATCTATTCTGTCAGTCATAGTTATCCTTGAACTATGCTAACTTTTCCTGTATTCTAATAGCTAAAAATTATGGGAAATAACTATATGACAAAAAATGTCAACCTATTAGCTATCCTTAAAAACATTTCCCACTTTGGATTTGGGAATGATGACACACCTTTAATCCCCAGCACTCAGAAGGCAGAAGCAGGTAATTTCTGTGAGTTTAATGCTAGCCTGGTCTGTAGAATGAAATCTGGGACAGCCAAGGCCACAAATCTATTCTGTGAAGTACCTAGTTAATATCTGTGTGTGTGTGCTTGTGTGAATGTATGGCATGTATAACTGCCATTCGAGGCCAGAAGAGGGTACTGGGTCCTCTGAATATCAGCAAGTACATTTAATGGCATAGTCAACCCTCCAGCCTTATTGCTTTTTTCTTTTTTACACATTTTTTTTTACCCTTATGGGTGTGTGTATGCTTGAGTGTGTATATATGTGCACCAAATGTATGTCTGATGCCTTCAGGGGCCAGTCATTGGATTCCCCTGGTATTGGTGTTATGGGGGGGGGGGTTGTAACCTACCTGGTACAGGTGCTAGCAATTAGACCGGAGTTGTTTGCAGGAGCAGCAAGTGTTCTTAATTGCTGAGCAGTTTCTTCAGCCCCAGTAGCTAGCTTTATAAGATGAATGTGTGGTCTTTATCAGTTTTATTTCTGTTGCTGAGGACTAGCTTGAATGCTCAGTCTATACCTGTTTGCATTTAGTTTATAAAATTCAAGACATATGACGTACAGGAGATGAGATGTATTGATCAAGAAGAAATTGAACAAATTAGTATGACTTGAGCTTTAAAGAAATTGAGAGGAAGAACACAGAGAGCTCTCTGAGCAGAGTACCTCATCATAGGTAAATGTGGGTTCTGAGGGAAGGGGTGTGTGTGTGTGTATGTACATACATGTGGAGGCCAGAGTGTCTTCCATCTTTCTCCACCTAAGTTTATTTAGACAGGGTCTCTCACTGAACTTAAGAGCTTTCTAATTGGCTAGGAAGCCCCAGGGATCCTCCTGTCTCTGCCTCCCTAGTGTGGGGATTGCAGGCATGTACTGCCTTGGCCAGCTTTTTATGTGTGTGTCTGGGTGTTGGTGATTGGAACTCAGTTCCTCATGCTTGCAGGGCAAGCACTTAGCCAACTCCACTGAGTTTTGGTCCCCAGTCTTATGATGGTTCTTCTTATCCAGAAGTTAACACAGAAGAGACGCCCGTGGAAGTTAAAGAAGAGCTATCAATCAATGTGGGAATGCTGAATGGTGGCCAGCGCATTGACTATGTGTTACAGGAGAAGCCCATTGAGAGTTTCAATGAATATTTATTTGCTTTACAAAGCCATCTATGCTACTGGTAAGTGTTATGTGGATTTTTGTGTTGTTTTGTTTTTGTATCCTTATCTAGTCTTCCCTTTCAGCTCTGACAGAGTGGAGTGCTTGGGTCTCAGAGTTACTGGCTACCCAGCCAGCTTTGGTCTTTAAGAGGTATCCTTTTAGACTGGTTTAGACCGGTGTAATTGTTCATGCCTATAACCCAGCATCTGTGACATAGTCTGCAGGATTTGAGTGCAGGCAGCCTGAGCTCCCAACCCCCACAAGGGGAAAAAAACATTTAAAAGCATTTACAATAGGTAAGGCACATGTATATTGAATATAATATTCTGGTGGAGTGTAGATCAGAGTATTGGTAATAATTTGTATAATTCTCATCACCCATGAGATAGAAAGCTAGAAAAATAAATGGGGCACAGAGAAGTGTTTGAAAAGATGCTCACCTGTAATCCCAGTACTCTAGAGGCTGGGGCAAGAGTGTGTGAGCTTCGTTTTTCTTTTTTTAACATTCTGAGGAATTTCTCTATGGTACTCGGCAAAGGGATGATTATCTGGCATACTTAGTGGCATGCCTGTATGGGAAATAGAATCAAACTAAAACCCAACACATTCAGTCACTATACGGAGCTAAAATAGTTCTCTTTAATGTTTTGCTTGTTTACATTAAAAAATCATTTAATTATTGGGCAGTGGTGGTACACATGTTTAGTCCCAAAGCATGCAGAGGCAGATGGATCTCTGTGAGTTCAAGACCAGCCTGGTCTACAGAGCAAGAATCAGGACAGCCAGGGCCGCACAGAGAAACCCCAGCTCGAAATAGAAAAAAACCCACCATTTAATTATGTCACTTCTCTTGCTCAGGCCATTGGTCTTGGTGGCATGCATTTTACATCTGAGCCTGCTTGTTCGCTCATTAGAAAATTAAGCTTCATTTAAAAACTGTCTTTGAGCTGGAAATGTATGTCAGAACTTGAGAAATGGGGGGGGGGGTGTCAGGGGCTCAAGGACATATGCTGCTATATTTTTAATTTGAGGCCTGAGCTACATGAGACCCTGTCTCAAAGCCCAAAAAGCTAGACCAAAAAGAATGGCCTCCTAATCTGGATTAAAAATTTTCTGACGGGTTGAAATTCAAAAGAAGTAGGTTTTTAAAAAAGAATGTCCTTCATGTCAGTCACCTGTTGTGCCTCTTAATGCTGGGGTTGAAGTTAATTAAGCATGTGTCAACAAACTTTGCTAGTGTCATATTTAGATCTTTCTTGTCCCCCATCCATAAAATACAGTCTATTCTGATATTTTATACTTTTTTCAAGCAGGGTTTCTCTGGGGCTTTGGAGCCTGTCCTGGAACTCGCTCTGTAGACCAGGCTTGGCTGACCTCAAACTCAGAGATCCACCTGACTCTGCCTCATGAATGCTTGAATTAAAGATGTGTACCACCTTGTCCAGTTTATATTCTCATATTTTACATGTAAATCTGGATTCATTTAAAATTTTAGTCTTAAAGAATGGATTTAGGGTTTCTTTTGCTGTAGTAAATACTCATGACCAGAAGCAACTTGAAGAGGTTAAGGTTTATTTCAGTTTACAACTCTTAGGTCACATTTCCTCTGAAGGAAGTCAAGTTAGGAACCCAGGGCAGGAATCTGAAGACAGAGCTAAAGCAGAAGCCATGGAGGGAAAGTGCCAGGACCCTTACCTTTTCCTACTTCCAGACATAATGCTTTGCCAGATCCCCTTCCAAACTACTGCCTAACAGTGCAATAGTTCAGGGTGGTGGTGGCGTGTGCCTTTAATTCCAGCACTTGGGAGGCAGAGGCAGCCAGATCTCTGAGTTCCAGGACTACTTTGCAGAGAAACCATGTCTTGAAAAACCAAACAAATAAAGCCAAGGTATTTGTATAGATAAATGGCACCAGACTGTTCCATCTCTTCTCAATTTTTTTCCCCCTACACAGGGAATCTGAAGATACAGTATTGCTGGTCCTCAAAGAGATCTACCAAACCCAGGGTATCTTCCTTGATCAGCCTTTACAGTAAAAATGGCCCATCTGTGGCTGCTAAATGTAAGTTTCCAGTGCAGTGTAGTGTTTATATGTGAGCATGTTACAAGGAATATTGGAGCCTCAAGACTTTATACAGATCTGTATGTGTCTGCATGATCTAGAGTAATATTCACTTTGAGGACTGGTTAAAACTCATAGGAAGTATCCAGTCACTTATGGATTAGTGAATATTTTGTGCTTGGGATCCTTAGAGTTAGCATGTTCAGCCTTCCAGATGGGAACTTGGAAAGTCTGTATTAGACAGTGCTATTCTCTGTGGTGCTGGTTACCCTCCACTTGAACTGCCCAGTGACCTCTTCTCCGACTCTCCCCTGTAGATGGACACTAAGGGACCCTTTCCTGAACACCCACAGGCTTGTTGCTGCAGCTCTCTTCTCAGCTACATCACCTTCTGCATGTTGCCTGCCTCTTACTCCACAGGATCTTTATAAGATAATCCTTTTTGGAAATTAATGGAAAGCAAAAGGAAGACTCTTTGCTTTGTGAACTCACTCACTAGTTTACATCTTTTAATGCTTTAACAGCAATACTTATTACATGGAAAGGAATACAGTCTATTGGGGGGGGCTAGAAAAATTATAGAGATGTTTACTCCTTGTCTTTAGAAGATGGACCGGTTTAGGAGTACTTAGGGGTCCAGTCATTTTCTGTGGTCTCTGCACTGGAAGATAAACATGAATGGAATATGAACATAGCTGCTAGTTTTCAACTAGCATTTCTTTCCTGTGTATATTATATTGGAGACATGACTGCAGCTTACTAAAACATAGCTTGCTCTGAACACTGTTAGCTAGACTTATTATAGAATCACTGGTACTGTGTGTTATTTTTACAACTGCTTCAGCTTCTGTAAATGTGAAGATTGTATGAGTTGTATACCTGCCCTTTATACCATATTCAAAACTGGGGGTGAGATTTGAGTAAGTTATTTGATAATACTTACTTGAAGGTGAAGTTGTAAGAGTTGGTCAATTATATGGCCATTTGCAACTGTTCATGTTTTAAATGAGGTCTTTTAGTAGCACAAACTTTTTAAGTCTCCTGCTACTTCCAGTTGAATAAAAGAAGTATATCGATGTAAACATTGCCTTCCATATGGTGTCCAAGGTCAAAATGTTTACTTAGCTGAGCATGCAGGTTAGCCAGGGAAAGACCATATTCTGAAAGAACCCTATTTGCAGGGTCTGAGGAACAACTGTGTACATTCATAGCTGAATCTGGCAAAATCAAGGGAGAGTTATCTCGAGGAACACTAGTGGTTGTATAACGTTTTTCTCAAGGTATCTGCTCAGTGCTCTGTGTTAGGCTTTCCTCCCCTTCTTCAGCATGTGCTGTCATCTTCGTTCTCTTCATGAGTTCTTTATGGTCCTCAGACCAACTCCTCAGGTTCCCACAGTTAAAGAGTGGCAGAGGAGGTAAGCTTTGTTTTGTCTTTTTTTTTTTTTTCCCTATAAACTTATCATGGTATCCAGAAGCTGTACATTTAATACTCACTGAAGGCATCCCTTAAACAGCAGCGGACTGTACCACTTGCCTACAGAAAAGAGGTTAGTCACTGTACCCTGGAGGTTACAGAGGCAAGCACGGGATATATCAAGCCTGGCTCTCCTTTCTCTGCTTATGGGATAATGCTGGAAAAGCAAGCTACTGAGAAGTTCCAGGTGTATGGATTTTTTTTTTTTTTTTTAAAGCAATGTCTCTTGAGTAGCTGAGAATTAAGTAGTCATTAAATACTAAAGGGTTTTTGTCAAGTTGCTGTCTTCAAACTTGTTTACTCTCATTGGCAGAATTGTTTTGACTTAAGAGTAAACCAAAGTACAACCAAGAATGAGTTCTTGTAACCAAAGATGGGTGGCTTGGCTCTGGAGAGCAGATTATCCACCGTGCTATGTGTGACGTGTTTCTTCCTGGCAGTCCAGGTGTACCCTCACCATCTGCCTGTGGTGTTACTCTGCTGTGTGTTATACAAGTAAAGTAGCAAGGGGCCTCTGTGTAGCTGTAGTCTCTGCCCTGCATCATTTGTACCATGTACAACCTCTTGATCAAGGCTGTTTTTAAACTCTATCTTAATAGCAATGTTGTCCAGATTCCTGCCTGCAGAGTTAGTGGGACTGTATCAAGGGAAGATGAATAGCACCAATTACCTTTCTGATATTTTGCACTTTTGAAATGTTTGTTTTATATGTGATTATATTTAAGACTTAAATGCTGAAATAAAACTATTAACTAGTTACTTTCACGTGGCCTTATTTATCATCAAGAAAAAAATCAATATAGTAGCCATTTTCTCTTTTCTTATGCGAACTCAGAAATTTTAGGCAAATAATATGTAAGTTATTTTCTCTTGACTAATGTCTTGTCATGGAGACATAACAGCTTAGAATTTAAAGTATGACAGTTATAACAGGTTATTAGTATTTATAAATATTAGCTTGTACAACACATAATACAGTGACATAGAGCAATGAGAATCCAGTATTGAGCTCCTAGACCCCAAATGGTTCTTACAGTACAAAAACTCAAGCACATTTCTTCTATTTCACTGACTTATGGAGGGGGGAAAATGCACTGAAAATATATTTAAGAGTGTTACAGCTGATCTCATTGGTGCATGCCTTTAATCTCTGCACTTAGAAGGCAAATCTCTGAGTTTGAGGCCAGCCTGACCTACAGAGCAACTTCCAGGACAGCCAAGGCTACAAAGAGAAATCCTCTCTCAGGAAAAAAAAAAAAAAATGTTCTAGGAAAATACACATGACAAACTTTTATTTAGAGTATAACAAAAAAAGGTAGCTATTAGGTGGACCTCAGTATCAAGTTCTCATGATAACCTATAATTGTTCCATATATTTCTTTGTGAACAAAAGGCAGAAAATGGTAGCATTTGTCTTCTAGATAATATCTGTAATTTTTCTTTTTTGATGAAAACATTGGCCAAAACTGGTAGTTTTATTAAGGCTTAATGGAATGTGATCACAAAAAGTAAACAAAGTTTAACTGGTACTGCCCTTATTTGTAAGGGACAGAGATTAAGTTTGGTAATAAAGTCTTCAGGATAAAGTGGTATCATGAAAGTCTCCTCGGTGAAAAGGTATCTCGAGGAGTGACATTTTCAGAAGTGTAAAGACCCTAGATCTTGGAACACCAATCTTATGACCCAGATCCATTAACCTAGTGAGAGTACTCCCGGAAGAGCCCCCTTGCCAGAACAGGCTCCAGGCAGGAATTCCAGAGGGTCTAACCTTGTAAGTGGGGCAAAGTGCACGGTCCTGTGGTGACAGAAGGAGGCAGGAACACAGTGTGATGGTGCCCTCACTTTTACCTTTGGAAGAGGTTTTTGGCTTGTGCACGGTGTCCACTTAGGAGGGCTGATTTGTTTGTTCTCCACTGATGCAGGTTCACCTAAATATCCAAGTGGTGAGACTCGCTGGGCTTCCTCTGTGAAGAGGGGAGTTTGTGTTTGTCTTGAAATGGTTTGTGGCATTCTGCATCAGTCAGAGGAGGGTAGTACTGCCTGTAGCAGATGTAGGCAAATGCGATTCCAATCATGGATCCAACTAGTACATCTGAAGAGAAATAGGTCGTTTTTATAAACCGTGTTAGTCACTACATCCAGGTTACTCTGTAGAGGTTAAGAAAGTCCTTGGCCCATGGTATATAATTTCTTAGGAGTGTCTTAATTTTATCATACAGTTACAGGACTATTAGGTTATTCTCTAAACACCAGATCAGGACACACACCCTGCATTAAATCTACATGGACTGAGTTTGAATTTTTTTCTTCCCAAGAGAGTTTCTCCTGCTCTGTAGACCAGGCTGGCCTCAAACTCACAACCTGGCAAGTTAGAATTTTTAAACACAGGAGGAAAACAAATATTCATGATATTCTAATCATTGTCTGCTCTTCATTATTTCAAGAATTGTGGCCAAGATTATTATTCCAACACTTGGGAGACTGAGGCAGAAGGGTAGTTTGTTCAAGGTGAGGCTGGGGCTAGAAGACCCTGACTTGTGGAAAGGGTAACTCTGGAATCCTTTCCTTCCTTCCTCCTTTACATGTGCTCCAGAGATCAATCACAGTATCTTTACCTCACTGAGCCAAAAGTTCACTTTGGTCCCTGTGACATGGCACAGGACCAGGCTGGTCACACTTGCTCATTTGCTCATTCATTTGGCAGACACTTAGGGAGCCACTCCTCCGTGCCAGTTTCTAGGAGGAGCAGGAACTTCCCGGGCACCCATAACTGCTTACCTTGCCAGTGGTGCTTGTAATCACATGTGCGGGACAGTGCAATCACAGCTGCGAGGAGTAGAGGCGATAGGAAGGCACAGAGCCTCCAGGACTCCCCCCGGCCTTGTGGTGTAAAGCAGTGTAACTTCCCTGCCAGGTAGAAGGAAGCAAAGGCCAGACCAGCAAATGCAACTGGAACAGGGAAGACCTATGAGTTGTGCATTTCTGTGGAAGCCCCGTCACTCATGTCCAGGCAGGAGGGTGGGGGACAACGGCAGGCTTTAACCCCTCTTGATTACAGGGATAGGAAATGAAGGACTTAGTTTCTGTCTCAGAGTTAGTATTTTAAGCAAGAATAGTTTCTGGAATACAAGTTATTACCGTAGACAGTGCTGTAGATGCCTCATCTATAAGTGGGAATCCAAAAAACTGCTCTTATAGACCCAGGCTGGCCTTGAACTCAGAAATCTGTCTGCATTTGCCTCTCAAGTGCTGGGATTAAATGCATACACCACTGTCTGGCTTGAATAAAGACGTTTTATGACTAGTAAGAGAAGGCTCATATCTAGCAAGACCCCGAAGGTTAAATGTAATAATTTTTAGAAGCACATATTGGGGCTGGAGAGTTAGTTGCCTTGACAGCAATTAAGAGCTCTTGGCTGCTTTTGAGATCTAGGTTTGGTTACTAACATTAACATGGCAACTGTAACTCACTTCTGACCTCTACAGCATGGACACACAGTGTATATATAAACAAAACACTATATACATGAAACAAAAAGCAATGAAGTAGTTCATCTGAGGGTCATACAGGAGGAGTGTCCGCTGGGAAAGCTCTTCCGGCCCTCATTCACCACATACTCATCCCCTGTGCAGGTCAGGTCAGAATGAGCCAGCCCATCAGGGAAGCACCGGTAGAAGAAATCTGGGCGTGGCCTGGAAGAAATAAACACATTGTGAGCATGAATTTACTCTAACAGAAAGCATTTTCAGTTGTAGATGTCAATTCTGTTTACCTCTGTCCTAGGCAAGATAAGATAATGTAACAGGAATAGTCCTTACACTGAGAAAAGAGCTTTAGTCACGTGTTATAATTTAAGAAAAGCAGCCCCACAAGAGAAAGACGCCGAGTGACAGAGTTGACAGGATTCAAGCAGAGGTTTTTTTTTTTTTTTTTTTTTTTTTTTAAAAGGAAAAGGGATTATAAAAAGGAAGGAGAGAGGGAGGGAGGAAAGGATGAGAGAGGGAGGGAGGGGAAAAAAGGAGACAGGGAGAGAAAGAGAAGAATGGGAGGTGGGCAGGGCCCTTTTAAAGGGAACTTAGTGCATGTGCACAGGTGGTGTCTTAGTGGCTGCAGCTGAGGGCGCGTCCTGTCAGAACCCCAAGGACAGGCAAGCACAGATGCCTGAATACTGAATACTAACAACATGGCCAATGTTGAAGGGGAAAGTCTCAGCACAAGAGCAGCTAACCCTGCAGCCTTCGGTAGGCTAGAGGCTGTGGTGGGAACACAGTGAGCGCAGGACCCAGACAGGTGGCACATTAAGGACAGGCAGAGGGCAGGAAGAAGAGAGTTCTGGGTGAAAAAAGGTTAGTGTGAGAATAAAGGAAAAAACGTTGAGATGATGGAGGCTAAGGAAGGTCGCATGTCACTCACCTGCCCACTATCAGTTTTACTGTGTTGGTGAAGACACCATTCAGAGCTAGGGCAAGGCTCGCAGCTGGAAAGGAAAGGAACTGTTGGTGTCTGATTGGGGGAAGAGTAGCTGCCACCACATTAAAAGAGCTCCTTGTTCCGAGGTAGAATCCAACCATTGCCAGGCACAAAAGCAGCTGTGGCCTGTGTACCTGAAAAACTCCGGTAGCAACTGTGGCCTGTGTACCCATAAAGCTTCCATAACCAGCTCCAGGGCACGGAGAAGCCAGGGGATTTGGGTACACCTCCCTGTAGTGCCTGTGTCAACAGAGCGCTTACAGGACCAGTGTTTCGCTGCCACACCGGGTAATGAGAGGAGTAAGAGTGCACACTTTAGGGGTCCACACAAGGCTCCAGTGGCTGCACCCCACAACTGCTTGACAGCGCTAGCAGAGAAACCTGAAGGGGCTTCCTACCGAGGCAGGCTTGCTTGCTGTCGTTGGTGTCTGCTTTCTTCAGAAACTTGGCTAGGAAGATCAGGGACAGTGGAGTGAGAAATGCAATGACCTGAACGAGAACACAGGGCAGGTAAAACCACCAGCTGCCTAGCAACCCCACCCAGACGCCACGCTCTAGACCTGGATCTCAAGGATCCCACTGGAGAACCTAGAACACGAGACGGAGAGGAGGCCCTGCAGGCCGGGGGAGGGCAGCTCACGCACAAACATGGGGACGGTGGGGAAGTATTCGGCCTCCACGTACGGGTTCCGGTAGAGCCACAGTTCCTCGGGCTGGATCCGTCTCTGGAAGGGAGGGAGCAGCTCGGTCACCCTGGGGAGGAAAAGGGCGAAAATTGACAGGCACCTTGGCCGGAAGGACTTGCCGCCCCGAGCAGCTTCTCATGAGCGAGCACCCTGGGACGCCCGGGGGGTGTTGTGACACATTCTTACAGGAAGGCCACAAAGAGCAGGCCCCGCACGCCCAGCTCGGCTCCCAAGGCCGCCATCCCCATCCCGCCGCACGGCCCGGCCGCCAGGTGCTGACGTGGCTCAGCCCGCGCTGTGCTTAAGCCCCGGCTCAGCGCCACCTGGCGAGCTCCGAGGAGACACTACCAGCAGCAGGGCCTCTGACCTCCCCGCAGCTGCAGCACCACAGGAGCTTCCCGGAAGCAGGAAGCTCATTTGCTTTGAGCACCTCCTAGCAAGAGCAACAAAGTCACTGGCCCTCTGGTTGATAGGCATGACCTAACCAGCAGGCCACCTTTGGTTCTCAAAGCACTAGGATGAAAGTGCCCTTCAACCACCTGGTTGGTACCCAGATCACCTTACAGGACGCTGAAAAGAACAGCATCCTCCAATGACCCTTCCATTAAAAAACCAGAAAACTCACTTTAGTTCTTAGGAGCATTTTAAGGGGAAAAACCTGGCTGGATTGGGTGGATTTGTGTGTGTGTGTGTGTGTGTGTGTGTGTGTGTGTGTGTGTGTGTGTGTGTGTGTGTGTGTGTATTTCATTTCCCAGTAAACTGGACATGAAATTACAGGCAAAGAACAAGCCCATATACTTAATTAGAACATACAGGACAATTTATTAAAGTCAACCTCAAGCAAGACCTGAAGCCAATGGAATGCCATTAAAACTTTTCCACATTCTTACAGAACCAGAAAACACATTTGAATTCTAAAGTATCTGTAAAATTAAAATGGCAAAATTTCAGTAAATACAATGTACAAAAACCATCCCACCAGCACACGTCAGTAAGAAGCTTAAAATATTATAGGCAATCCTACACTACAACCAGTTAACAGTAAGCTATCTACACAGGTTAACCAAGATGGGTAGGCTCATACTTAGCAATAAAACAGTCAATCAACAAAACCCTTAAACTATGTTTCAAAGTCATCATACAGTAATGCCCTAGAAGAATACCCCTGGCGAAAATTAGTCCTTTATCCCTTAGTGTTTGTTAGGAGCTCCTGGCCATGTCACAGAAACTGAAAAGACTGTCCAGGAAAGGCTGACACTTTGCTAATAAGGACTCAAGTGTTTAAAGCAAAGTAATACTTCACAGGAACTATAAAGTTCATTACAGGTAAATACAGTTGTAAATAATCTGTAAAGAACATTATTCAAAGAACACAAAGAATGAAGACAGAATCTGCAGGTATTTGTTTATTGTATAATATTCAAATGAACACATGAATTTGCTGTATCAATTCAAAATATACACAAAGCTTTGTATATAAAAAGATCTTTTCAGCCGGTTGTAATCAGCATCTTGGTTATTACTGGCAGTACAGTTACCATAGGGTACATAATAACAACAAAAAAATAATGAGATGTTAATTGACAATAAAAGCAAATGTAAATTTCCCTCATTCCCTTTAAGTGACAAGAACCCCTATCCAGGCAAACTAGCAAATAATGGAAAGCCATTTGCAGGCACCAGGGCTCTGTCAGCAGGTAGGGTAAAGACAGTAGAAACTGGGGTGCTTCTCATCCATCCCTTAGCAGACCAGTGAAGTCACAAGAAAACCAAGGACTGAATACTGACTTTGGCGACTTCTATTCTCCCTTTAGCTTACACATTAAGGACTTTCAGAGCCTACTAAAGGATAAGCAGTGCTTCCCCCTCCCCCACACAGGTACAAATGCTCACATCTGCCATTTTTGCAATGGCTTGACAAAAGCCAAATAACAATTTTTTTCTCCCTCCCCACCCCCTTTGAGACAGGGTCTCTGCATAGCACAGACCTAGCTGTCCTGGAACTCATTGTGTAGGCCTTGAACTCACAGACGTACTCCTGCCTCTGCTTCTGGAGTGCTGGGATTAAAGGCATACCCAACCATGCCTGGCAGAAATTTTTTTTTTTTAAACAGTATTACAAATAGCATTTCTGGAGTGTATCATAAATGAAAACACCCACCCACCCCCACACACACACCCAGGCATATATTAAAAGGAAATAAGAGATACTTGGGATGAAGTAAACAAACAAAAAAGACAAAACAAACATAGGAAATAATTTCTAAAAATGCTGTTGATATCTCCTGCAGGTATCTTCCCCAAAGGTACCAACAAATCTTAAGATAGCTATGCTCCCACTGGGAGAACTTTATTCTTGACAGTATACAAAGCAGTGCTTTCCACTCCATCACTTAAGGAACTGTAATGAGAATCTGGAGTGTCTCAAGTACTTGAAGAACCTGCATTCAATGAGGCCGAGGTCTCAGTGTTATGGGAGCAATACTGTGCCTGTGATGAATACTCACCATTGCCCTTCCTTGCTCTATTACTATCTTTCTCTCACGATCCCTAATATCCTACTTGGTGGAGTTTCAGTACACACAAATGTCTAGCTTTTCAGTATTTGCTAAACACTGCAAATATGTCTACATTTACTCCTTGAGTTCACCTGAAAATGGACTGAGGTCTACTTTTGTTTACAAATAACCAGAGACCAAGGCTGGCTGGTCCTTCTTAAAGGGCGTGTCCATCTCATTATTTCCTGTGCTGTCCATAGCAGCTTAGCAGATTAGGGGGTAGTCAGATGAAATAGGCATGTGAGAAAGAATTGAAGTTGAGTAATAAAGCAACTTCCAATGTGCTTGTACTTGTGAGAAACATAGAAACTACAAGTTTCCCAAGCTGGGAGACTCAAAGGCAATTTGTTCTCCTCTCCCATTAGGACATGGAATGGGGCTAGGAGCACCTCGGCTTTATGTGAATGGATGCTGCAAGAGGAGAGCTGTGTTTAAAAATAAAACGGCAGATAAGCAGCAGGGCCTGGGGAACCAGGGTCTACATTCTGAATAGATGACACTATGACTTCAACCTGTAGGTCTAACTGAACTTATCACATAAGAACTCAAATAAGAAACTATTCGGGAAAGTTGTCCACCAGCCCCACCCATCTGAGAGTCACATGACCACAGACACTCAGTGTCTCAGTCTCACAGACACGCTTGCAAATACTGTGACTGCAGCCCCCTTCCACAAATATCTTTTTAGTTTCAAATATGCTAACTCACTTATATATATTATATGTTATTTATACACAACACACAGAAATCTCCAAGTTCCCATGGTTCCCAAACTCAGTCTATTCTACAGCTTAGGTAAGAGAGTTTTTGAGAATGAAAACAGAGTAGGGCTTGCAGTGCAAAGGTAAAGATACAATCCAGTCCACTCTGATCTGTAACACTGCGGAGATTATGAAGGTGAATGTCTACTTCAGCACACTGACAGTGAGGGCCCCTGCCCCTTCTTCCTACGCTGGGCACAGGCAGCTATTCTGGTAACCCAGTATGGCCTCCAAACACGGCCTGTGATGGCTTCATGACATCATCTCCAGATCTTACTAATCCAGTTTCTCGTCTTCCTTCAAAGACTCAGAATGAGATTAAAACTACCACCATTAGCCTGTGCTGCTCCAAGTGCTCTCATTTCTGGACTGAATAAAACCAGCCCCAAATACTTTGTACCACATACAGACTTAAAGCTAATGAATAGCATTTTCAGACATGAGTAAGTGCAGTGCCTTTTGGATATACTCTGATGTAGGCCAGGAAAGCATGGTGTACGCATGTTTACTTACATAGTCAATGAGCCTTCTACTTTTTCACCCTCAACTCTAAGACAGACCTAGGCCGCAAAGGCCCAGGAAGATGCCCTTGCATTGGCACAGCAAAGCCAAGTTCGAACACTGAAAACTTGAGGGCTGTGCGGAACTTCCTGAACCTCACCTTGGCTTCTGAAACAGCAGAACAATCCCATTAGTCATCAAAAGAGAAGAGATTTGAGAAGTCTTTGCAAAACTCTTTTAGAGATACAAAAACAAATAGCCACACCAAAGAAGCTAAATAGAGATAGGTCAACCTAAGGTATTTATAAATACATGATGCACCTTGGGGCTTACTATATAAAAGTTATCCAATACTAAAAAAGCATAAAGTCAAAAAGGAAACAAGATACAATTTCATATTGGACACCATTCTCATAAGAGTTACATTTGGAATATCAAAGGAAACCCTTTATCAGTGAGTTTTAAAAAATGTTTATCATATCTGTATAAAATAATATTTTAGTATGATAGAACCCAGATATTCTTACATTATTTTTTAAAGGACATCAAACTTGACAACTGCTAAAGAGCAAGTACGGTGTTTGCAGGGCTACACTTCACACCAGTCAGTCATGGTGGCTGCAATGGCGCCCTGCACCACCCTGCCGCCCTCCCGCTCCTCGTGGGAGCTCGTGTAACTACAGAATTACTACAAGTGCTACATCCAGGGGGTGGCAGTTTAGGAGCTCAGAGAAGGAAACGGTAGTGTCTGTCATCTATAAATTGCACATTTATGTATATACACACATATACATATATATATACTTAAAAAAAAGAGGCACAAAATTGTTCTTTCACTCAGAGAAAGAAGTCTAAAATGATTTTTTTAAAAAAAAAATTTAAGAAGGAACAAACACACTTGAACAACTCCAGGGTGCCGCAGAGAGTCCTCCCACCTATGTTAAAGAAGTACTAGGTTCTTAAATAAACCCTACGGTGTACTGCCTGCCGGCAAGCAGTAAAACTCACTAAGAATGTTCATGTTTTACAGTAACACTAGGCTTCTACTTAGTCCGATGTTACAGTGTCTCACATGATTTCACACAAGTAATACTGGATAGATTCATCCCTAAGTGCTAGATGCAGGTAAACTCTGTGGGCAGACACCGTGGGATGCTCAGGTCTGTTCTACTCAAACATCTCAGCCATGTTTTGGAACACTGACTTTCTTGGGAGCACGCGTCCTCAAGCGCTTTCTAAGATGAAGTGTGTCTCCGAAGCTCCTACATACCCTGTGACAGCCCTTCCCTTACTCAATGGGGACAATTTTAAGCACTGTATAATACTAATAAGAAATTGTTCACATATAACTTGGGGATGTCTCTGTCTACTTTCACCGCCCCCAAGTTAGGAAATCAACTGAAAAAAAAAAAATCTTAAAATAGAAGTCAGATTCAATTACACAGCTCTACCAGGAAACAGGATCCGCTGGCAGAGGGAACATGAGTGGCACAGGAAAGACAGAAAATCAAATGCCCTTAAATTCCAAGTAAGGCTAGAGGCTACATTAGGTGGTCAGAAAATGGTGCGTACGTGCATACATGATCCAGCTTTTGGTCTGTGCTCCCCGGCAATGTGCCAGGGTGAAAGGAGTGAGCACCCGCCTCTGCATCCACAACCCCACAAATGCACACTATCAGAAAATCCGCAAACGGATGACATTCAGAATCAGTGAGTGCATTTCATTCCAGTTTCCCTTCTAGACATTTCCCTACATACACATTTCCAGGTAGTAACCGCACCATGTAGCTCACTTAGTTTAAGATCTCAGAGGTAAAAGCTCTCAAGGCGTTTGTTTCCAAGAGGTCAGACTGAATATTTGCTGAGAGCCTTGTCTGAGACTAGAGAAGGCATGGGGAGAAGGAAAAGGAAGTTAACCTAGCTACGGCTCAGTAAAGAGGTATATAAAGGTACACACACACACACACACACACACACACACACACACACACACACACACACACAGAGGTTAGATTGTTTGAACTAAACTTCTTACAACTCCTAAAAATGAAAATAAATAAAGGAATGGCTGATTTTGCTTTATACAACCAAGGATTGCATCTTAGGCTTTACATATTGATCTTATTAACAGATCTATCTCTCTCCCCCTTTAAAAAAACGAGGACACCTCTTTTGCTAGTTGCAAAGACACTGAAGCACAATAAAAGGCAAAACCAAGGGAATTTCACTGTCCACAAAATTATCCCCAAAGCAACAAAATGAATTAGAGAGAGCAGACACCACCTGCTTGGCCTATGTGAACTGCTCCTATCTTCCCTTTGTAAGGCCGTCTGAGGGCAAATGCACCAGCATCACTTGGTTTTAACTGCGTCATCTTTCTGCGCCTTCCATTTAGCGCAGCAGGGGAGGACGCATCCGCCATTCATTCTTTGACTTCTTCTCCACGATCTTGTGGTTCCCGTTTACATTTGATCTTGCTCCAATACTCTGGTGACACAGGAGATTCAGGGTTGTGCTCAGAGCAGCAGAGACGACCTTCTAGTGCAGATGGCACCAGAGCCCCCTTTTCATGCTCTTTACAAAATGAGTGTGGGCAGAATTCACAGAAGGAGACGGCTGCACGGCTACATTCATCGCACAGATGCCATGGACACTCCCACTTTCCTAAGGCAGGGGTTGGAGAAGGAAAGTGCCCGTTAGCCTGTTTCTTGATTACCCAGGAAAAAAGTCACGAGTCCCCCCTTTGTCCCTGGAGACAGGGTCTCACTCTGTAGCCTGGCTGGCCTGCCCTATGTGCTAGGATTAAAGGCATAAACCACCATGACCCGCCTTTTCTTTTCTACAGGCTCACCTTGAATTCCCAGGGACCAACCTGCTTCTTCGTCCCAAGTGCTGGGATTAAAGACGTGCCCCACCGCACCTGGCTCACACCCTACCTTCTTTGCTTACAGACTAAGTCCAACCAAATCCAGCTCCAGACTGCAGCCAAACAACCATATAGACATGTTATTCCATACAGACATGAGCTACTGGCCCAAGCCCAATGTCCCAGGTGCCAACTACCCATCCTGGTACCATAAATAAGACACTTGTCCTTGCTGCCACATGAGGTGAACCCAATTTGCACAGAAACATTTCTGACCAGAATAGTTTTGTTTGCTCTGTGAAATGTTTCTTATTTACAGTTCTTTGAAAGAGAGCAGAATGTACCCTCAGTTACACATAAATGGCAAAACCTGAAGCAGAGAAGGGCTTGAAAGTTCCGCTTACCATATGGTGGCTGAGTCAGGTTAAGGCATAGGAGGTGGTACGCTTTGGGACAGTCTTTTTTGTCACACATGACCAGCTCTCCCCCATCTCCACACTGGAAACAGTAATCCTCATGGATCTGCTTCGGCTCTGTTCTGAGTTTCCGTCTTTTCTTTAACTTGGCATTTTTTGTCTTCTCATCAACTGCAGCCACACATGCAGACTGGGAAGATAGACAGCACAGTTTCAACACCAGAAAACGATGAAGTTTTACATAGAGGGTGTAAAATGCACACCACACAGACTTAACTGCATCTCTGACTGTGTCCCACAAATACCAGAAGGGTTCATCTCACAGCAGCACTACAATAAAGCAAGGCTTGTCATTATCCATTGGAGCTGTTTGGTTTCTCTGAAGCAGTTTATTGAGTGCCCTGCTAGGAGGCAGTGAGCTGTGCATAAACTACAATACTGTTTTGTCATTTCTTTGATTTTAAAAAATGATTTATATTTTGTCTGTCTGTATGTGTGAGGGTGTCGGATCCCCAGGTACTGGAGTTACAGACAGTTGTGAGCTGCCACGTGGGTGCTGGAAATCGAACCCAGATCCTCTGGAAGAGCAGCCAGTGCTCTCGATCTCTGAGCCATCTCCCCAGCCCCCACTTCTTTCATTTTTCTTTCTTTCTTTCTTTAAACAGGCGGCTTTAAAGAGAGGGGGAGGGGGCAGTTCTTCATTTCCATGTTTCTCAAATTAGCCTGGACCACTTGGAAGGTACTTTGGAGAAATTAGTCAAGAAACCAAACTCCATACCCTCTTCTGACTTCAGTCTTTGCTGGGGCCGCAGCAGGAGGAGCAGCAGCTAACAAGGCCTTGACATTTCAGCGAGCGGGAAGGTGTGCTCAGTCCCCACAGACAGGTCTGTACACACTGATGACAGAGTATGGTGCTGAGGCAACAGTCAGACCCCCATCGGCAGACACACATGAGCGACACTGCTGGCAGAGTTTCCTCTGTGACGGCATGCACTTCGGTTCAGAAGTTTAGATGTTTGCCAGGGTCAAACGCCTGCTGGCTGGTCAGCCTGGAAAAGGGGAAGCTGCCCAGGTTCGGTGGTGTGGCTTCACAGGCTCCCACCTGGTTTCCAGTCTTCAGCTGCACATCGTGCAAGAGTTTCCGTGGTGAAATCACCCCTGCAGACTTCAGTGGTGACATTGAATGCTTAGAAGAAAGTGGTCTTCTAGAATCAGTGTTCTGGGCTGCACAGCGACCTCACACGGGCGGAGGCTGGCATCTTGTTGGGTAGCAGTGAGTCTCTGACCTCAGTGAGATTCTCCTTGGTGAACAGAAAATCCACCTCCCCACCAGACACGAGGCAAGCGTCTCTCCAGAGCTGGGCTGTTTTCTAGATGCCCCCAGTGGCTTTTCCTCAGGGCGTTCTTGTCCTTCGGCGCCATAGCTGTTCCCAGAGGGCCATGCAGATCTGCTTGGAGCCCACTGTCTGCCCCTGCACTGAAGCATTTTAGATGACCATCTAGAAGTTCAATAATCTTTCTTCAATGCGTGTAGGTATGAGTGTCTGCATGTGGATTTGTGCACATGAGTGCAAGTGTTCCCAGACACAGGAGGCACTAAATCTCTGGAGCTGGAGTTAAGGGAGGGCTGTGAGCGCCCTGATATAGATGCTGAGAACTGAACGTGGGCCCTCAGGAAGAGCAAGGGTTCTTTCTTGCACTTCCAGGCTGACCGTCTTCCCTGGGCATGACAGAGGTGCACTGATTGGTCAGACAACGGCCAACTGCTGAGCTGTTGCTTTCTTTGTTTTAATCGTAATGGTGGTTAACTGCAAATTGCTTTATTTCATTACTGTTCAGACTTCAGACAGCCTGCCTTTCCCCCAGTGACCTATAACTTACATGCTACAACATAAGCTTTGTACTTACGTAAGGTATTTGTTTGTTTGTTTGTATATTTATTTTCCTTTTTGGGCTAGCCTGGAATGAACAGCAATCCTCCTGCCCCTGCCTCCCAAGAGCTAGGATCACACGCTTGAGTCACCACACCTAGGTTACATTCACCATTTAAAAGTATATAACCCAGTGGCTTTTAGTACACATCAGAAAAATGAGACCTTACTAAAACAAGCTTCATTAAAAGTGAGAATAGCAGAAGCCTGTGGTCCCATTGGGAGGTAAGGGCAGAAGACTCAGGAACTGAAGGTCACCCTCAGCAACGCAACAGTTCAATGCCATCCTGCACTGGCTCCATGAGATCTGTGTCAAAAGAACAGTCACCACCCCACCACCACCACAGACAGTCAGCAACAGAAATGACAGAGTGGCGGGATTCTGTAACCCTGTCAGTAACCTGCAAAGCCAACCAGGTTCGTTAGCACGAATCCCTTCCCTGCCCTTGGCTGGGGCACCCTACCCTGTACAACTGACCTTTGGTCGCACTCCTAGAAAGCCACTACAGTTGTCTGATCCACAGTGGCACACTGTCCTGCCATTTCCCAGACAGTCCAAGTTATAATTAAATGTTAACTCCACCCCTAAAACACAAGAGAAATAGTTATTCAATGGCGCCATGAGGAAGAAATACTGCCAGACACAGGCACGCTGACACGTGGTTCTAACAAAGGCTTGTCCCAGGCTGGCAAGATGGCTCAGGAGGAAGTGCGTGCCATGCATGCCTGACACCGTAAGTTTAAGTCAGATCCCATGACGGAAGAGCAGGGCCTAATTCAGGAAGTGGTTATCTGTCCTCATGAGCACTTACGTGTGCACACATCATGTAGACATACCAAAAAGAATACAAGCTTAAAGACTTTCTCCTTCCATCTTACTAAAAACCAAGGGTAGAAACATGGGGATGTGCGTGGTTGACATCCCTGCCCAACAACGAGTACAGCAGAGCTAAGTATTCTGACCTGATGACACAGCCTTTTACAAAGTGGTTAAAATAATGAAAAATGTGAGCTATGATCAAGAAAAAGGGCTTCTTGCCTAGAACCCTTTAAAGCTGAACTCTAGTTTTTTGTTTTGTTTTGCTTTGTATTTTCAAGACAGGGTTTCTCTATGTAGCCCTGACTGGCCTTGAACTCACAGAGATCTAGCAGCCTCTGCCTTCTGAGTGCTGCAATCAAAGGTATGTGCCACTACCACACTATAATTCTAAATGAATAACATGGCACGCCATCGTGACAGTGTGAGGAATGCCTTCCACTATGAACCAATACAAGTTCACAACTCAAGTTCACTACACACATGAAAGCTCCAGGGATCCAAACTGACTCCAGGTGTGACCAACCCAGAGTCCAGAAAGATCTTCAATTTGTCCTCAAACTGAATTGCCCTTACCAATTCCTAACCCTTAGGAGACACTAAAGGTTCCCTTGAGATGCCAAGAAGGGAAGGAGAATGAAAGCTCCGAGTCTACTCTGAGACAGCGGCCTTTCACAGCTGAAAACAAAAAGCTGATGTTGATACGAGTAAATTACTTTTTATAAAAAGACTGACTTTTATTATTTTTAAGTATGTGTATGTGTGAGTTTGGGTGGGTGCCTATGGAAGTTGTCTGACCCCCCCTGGAGCTGGAGTACAAGTGGTTGTGAGCCACCCTACACAGATGCTAGGAATTGAACTCGGGTCCTCCGCAAAAGAAAGATTTAACAGCTGAGCCACCTCTCCAGCCACCACAAGCTAGCTACTTTTTTTGGTTTTTCAAGATAGGGTTTCTCAGGAGCCACCGAGCCAGTCCCAGAGCTCACTCTGTAGACCAGGTTAGCATCAAACTCAGAGAGATCCATCTGCCTCTGCCTCTGCCTCCCAAGTGCAAGGATTAAAAGGTATGTGCCATCACCACAGGTAGGCTACTTCGTTACTTTTGGTATGTAGCAGAGCTAGGCCATCTGGTCTAGCATCACACAGACAGCAGTATTTTGGGAAGGTCCTGCATCTTCACTGGAAGCAGTAACACACTGGCACACAGACGCACACCCCAGGCCCTCTGCTGCACAGAGCCTGCACTAAGTTCTCTCTTCGGATGCAGTTTTACTGCACTGGCAAGCAACATGGATTCCAAATGGAGCATGTCGTCTTATCTGAATGAGCACTCAGGTGCCAAGCCTTAAAGAGTGATGTCCTTCCCTACAAGACAGACATCCCCCACAGAGGGAGCCAGGAGAGCAAGCAGCCCTTTACCTGCAGGGATGTCACAAATAGCAAACAGTCCAACTCGAACATCTCCATTCACTGTCCACTTCTGTGTCTCACAGTTTGGATTACAGCTGTGGTTCATGAAACGAGAATAATTTCCTTTTGGTCCAGCATCAATTATTCGGTCCTTCAGAAAGGGAATAAAAAGGGGAGATACTTTTGATATAAACTACACACAAGCCCATTTAGAAACACACATCATTTATTATCAGCTGGCCTGTGGCAACGGGCAGTTCTGAAGAGACAACAGCCACCCTCTGTGTAGTTACCGCTTGACAGTCTTAGATTTTTAAAGCTTCTAATTGGACGCTGCATAGAATGGTGTGGTGATGGTGGTCTAATAAGTACAAGGTCAGCAGGCCACATGTCCAGGTATTTTCGATAAGGGCTATACTGTTGGGATAGCCAACTACTCAATTATTTTGTTCTCAGTTTTTCCTTTCTACTCTAAGCAAGAAGTGAAACTGTTGTGGACAATGAGGAGTTAAAACATGCAGATGGGGGAGGGGGCAGGGACTCCCCAAAGAGGGCTTAGAGACCACTGTCTCTCTGCTCTCACGAGGGGTATACTTCCTATGCCTACTTTGTTTTCACATACACTGCAGTTCAACACATATAAAACACTGGATAGTCAAGCCCCTCAATCTGGACTCTTAACAGTAAGCTAACTATGTCATGCTGGCTGACCTGAGCTCAGACTACAGGATCAACTGGCAGTTGAAGTTATGCTTACGAAACACATGAAAGCTATAAAATTTTCAAATAATGACATAACTACATATAGTTAAAATACTTTCAAAAACAAATTTTTTTTTTTTTTTTTTTTTTTTTTTTTTTTGAGACAGGATCTCACAAGGTAGCTCTGGCTGGTGTGGAACTTACTATGTAGACCAGGCTGTCCTTGAACTCACAAAGTTCTTGCCTCTGCCTCAAAAGTGCTGGGGTCAAAGGCGTGTGACACCATGCCCAGCAATCTCTTTTACCATTTCTTGTTGCTTTTTCTTGTGATGAGGCTCAAACCCACAGCCCCACATGTGTTCAGAACATGCTTTACCATGGAGCCATGACACCGGCCTGAATGATATTCTGAATCTTTTAGGAACATCCCAGAACACAGGGAACACAGGTGCTAGTCTTGGTCCTTAAGTGTTATAGTGTATTAAACAAATGACTGAACTGTACCTTCACCTGGGTTTCCCTTCCCCTGTGGACTACTACAATAGAGATCATGGCTGCAATGCAATGGGCAAATGCATATCACTCTAATGCTTACATACACCTTGTTTTGTTCCCTTTTGTATGTCTATTTTATTTAGACAGGATCTTTTTTTTTTTTTTTCTTTTTTTTCCCCCGACACGGGGTTTCTCTGTGTAACAGCTCTGCTGTCCTACAACTCACTCTATAGACCAGGCTGGCCTTGAACTCACAGATATCCACTTGCCTCCATCTCCCGAGTGCTAGGATTAAAGTCCTGTGCTATTACCACCTGGTTAGATAAGATCTTACCTTATGTAGCTCAGGGTGACCTCTAACTTAAATTTCTGATGCTCATGGCTTGCTTTCCCAAATGCTGAGAGTATAGGTATGTGCCACAATGCCTGGCTAACGTTTTATTTAAATTAGTAGTTTACTGTCATTTCCTTATGGCAACATTGGTTATTGTCCGTGTATGAGTGCACTGCCTGCATGGATATGTACGTGTTACATTGTGTGCCTGGCACCTTTGGAGACCAGAAGAGAGCACCAGATCCCCTGGAACTGCCATTAGACTGCTGGGAGCCAGCATGGGGGTTGTTTTCGAGAACAACAAATGCTCTCAACCACTAAGTCATTTCTCCAAAAACACTGTCATTTCCTTTTTAAACGCTTAATAGATACACAGAAACTTTTTGAGTTTTTGGCTAGCCAGAAATTCAAGGTGTTATGTAACTCAGAACCAGAGTTGATTCCTCTGACAGTGGTAAGAAACCAGGTCTCTCACTGACTCAGATCTGGGACAAGGGCCCGGTGACCATAGCCCACACACAGTCACAGATACAGTCACTTTATCTCTGGCTGGCATTTCCCTTTCTTCGGAGTACTACTGGAAATCATATATTATACTTAGAGAAAACGAAATTAAGAGAAGCTGGGTTCAACATAATATTATGAACAAAACATAAAGTCTCTTTTTCTCATCAAAAAATAAAAGCAATTTTACCTTGGTAACAGTTAACATATAAAAATTAGTTACACTGTTCTCATGCGCTCGCTTGATTCGAAGTCTGCATTCTTCTTCGTCAATTAATTCACCAACATATTCATTTACAAATTCACCCTGCAGAGAGGCATTTAATACAGAACTGTAACATCCACACACTGCACTGTAATGCATTTTTAAGGCCACATGCATGAACTGAAAAGAGAAGCCAGTGCTCTTACACTGCTTCTACCAAGCACCTTAGTGTGAAGTGTATGTGCATCTGTCTCAGAAAAGAAAACAGGAGGCTGAGTACTGGGAATGTAATGTGAAAAGAAAACAGGAGGCTGAGTACTGGGGATGTAATGTGATTAGAAGAGCCCTTGAATAGTCTGTACAAGGCCATGGGTTCAATCTCCAACCACATAAACTCTGTGTGGCGGCACATGCCTGTAATCCTAGCACGTGGAAGGTATAGACAGAACATGCTGATTTCTAGGCCAGCCTGGGGCACATGAGATTTTGCCTTCCACAACAAAACCCTAGGGGTAGGGGGTCAAAAATGGCTTAGTGTGTAACCTGAATCTGACACCATGAATCCACATAATGGGCTGAGATGTTCCAACTCCCACTAAGCACCACAGAGTGCAAGTGTATGTGGATCTGTCTATCCCAGTCATCTCAGACAGCTTTTTTAAAAATGTGAAAAACAGCCAGTTGGTGGTGGCAGGAGGCAGAGGCAGGTGGATCTCTGTGAGTTCGAGGCCAGCTGTGAGCTGGCCCAAGTTGGTAAAGTAGCCCCCTCACAGATGTGAAGACAGACGGGATCTCAAATCCCCATAACTGGGAGGTTAAGCATGATGGCAGATGCCTGAAATCCTAATGAGTGATGGGAGGTGAGGACCAGACGAGTTGCTGGAGAAGTTCTAGGCCAATGAGCAACCCTGTCTCAAACAGCAAGTTTGAGGCCTAGTTGGCCTTTTGTCAACAGGAGCTGAGAAAATGTCTCCATCGTATCACCTGTTGGTGAGTCTATGGGGATTCTGGTTTGTGATTGATGTGGGAGAGTCCAGCTCACTGCTGGATGATTTAAGAAAGCAGGCTGGCCAGGCTGTGGTGGCGTACACCATTCACACTAGCACTCAGGAGGTAGAGGCAGCCTATTCCACATAGGAAGTTCAGGACAGCCAGAACTTTAAAAACAACACCACCAACACAGGGAGCAGCATAAGCAGCTATGGTGGCATATTCCTTCATGGCCTCCATTTTAGTACTTACCTTGAGTTCTTGCCTCGACTGCCTTTCACGATGGCCTACAACTAACTGTAAGCTAAAATAAGCCTTTTCCTCCCTAAGCTGCTAAGACATGTTAATGGCATGAAAACACCTTAGAAACAACACCTAGATTGTCACCATACTTCTACACACATGAGCATGCATTTTAGAATAGAGTTACAGATGGTTACAAGCAGCCAGGTGGATGCTGGGTGCTGGGAATTGAACCTGGGTCCTGTGCAACAGCAGCCAGCACTCTTACTGCTGAGCCACCTCTTCAGACACTTAAGTTGCTAACTTGCTTTGTTTCTGAGACAGGGTCTTACTCTTAAGGCTAGGCCAGAATTCAAAAGTTTATACAGCCCAGGCCAGCATCAAAACTTGGAGATACTCCTGCTTTAGCCTCTCAAGTAATGGAAACAAGTATGAGGTACCACACCCAGTTTTAAGTTGCTAGCTTTGTGGTAATACTTTTCTGCAACAACAGAAAACTAGCATGCCATATCAATCAAGTCACCCTACTAAAACATTTCAGTAGTTTCTTGTCTGAGGTGCTCATTGAGACCCAGCTCTTGGCTATCTATCTCACCTACCACTCACTCAGTCTTCACCACTCTTGTCCAGGCTCACAGTCTGACTCCATCCACTGGGTGTGCTGTGAGAGCAGGAAGCACTTATTACCACTTTTTACATTTATTTTTCATTATATGTTTATGAGCACTTTGCCTGTACGTATGCATGTGTGTCACATGTGCCTGGTGCCCAGAGGTCAGAAGAGGGCATTAGATTCCCTAGAACTGGAGTTATGGCTGATTGGAAGTCACCATGAGCATGCTGGGAGCCAAACTCAGGCCCTCTGCAAGAGCAACAAGTGCTCTTAACTGCTGAGGGCTCCAGCAGTTAGTTTTTTTTCTGAGACGGCCTCACAATGTAACTCTGGCTGTCTTGGAACTCACTCTGTAGACTGGGCTGGCCTTGAACTCACAGACATCCATGCGCCTCTGGGCCACCCTCCCCCAGAGCTGGTTCCCTGACAAGAGTTTCAGGAGACCCCATGCACTCTTAACATCTGCAATTTCAATAGTAGGGTTTACTAGAGATTTTTGTTTTTCTTCTAAGCTATTTGGTTTTTAAATGTTTCTCCAGCTGATATATATATTTGTGCCAGGAGACTCTTGTGAATAAAGTTGTCTAAAGGTGTGAAAATAAAAACAAGTATGTATGTTAAAGACCTCAACTGCTTCTGCTGCTCTTACACAAAACCTAAGGCCTCTGACAAGCTTTTGCTATGGGGACACAGATAATGGACTATTATTACAGTCTGCATTAGTGACACGGTGACTCGGTCACACTTATGGCTAATGAGTTCTAAGTTTGCTAGTTTCTGCCCAGATGTATAACAACATAAGTTATTATGTTACTTCTCTGATATATTTATTCACCATAAAAAAAAAAACAAGAAGAAGTATGTTTGAATCATTTCACTTAGTAATTTTTAAAAAATTCAAATACAAAAACTTCAATGCCCCTTCTATTTAGGGCTCATCAACAATACTCACAGTTTATGTACACTTTTTTATCCCTTTCCCACTCTTTGCTCAACAAGTGTCAAACACTGTGACAAGTCTCAGGTTTGGTCATAAATATCTAGGCTTCTCATCCCTGTGTCAGAATGCGAATGCAGCATCCCGAAAGACAAAGGCGCGGCCCATCCTGCTCTGAGCTGTGCCTTCACCAGATTACCTTCTTAATGCTTCTTTTGGTTCTGAGGCCCCAGCCTTTCCGCTCAGTTTTGATGACCTCTGCATCGGGATAGAGCCTCTTGGTAAAGCACTGGTTCTGACATCGGTCCCCAGCAGGGCACACCTGTGGGTGACACTCATACTGCAACATTCTGTTCAGACACTCCGACTCTAAGCCACAAGGGTTTTCATCAGCAGGCTTGCAGTTACAGCGGGGAATCTCTGACAAGTCGGCCACCTGGACTGGGACCTTTCCTATTACTTTGTTAGCCTAGGAGACAGAGCGGTGAGAAGGCAGGTGGTCAATGAGCAACCGGAACTACACCATCAAAGCACGTGACATAACCTAAGGGAAGCTGTGTATCTTAAGGTCTCCTGAATAAACAAGGAATAATAACTATGCCTATTTACTAGACAAAAGTGTTCAATTTGAAGTTAATTCTTATTTATTTCACTTGCCACAGAAATATAATACCTGAAATTAAGAGAAAATAAGCTATCTGTGAAGTCTCTGGAAAAGAGGGTATAAAGATCTACATTCTCATTTGCTGGCAGGATAATCTGGTAGAAACAACAAAATTTCATATAAGCCATGGCTCTTGGGTATGGAACAGCTTGCCAAAGACCCACTCATCAGCACCACTCCTGCTGAGGCACCATAGAAAGTACTAGTCTAACAAGGAGACACTGACTATCGGGGAACATTTCTGTAGGTCACTGGGGCTTTGGCCACCAGAGACGAGTATGCTTACCTTAATGTGTTTGTAGGGAGGGGGTTTTTTTGAGGTCTTCTCTATCTCCAGAGCCTCTTTACTTTCTCGCTGTGCTTTCAACTCCTGGAAACGCTTTGCAGCTTCTTCCAGTGCTAATAAGGAGGGCAAGCAAGCCATTATCAAAGTGCACACACACACACACACACACACACCGTAGGGCAGGAAGTGCACACACCGTAGGGCAGGAAGTAGAATTCTGTCACCTTAGAAAAGCTGTGTCTGGCCCAAGGGTTGCTTTTAAAGTTACACCCTGGAAATTACCAGTTACCATCAAATACCATACTTTCTCTGTGTTCCTCAGAGCAGAGGTCCTACATCAATGACAAAGGCCTCTACTCTGAGTAACCCTGTCCTAGATTTAAATGAAGTCTACCCTTACTCTGAAAGGTAGACTGTGTCATATTGTGAAGGCCCCAAGCTCCTCCTGGGGAGCCTTTTCTACTCCTTCTTGGCAAAGGAGTGTCACCTGGTTAAAGGACACCACACAGCACAGCATCCCATCCTTTATGCATCTCAAACCCGGGCCTGACATCATGGGATGCAAAATCATAATGCCTAGAGAACAGTCTCAAGTGGCAGAAACTTCATGTGCAAATAAGGAGATCCTAAGAAATATGCATTGGGGTAGTTCCGAGTCACTGTAAGCACGGGCCAGTCAACTTACCTTTTTTGAAGGTTTTGTTAATGTTAGTCTGTCCCTCAGCAAAGTTTTTGTCTCCCTCCACATAGGGGAACACTCTGCCTTGGTGTACCCAATAGTAGTCATGAGAACCGAAGAAGAACACGGGGAAGTCCCCCAAGTCGTGCCTAAGGCCCTGGATGTTCAGTGGCACAGACCTGGGGCTGCAGATCTCTGCAGGCCACCATCTGAAAACAAAAGTGAGAAAGTGGGGTTAAAAAAAAAAAATCACACTCTTCTTCACAGAGTGGAAGGAGACAGGGGTGTTCATATTTTCAACATTCATCTAGATTCAGATTATAGAAACACAATACTTTTTTGTTGGTTGGTTGGTTGGTTGGTTGGTTTTTGAGACAGGGTTTCTTTGTGTAACAACAGCTCTAGCTGTTCTGGAACTCTTGTAGACCAGACTAGCCTCAAACTCACAAGAGACCTGCCTGCCTCTGCCTCCCAAATGCTGGCATCAAAGGCATGTGCCACCATAACCCACCACTCTAAGAACCACCACTCACAAGACTATTAATAAATTAATAAACTAATGAACACAAATGAAACAAAGCAGGTCCTAGCTGCCTTGTTTGGTTTCTTTCCTTTGGAGATTAGCATTTAAAATGTATAAAATATATATCATAGACATGTTAGTTATAATGTAGCATTTAAATGTATAAAACATATATCATAGACATATTAGTTATAATGTAATGTTTAAAATGTATAAAATATGTATCACAAAAATATTAGTTGCAATATTTAATAAAAAAAGGGGTATTGGACCCATTTTCCAGCTCTGGAACTGGGATGTTAACTAATATGGTCCCAGCCCATTTTAACTGTAGAGAATTCACTTTCCCAAGCTTGACTTAATATCCTCTCAGGTAGAAAAAAAAATTACCTCTCAAAAATGAAGGGCTGTCTCTAGCAGTCAAAGGCATCACTCTGAGAATGAACCACTGCCACAGTAAAGAGTAAGCATGTATGCTATGCAAACCAGCATTTCCGGACTCTAGGCAGGTGGGGAAATGCCTCTTGATCTCATGTACCAGCTTTTGGGGTGATATCTTGCTTATGATCTAATAAAGCTTGTCTGAAGATCAGAGTGCAAAGCTAGCCACAGCCATAGAGGCCAGGCAGTGGTCGTACACACCTTTAATCCCAGAACTCAAAGACAGAGGCAGATAGATCTTTGAGAGTTCAAGGCCATCCTGGGCTACACGGGAGTGAATCAGTCTAAAAGAGAAACAGAGCTCACACCTTTGATCCCAGCACTTGTGATGACAGGCCTTTAATCCCAGCACTAGGGAGGTGGAGACAGGAGTGATATTGCATCTGAGGTTCGGTGGATCACTCTTCAGTCTGATCATTAGTACAGGTGAGAACTCTCTAGTGACTGGTGGCTTTGCTTCACTGATCTTCAGTTTTAGCCCCAATATCTGTCTCTGGGCTTTTATTATTCATGCTATAAGGTTTTATGTCAGTTAACATTTTAGAAGCAATTCATCTTAATAAACATAGAGTTGAGGTAGAAAAAAAAAATACCACATTATAGAACAGGGAAAACATCCAAACATGTAAAATAATGATTAAAACCTTAAAGGAGAATGTTTTTAAATAATATTAATTTCACACACACACAATTGAAAACTTTGTTGTTGCTGTTGTTTTGAAACAGGGTTTTTCTGTGTAGCCCTGGCTGGCCTCAAACTCAGAGATCTGCCTGCCTCTGCCTCCTGGATGTTGGAACCGAAGGCATGCTTCATCACTGCCTGGTTTTTATTTTTATTTTTATGTGTGTACACATGTGTGAGGCCAGAAGAGAATGTCTGACTCCCTGGAGCCGGGGTTACCGAAAGTTGTGAGCCACCTGACATGGGTGCGAGGAACAAAACTCAGATCTTGTAAAGAGCAGCATGTGCTCTAACTATCTCTGCAGCCCCTGCTCTCTCGACTCTGAGAGGAAAAGCTTGGGTTGTCCTGGTGGCTCAGCGGGTAGGGTGCTGCTGCCAACACCAACCCCCTGAGTTTATCTTGGGGGCACACATGATAGAAGGGAGACCCGGTTCCTGAAAACTGTTTTTGACCTCTAGGAATGCACTGTGACTCATGCATGCCCCCATTTAATAAATAAGTACAAATGGATCTTACTGGAATAATCTCACTCTTTATGTCTTTCACACATAGCTTAGGACTACTTAGAATCCAACAAACCTAGCCGGGCCTGAGTGGTGCACACCTTTAACCCCAGCATCAGGAGGTAGAGGCAGGCGGATCTCTATGAGTAAGATGCCAGCTTGGTCTACAAAGGAAGTTTCAGGACAGCCAAAGCTGTTACACAGAGAAACCCTGTTCTGAAAAGTATTTAAAAAAAAAAAAAAAAAAAATCAAATGGATCTATCAGGACAAGGCTATCGCTCTTGTTCTCACTGGACTGGAGACTAAGACATGGCTCAGTGATTCCAAGCACTTATTCTTCCAGAAGACCTGTGTTCCATTTCCAGCACTCATGTGGCAGCTCACAACTATCTGTAACTTAGTCTCGGGGATCCAACACACTCTTCTGGCTTCCATAGGCAAGCACACACACACAGGGTTACACATACAGGTCAATAAAACTTATATACACACAAATGTTTAGAAAAGAAGTTAAAAATAGAGAACTAAGATATATAGAAAACATGATCTCCACTCTCAACGTAAATCCTTTCATTCCAAAATTTAGAAGTATATAATTCATTAGTATAAAATAATTCTCAGAACCTAAGAACAAAGTAAAAAACAACTCTTAAAGAAAAAAGGCAAACAAACAAAAACAAAGAACCATAAAATAACTACAAAAACAAAATCCAAGAGCAACATAACCCTTACAATCCCCTAAAAAAAAAACATAGCCAAACCTCATTTTCTTTCACCCCTTTTGTTTAGGGAGCCAGGCCTGTCTCTCTGCCTGTGTGCTAACTATGTTGCATGTAGATTACAAGGCCTCTCAGAACAGTCCTTACTTCCTATTTGTCCTTGGAAAACTTGCCTGTAATTTCCCAGCTTGACCCAAACGATCTGTTTGTAATGCAGTTTCTTGCCAGTATTACAATCATCACAGCTCCAGCAGCCTTCAGGCATGTCTATGTTCAGGCACTCTGGGTGGAAGGCCGCAGGACACGATTCACAGCAGAGCAGTTTTCCACCTGGAAGCAAACAGACAGGCTTAGCAACTGAGAGGGAAAGGAAAGGAGAGAGTTACCTTTTAATTACAGTTTATCTTTTTCTAATGGGAAAAACAAAGGGATTGACAGTCTTATCCAGAGTGATGGATTAAAATAGGAAACAAATGAAACAGCCCGTTTTTAAGACTCTGGTGGCTAGAAACACAGAGCTTTTGAGTAGGACCAAAAACATTGCTGTGCCCCTTCAGGATATGAGCAGCAGGTACAAGCTACCTAAAGCATCACAAAAGATACAGAAACTCTTAAGCAGAGTAGATTTGAAAGTAGGTTTTCAAACAAGTAACTTCCTTTTGTTCTTCCAAGCAAAGAAAGCAATGATCATGTCTGTATTTTAATCTACTTCCACAATGAACTGAATAGCTTTATAATAAAATCACCCAACAATGAAAATAATCAATAAGATGATCAGTACTTTTTTTCTTCTTAAAATACAAAAGTTGCATTCAGATTCTTAAACTGGTAGTTCCAGCAACACTACCTTCTTGGTGCAGACAGACCCTAGGGCAGGCCATAGAGCAGTGGTTTGTGACTGTTCCCTCACCGAGGATCCCCTTTTTCCTAATTATGACCCAGATTTTCAAAATCAGACGAACCAAAAATAAACTTGCATTTAAATATTAACATTTTCCTCCACCTTTATTTGGAGATTGTCTCATTATGTAGCTCATACTTCCCATTGGTGATCCTCTACCTGTCTCCCACCATCATGCCCAGCTCTCCTATTTGTATTGATCAAAGAAATATGTAACTGTTGGAGGCTATGATCCAAAACAAAGCAAGTGTTATAATATTATCATGTTGGACGGTTAAAGTCATAGCCAAATAAATCTCATGTAATTCTATGTTGTATGAATGTGTAATTCTTTTAATTTTCAAAAAATACTTGAATTTTTTCTTGGTATATCTAGATCTCTGACTTAAGTTCAAGAACCACTGCTTTACAGTACAAAACTAATTTGCAGTGCAGAATGAAGTATTATATGCAAACATATCATTTCAGATTCCTACTAAAATGTTCCCTGGTTGACACTAAAACAAGTGTGACAAATAGAATAACACTTTTAATGCAAACAAATAAACATGGGGGATGATTAGGCATTTCTAATATGAATATCAACAAGTAACAGAAAAGGTTAACCACTGAAGACATAGACATTTCCATTGACAAGTCAGTTCTAACTTACAAGCTGCAGAGATGCAGAGTCTTCTGCTTAACTTGACCAGACTACATGCTCCAGCCTTTTACAGCATTCTAGAAATCATATCTTCCTGCGCTTTAAAACCTCTAACCATTACATTAAAACAAAAGTAAAGCCTGCACACACCAGCAATGAACCAAAAACTGTATTTCCTCTGCCAGCCTTTACTTCGGTCATCACAGCTTTCTCCCCTTTGACTGCAGGTATCACTGGGGGTTAATTGGTTCAATTTTCCAGCCTTGAAATTGGCTGCTTGGATGTTTTAAGTCCATTGGAAAGGAACAATCAAGAGGGAGACCCGTCTTGCAGACCATCTTAGAGGCCGTGTGATGATCAGCAGCACCGCGGAAGCTGGCCATGTTCAGTGTCAATGTAAATAAATGGTTCTACAGTTTCAGTCTTATTTAGAGGAAATACAGAGCCAGAATCAGTGAAAACTACCATGACAGAGATGTCCAATATATAAAAATATAGAAAAAATAAAAGTATGAATGATCTACCTTGATGCCATGCAAACAACAACAATAACAATAAACCCTGCTTTCCAGATACGAGAGGAAATATATCATTCAAGCTGAGGGCCCAAAATCATTTCCATTGATGTCAGGTTAATACTGAATGCTGGAAACAAACAACAACTGAGTTGAGCTCATTTTATAAATGCACTGACAGACTACTTCTACTTTGCTGAGGAGTAAAGCCCACCTTCGTGGGAAGCATACACATCAATGTGACCTCAGCAGGAAGCCAGCCACAGGCCAGTCCTCTCTCCATACTCCTCTCTACTCTAAACAACTCTCTCAGGTATCATGTCTTTCAGTTATTATTGCCACTTGGGCCAATAAAGGAGCAAGGATACATCAAACAGGCAAGACGAATGGCAAATACTAATAAAAATCTATGCTTAACATGCATACATGGTATATTAGGTGGAATGATGACTTTTTCTTTATCAATTTATCATTTTATCAATTTATCATAAAGAAAATATATTAAACAAAAGCCCTATCCATACCTCCCAAACTCAGATGTTTTCTCTGGGATGACAACCCCCCAAATAAACAGGAAGTCACTTCCCCTCTCTCACAAGCAAGCTACAGCAAGCTAAGCACGAATAAAGTTTTCTTGCACAAATGACAGTGATTGAGAGAAGATGAACATACATTTAGCTCATGGTTCTTTATGAATAAACTCCCCATTGGTAATTTGATTAGGCTACCTTTCAACATCTAGCATTTGGGGTATCCTCAACCCCAGCTTCCGTCCTAAGGGAAGGAAGGGCACTTGCTTTCATAGCTTCTTAACTAAATATTGAAGAAACAAAACAACAGAATAGGTCCTAGAAACAATCTTTTCCTACCTGTTACCTTGATTTTCTTTTCTAAACAGCCTTTCTTGTTAGTTAGTGTATAGGTAATGACAAACCATATCATGACTATCCTAATATAACATGAATGACAGTTCTAGGTCAAGCAAATGAGAAATTGTTTCTTAAATGTCTTTTATAACTAAGTAAAATTCTAGTCTTGGTTTTAATAAACCTATGTCTTTGGAATGTGTGAAAACTGACTCAGGGAGAAACGTAAAAACTTGTGGTGACAGAATTATTTTAAGTCCTTTTTGATTAATTTTGTAGCCATATGAAGACACAGTCACAACCACCGAGGCAGAGTCTACCAAAACCAACAGGCAGTGCTTGACAGGCATACATCCCCCCTTCATTTAAAGAGAAAGAGAGAAAAGGAAAATGCAAAAATAAAAACCAGAAAGAAACTATTTCAGTTATTACCTTTCTCACATTTCTTTTTGGAAGCTGACGAAGAAGGAATCATAGGTAATTTCATCAACTCAGCACGGTTTGATTCGTTCAGTAGGTAGTGAGATTTATAGGCATAGGAACTGAACATGGGGTCTGAATGGTCCTGAACTATCAGCCCTATATAAAACAAACAGAAAGAGATGAGCTGCGATGAAACTACCCATGATTCCATGAGGGAAAAAAAATCAGCACCTATTATGCACCCAAGCCTTACAGTGAGGGATGGGAGTGTGTGAAAATGGAACCTTACTTCTCTGGACTTTACTAAAGGAGTGCAAACCATTTTGGAATTTTATTTATGCATTTATTTTTGACAGCACAGAAAGTGATTACCACCTTAAACAGTTATAAAAAAGTTACTCTGATCTACATATATACCTATCCTATTGGAAGAAAACACAAGATCCTCTGTAACATGCTGACTCCCAACACCTCCAATTAAATTTATAATGCAGCTATATGCCATTTTCTATGCAGGGCACTGTTATTCTAATGATGATTACTCTATTGGTTATTATTTTATAATAACCCAGGACTTTATAGTATACATCAGAACAGTGTCACTTAGGGACCACTTTGAGAAGACATCTGTTTTGGAAGGAGCCACTGCTCACTCTTTCCTATGGTGTAATCTTCATATGATGCTGCCTGCCACTGAGGTGAGTTCAAGAGACATCTGCACTAAGTGAAAGAATGGAACTTGACACTGCTCTGCTACTAAACAGTAATTTTGTAAGAAAAATTATGCAATGTCATTTAGTGCAAAGAAGTGCTATTAAAAAAAGAAAGAAAGTAGAGAAAGGAGACTGTTAAAATGAGGAAGGTTAAGTAGAATCTCTCCACTCACCAGCTGAGCCTCAGGTAAATCACTCAGCCTAGGCTGAGTGTTCTGACTCACACAAATCCAGAAATGAAATTGTTTCAAACTGTACCATTTATATATGCAAAGTAAACCTTACTAATTATTGCTATTAAAGAAAAGACCCTAACCTATCAGCTCTACTACAAAGGCATAGAATGTTAAGTAATTTTTATTTAACATAGTACTCAAGTTGCACAAAAAATGTAAATAATATAAAGTGAACTGAAAGACATCTCAGAATTTCCTATGGTGTTTCAAGTTGGCTAGGGATGTGTGTAAAACCTCTAAAAATAATTCTAGACTTTTCAATCCTTAAGAATTAGCTTCATAACTTTATTTTTAGTTAATTAATTTATTTGTGTGTGTTTGCAAGCATGTGTATGCATGCATGAAGTAGAGGCTGAAGAACAACTCGCAAGAGTCAGCTCTCTTAACCATGAATCCCTGGGGTCAGCTCTCTCCTTCTATTCGTGCATCCCTGGGATCAAATATCAGGCTGTCAAGCTTGGCACCAAGAGCCTTTAGCCACTGAGCCATCTCAATGGCCCAGCTCAATGATTCAAACAGCCAGTTACTAAGAAGTACAAAAAAATACTTTGTGAGGATGGAAAAACGTTTAATAAGCCTAGAGAGATAGAAAATAAACTTCACTTTCTAATCCTAAAACATAAATTATTGAAGTGTTTTCTTTGGCATATGTATTTACTATAGTCTCCTTAAAAATAGGTGTCTCTAAAGTTTAAAATATTACATATTTGTATTTTTTTTTTTTTTTGGCTTTTTGGAGAGAGGGTCTCATCATATAGCTTTGGAACCTGTCCTGTAACTCAGTATGTAGACTGGGCTGGCCTGGAACTCACAGAGACGTGCCTGCCTATGTTTCCTGAGCGCTGGCGTTAAAGGCGTGTGCCACCACACCTGGCTTACATATTTGTACTTTAAAGACTTGGAGTTAAATCTCAAATATCTGATATGTTTAGAGTAAATTTTTACAAAATGCTATGAGAGGAAATGAAATTTTCTTCTTATTACTCAGTTACTAAAATATGTGGGTATCCATTTCATGAGCTTTTAAATAAAGTATAAACAGATATAAACACAGTTTCTGATTCTAAATCATGGAGCTTTGTCCCATGTACATTATCTTCAAGATTTTAATTAATAGTTATCAGTTTATTTTCACAAAGTAGCAAGAGTCTTTGTAAGTATTACATTTTCTACCTGTCCTAAATTGAAAATAGTTTTAAAGAGAAATCAATTTAAAAAATAAAAATTAGCCTGTTGTAATGACACATGCCTTTAATTCCAGCACTTGGTCTACATATTGAGTTCTAGGACAGCCAGAGCTACACAGTAAGACCCTCAGAAAACAAAAACTAAAGTAAAATAAAACAAAGTGTTCCATTATTAAATGAAACAGAACACAAAAAATAATGATTAAAATACTGACTGAACTAGACTTAAAGCATACTCCAAAGCAAGCTATCATACTAGTTATAAACTGACATTTTTTTGTATATTAGGAAGGGTCTGGAAGAGCCAGACTTGAAGGGCCTGGCAAAGCAACACGGGTTTCTCACCATCACTGTTACTCAAGTCTCCAACGTTATGCATCAATTCATAATTCAATAGTTTGGGGTTGAAGTGAAGGGTCAGAGACTAAGAGCACTGGCTTTTCTTGCAGAGGACCCAAGTATGATTCCCAGCACCCGCATGGCAACTCACAGCCACTTTGAATTCCAGTCTCGGGGTATCTGATGACCTCTTACAGCATTATGGGCACTGCACACACACACATGGTTCACATACATACATTCAGGTACACACAAATAGTCCTTTCTGATCACCACTCTATTCAGTAACAGAAGACATAATTTTTTATTTATTATGTGCCTATCTTTCACCATTAACAATGTGGCAATGAGTACCTTGGTTGAACTACAGGCTTTAAAGCAGGGAACTGTGAAGATTCTAGCTTCAGGCTGGGATAAGGATGGCAGTAGGGAACTGGTCTAGCATGAGTTCATGGGGTTTAATCCCTAGACCACAAGCAAACCAGCAAACCAAAACAAAACATCAGTGTTCCCCACTCTGATGGCAGATAGAATATATGCTTAAGAGACTGAGGCAGGCAGAGAGCCTCAGGGTAGAGAATCTAGTTGGCTGTAGAAGGAGATGTACAAGATGCTAATACAGATGTTTACTTATTAACTGCCTATCTCCTCACAGTTTTTTTTTTTAATGAGAGATATAATCACAGTTTTTTTTTTAAATGATATAAAAACAAAACCACCCAAAATCTTTCATCCTTACAAACTGACTACAGTCCCAGCTATTTGGGAAGCTGAGGCAGAAGGTCACAAGTTTAAGACCAGCCTCCAGACAGATCTCATCTTAAAATGGAAAACAGAAAAGAACCTTTAAATATAGCCTAACAAACTTGATACATCTAACAGTTCCTTTAAATATTAGAGAGAAATGCAAAAAACAATGAAAATTCTATTAAAAACAAAAGTGACATTTTTATAAAACAAAAAGGCAATTATAATGATTACTAAATACCAAAAGAGGAAAAAAAAGAATTTAATTATAATACAGCCAAGATAAAGATGGACAGTATGAGCCAGGCGGTGGTAGCACATGCTTTTAATTTCAGCACTCAGAAGGCAGAGGCAGGCGGATCTCTGTGTTCAAGCCCAGCCTGGTCTACAGAGCGGGTTCCAGGTCAGCCAGGGTTACACAGAGGAAACCCTTTTACAAAACAAACAAAAGATGGACAGTACGCAGCACAATCAATGTATATGTACCATGTGGTGCTTTGGATAAGAATGGTCCCCACAGGCTCACATGCTTGGTCCCCAGTTGGTGGAACTGTTTGGAGGTGTCACTGGGGTGGGCTCTGAAGTTTAAAAAGCCCCTGCCACTCCCAGTTTGTTTCCTCTGCCTCATGGTGACTGACTCAACATACAAGTTTTCCACTACCGCTCCAGCACCACATCTGCCTGCTGGCATGCTACCTGACATGATGGGGAACCATTTCAAACTGCAAGCAAGCACCCAACTAAATGCTCTTATAAGCTGCCTTAGTCATAATGTTTCTTCACAGCAACAGAATAATAACTAAGATGGAATTTGGTAACAGAGTGTGGCATATTTCTGTGGCAAGCTTGATGGTGCTAGGTTTTGGAGAATAGTGGAAGACTTTGGAGGAGGAAGAGGAAAGCAAGGTTAAATGCAGTAAGTAGGACTTAATGGGGCACCCTAGCAGGAGTTTGGAAGGCAGCAGAGGTTGAAAAAACAAAACAAAACGAAAAATAAAAAAACAAGAAACAACAACAACAACAACAAAAATAAAACCCAAAAACCATTGTGGACTATGGAGGTTCCAGCTCAAGATGTTTCCGAGGGGAAGAATATTAAGCATGTGGCTTAGAGACTATTCTTGTGATATTTTGGAGGAGAAAAAAAAAAAAAAAAAGTGGCTGGTTTTTGCCCTTGTCTTTAGAATCTGCCAACAGCTAAATTGAAGAGTTTTGGATTAATGTCACTGGCAGAAATTTCAAGACAACCTAGTATTGACTGTGTCATGTGGTTATTAGTGATCACTCTCATGCAGATCTACAATAAAAAAGAACAAACAAGGGGAAAAGAAATACAAAGTGTGTAATTAGAGAAGAAAAGCATGAGGAGATTTGATGTTAGAGCAAGTCTTGTGCTCAAAGGGATGAGAAATTTAAAGGCCTGATTCAAAATGGCAATACCCCACTCAACTAAGCTTGCATCTCATAAAAAAGAAATGCCTAAGCAATCTTCTGCTTCTAAAGCAAAGAAGGCTTACTCAACAAGGAGAGCCTCAACAAATCAGTTTATGCAAATGTAACTCAAGGAGGGGGCCAAGCCCCATCCAAAGCAGAGTAGCAGAATTTGGTACCATCCCTACTTGGCTCTAGCTTTAGAGGCAAGAAGGATACATAAGTAAAGGGGCTGTGGAGTCTTCCTCCACAGTTAAGGAAAGATGCTGAGGCTAGCTGAGTGGCACAGGGGTGCCTGCCTGGAGGCTTTGAGAGGGCAACTGTGTGGAGCCATGAAAATGAACCCTGGACTGCAATGGAGTTCCCATAATGTTGGAGATGCCAGAGTCCTGGGATGTCTGCCAAAGAGAACTGCAAACAGAGTGTGGAATGGGTCCAGGAGAGAGAAGTGTGAAGTGTGCTGCAGTCAATAAAACCAAAGGAACAGAGGATCTGAAGCACTCTTTGACAGCAGACATAGAGATGCAGAATTTGGAGTTTGCCCTGCTGGGTTTTGGTATTGCTTTGGTTCATATTTTCTTATTATGCTTCTTTCCCCACTTTTGGGATTGTAATGCATATTTTGTACCAATGTGTGTTTTAACTACGTAATTTGCTTTTTTTGGGGGGGGGGTTGGCGGGGTTCGAGATACAGGGTTTCTCTGCATTAACAACCCTGGCTGTCCTGGAACTCACTCTGTAGACCACACTGGCCTGGAGCTAACAGAGATCCACCTGACTCTGCCTCCCAAGTGCTGGGATTAAAGTAATTTGCTTTTTTGATTTTAGAGACTGTCTTGAGTCTCAGAAGAGACTGTGGACTTTAAACAGTCTTGAGACTGAAAGAGTATGGGGACCTCTAAAATTGAACTAAGAACATTTTGTATAGAGATGTGGCCATAAGCCTAGGGGTCCGGGGAGTGGAATGTGAAGGTATGAAAATGACTAACATAGGCTCATGTTTGAATGCTTTGTCTCCAGTTGGTAGATCTGTTTGGGAAGGATTAGAAGGTGTGGCCTTGTTAGAGAAGGTGTGTCACTAAGGAGGAGGTGTTGAGGTTTCAAAAGCCCAGCCATTCCAGAGTACTCACTCTCTGCCTTGTTAGCTGTTCTCTCAACATGTAAACCCCAGCTCCAGCACCACGCCTGCTGGCCACCATGCTCCCCACCATGATGGTTGTGAACTAACCCTCTAAAACTGGAAGCTCCCAATTAAATGCTTTCTTTTACAAACTCCTTTGGTCATGGTGTTTTGTCAGAGCAATAGAAAAGTAAGACAAACTATGAACTTAAGTTTGCTGATGCCATCCTCAGCACTGCTTTCTGTTTCTCAAGCCCACTCAAATAGAAAACCCTGCATGGCTGGTCGTCACTAAACCAGCACATGTGTTGCCTTGGCTGTATCTCATCAGGCCCTCAATGACAGATCAAAACATACACCCATCGGAAACTGTGCTAGCCTTGCTTTCCAGGAGACATCCCACAGCTGATGATGACAAAGCAGGAAGGACCTGCTTTAAGGAGAAAATTGAAGATGAGAACATTCTTTTCATCCGTGAAAGTAGGAAACAGAAAACTAACTAACCAAGAACTTACTTGCAATTCTAAACTTTTTGTTTGTTTGTTTTTCTTTTTGAGACAGGGTTTCTCTCTATATAGCCTTAGCTAGCCTGGAACTTGCTATATAAACCAGCCTTACCTAAACTCCCAGAGATCCCCCTGTTTCTGCCCCTCCGCCGCCCCCACCCCAATGCTGGGATTAAAGGTGTATACCATCACACCCAGCTTAAGGTATTTTTTCCAAAGCAGAGTTAACTACTTATGGGAGAATTGACTTTTTCAGGATTTGGATGTCTGCTTGGAATGTTCTCTTTCAGTAATAAGAGGATGAACTCAGCCCTCCCAGAACATAGTACTATGTGACAGCTGGAGTTCTCTCCAATGCAGAGACACATTAAAATGGAGAAATATGCCAATGAAGTCAGAACAAAACACAAAAACAAAAACGGGTTGACACTCACCTCTGGCACACACGAAACAAAAGCCTACGTTTATAGCAGCAGAATGACTGCTCCGTTTGGAATGGTTGCTACAGATGAGAGTGTGGGAGGACACAGAGACGCTTCCAGCAGCAACACACGCATCTCCAAAGTGATAGGCGACTGGACACCTCAAGCACCTCATCATCCGTCCTGTGTGAAGACAGGTCAAGAGCAGTCTACAGCATGCCAGCTAGGATACTCTGGGAGTGGGGCTCCCCTGTCATGGTCAGTGCAAAATGTTCTTTACTAGGCTGACTGTCATTCCTGTACTTTTCAGTCCCTAAGGGCAAGCCTGATAATCATGTGGGGCTCCTAAAGGGGATTAAATACTATGGCTCCACTTAGGGAGCTCTTTAGTGTAGTCTGAAGTGCTCGGCCTTTAAACAGGAGAGGAGGCACAGAGAATGCCTGATGCTGACAGAGATGTGCTGAGTGTACTGCGCGGTGCTGCACTCTGAACACCGTCCCTTCTTTAGCACTGGTTACCTTTACTTGCTTTGTAGATGTCTTTCTCAATGGAGCAGGAAGAGCAGCAGTGTTGGGGACAGCGGAACCCTTTTGACTCAAAGATGGCAGTGGGGAACTTTCGAACACAGGCATCATGGTAAAACTTCCCACAGACACTGACAGAACAACGCTTCACATCCTCACCAGACACTTTACATGAAAAACACGTGTGCTGCCCTAGGAAATTGATGAAAAACAGGTTAAATAAAATCCGGTTAAAGCACATTCCACTTCCTTCATTTAACCATTCAAAATGCCTGGGTTAAGCCCAGGGCTATGAACACACAGGCTTCTACTCCTGACAATGAGCTCTCTCCAGCACTTGTTTTTTTTTTTTTTTTTTTTTTTTTTGGAGATAAGGACTTTTTTATGTACCTCAGACCAGCCTCAAAATTGCCATCCTCCTGCTTCAGTCTCCTCAGAGCTCAGATTACAAGTGTGTGCCTCCACATAAGGTAAGTGCTCCTTTTATGCAGAAGCAGCTACAGCTATCAAAGAGCTGCCCTGAGGGAAATGCTGCTATCACACTTCAGAAGTTAGCATAAAGTGAGAAAGATGGGGCTACAGAGTGGCTCAGTGGTTACAGGTACTTGCTGCTTTTCTAGAGGACTCTCAACACCCACTTGGCAGCTCATAAATGTAATAATAATAATAATAATAATAATAATAATAATAATAATAATCTATAATTCCAGTTCCACAGCGTCCAATACCCTCTTCAGCCTTCTTGGGCACGAGGCATGCTCACAAACATACTTGCAGACAAAACCCCATACACACAAAATACATTTTTTTTAAAACTTAAGAACACAGCCTGGCAGTGGTAGCACATGCCTTTAATCTCAGCACTTGGGAGGCAGATGGGTTTCTGTGAGTTTAAGGCCAGCCTGATCTACACAGTAAGTTCCAGGACAATCAGGGCTACATATATATATATATATATATATATGCATTATTTTTCCACTAAATATGTAAACATATTTGTATTTGAATTACAGTTTTATTATAACCATATTTACTTTTACTATATTATATTTAAATATGTACTATAACCACAGAGTTTGATCAATACTTGTTGGAATCTATGAAAGGATTTAAACCTACATACTAAACACACACACACACACACACACACACACACACACAGACGGCAGCCTGATTCATGTATTCCCAAACAAAACAAAACCATCCTTTTCATCTTTTTTTTTTTTTTTTCTTTTTTTTTTTGCCACTGGCACATTATGAGAGGAGAACTGGACTGCTTTTTGACCTTGGGAAGCTCAATTCTACATAATGCCTTAACTCACTGAAACACCTATGGCAGGTGGGGAGGAGAGCTGGCTTAATCATGAAAGAGTAAGAGGCACGGAGACATCAGGGCAGCACATCCTCCCTCCCCTGCCTCCCTGGCGCAGCTCACCAGTTTGACACTCCTGGCAGATGAACCTTCCCTCAGGGGCTTCGGTCAGGCCCAGGCACTCCCAGTGGAAGTATCTGCAGCACTCCCCTTCACAAGAAACCAGAGAATCACCAGCAGTTTCACAGATCTGTAAGAGCAGAAAGCAGCAACTCTCACACTGGAACATCAGAACTGACCAGGACACCTGCTCAAGTATAGGCCACTGGGTTTGTCTCCTACTATTCTGAGTTCCAAAAATGGAACCCACCCAAGAATTCACATTTCTCCTTTCTTTTCTTTTTTGTTTTTTTGTGACAGGGTTTCTCTGTGAAGCCCTAGGTTTGGTTCCCAGCACCCACATGGAGCTCACACACCCATCTGTAACTCCAGTTTCCTCTTCTGACCTCTTCAGATACCGGGCAAACATGTGGTACACATATCCTCATACAGGTAAAACACAAAATTAAGTAACTCAAAAAATTGAAAAGGAATAAGTAGCTAGGCATGGTGGCCACAAGTCCAGAACCAGCCTGGTCTATATAGCAAGTTTCAGACCAGGCAAGGCTACAAAATGTGCCCCTGTCTCAAGAACAAAACAAACAATAAAAACCCAATGAAGACTGACACTTGCATTTGAAATGACAAATATTCCAGTTAAGGACAGGGAGATCCACAGATATCCTTAGAACCTACAACTTTAAAGCGATGTAATAATAAAAGTAGAAAGGATAGCCACCTGCCTACCTGGCACACAGTGTCCTTTTTACTCATGCCAACGCCTCTCCGAGACAAACTTGAGTCCACTGACTGTGAGTCGGAAGCATCTGCATCTGCTGCAGCTGAGGGGCTATCCACTTCTTTCCCAAAGCCTACCTATTTGGAAAACAGCAGATGATAAAGAAAAACCAATTCCTGTAGACACAATGCAAAGGCCTAGTGAAAAAGGCTCAAATCTATCTCAGCACTGCCTGCCTGCCTTCCCTTCTCTTCATTTCCCTTCTCTCCTTCCTTCTTTAAATCCAGGGATGCTATGTGTCTGTAATTTGGGAGAAACTGCAGCTAAGATTTAAAAAGCAAAAATGACAAAACTCCTTTGGTTCTATTACATAAGAAATCTACAAAATAAGTTACAAATAACCAAAGGAATTTTTTTCTAGCCAAGCTATGTCTTTAACCTCAGCCCTGGGGAGACTGAGATACAAAAGTATCTGTGATTACCAGAACAGACTGTTCTACATGGAAAGTTCCAGGCCATCCAGGATTTTCCTCTAGAAGTTTTGGGTTTTGTTGTTGTTGTTATTATTGTTATTATTAATTAGTCAGGGTCTCACAATGTAGCTCTACTGTCCTAGAACTTGCTCTGTAGATAGGCTGGCTTGTAACTCAAAACTCTGCCTTCTGAGCACTGGGATTAAAGGCATGCACCACCATGCTTGGTCCTTCATTTTTTTTTTTTTTAAACAAGGCTGACCACCACCTCTCTTCAATGGGTGTACTTTTTGAGGCCTGACTACCTTACATTCTCCTACAATGGACCCTGAAGGCTTGTCTGGAGTTCAAGCAGGAGAATGCAGCTACTCATACACCTTTGACCAAGACCTTCCCTTGGGGAAGGCCATTCTCTTCCATTTTTTGAGAGCTACATAAGGAGCAAAGAAGGGGCACCGACCTACCCAGACAGGTAAACTGAATTATTGTGGTAACCAAGAGTGAGAGACCACAAAGTCAGTTCAGCCCTGCATCCTCCCATGAGTGTTTGTCTCCCTGACTTCCCCACAGAAGCATGCTACTGTGGCTGCCAAGGCACAAAAGAGAAGTCTGCCCGACCCCTGCACAAACTTACCTGTAGATCACTCAGTCCTCGAGAGTCGGAGTCGGATGTGTCTCTGTAGGCAGAATTAGTCGTGTCTACATCAGTTGACGCTCGACTCCTTTTCTTTAGAGGCTTACAGGAATCTGAAATCTCGCTGGCACCTTAACACAACACACTGAAATTAATCCTAAGATCATATTTAGGGTCACTGTTTTCCTTTTTTGTAGGAGTGTTTTCTTTCCCCAAACTTAGGTTATGTATGTCGGGGAAATTCACAGCTCGCTGTAGCACTGAGGTTGCCAGCCAGAACTTCGCAAGCTCCTGGCCTTCCTGGTAGAGGTGGTTTATTTATAACTGCGCTATAAAATGTTAGTTCTTCTCTACTGCTACTTTCACCAACAGAGCCAGACAGAGTTCCAATCTAGATATCGACTTCATCAAAACTGAAGGACGGCCAATTGGTTTGGAGCAGTTCAGAGACCCATTCGATTTTGTAAGGGGACAACATGAAACCCAACACAATGCAGTTTACAGATATGGTTGCAGAGACATCTCCATCTTGTTTTATTAGGGATGTGACAAATCTTTGATTTGTATTCGATTCGTACACGGATAGTGCCATTTCAACCCCCCGATTTTGCAATTCAGTTGATGATTATCCCCCAAATAAATTTTGGATGTTCATAATTGTTCTTTCTTTATTGTGACCATTAGCAAGTGCTGCAGCACATCTACACATGTCCATCTACACGTCATGCCATGTGGGAGGCACATTACTGAGGGCTGTAATGGACAGTCAGTGTTTAAGTGCAGGAAATCACGAAGAACTAATGAGAGGCCTCTGGACTTCATGAGGGAAGGAATAAATATATATTTGAAAAAAAAAGGCAGAGAATAGTGTGGAAGTTTTTTTTTAAAACTGCGTGTAATACAAATCCAGCCAAAACAATAGTGCAAAAAGTTACAAAGCAACAATCTCTTGGGCTAATGCAGTAGGCTATGCAGAGACAGCCACAGTGAAATGTGCAGGTCAGGCACGGTGAATACCAAGGAACCAAGGAGACGCTTAATATTTCCACCCACAGTTTGTGTTTTAGATTTCCCCCTCAAACTTTCCATACAACAAACACTTCTAGATCAGCCCAGCAAGCTATGGAGGAAGTGCAGTCCAGAAGAGACCATGGAGAAAGAGGTCTCCTGAGGCCATGAAGATCCGCAACGGGCTGGGTGGGAGCAGCGCTTGGTGTATAGCCATATTCTGTGGTGGAAGATGTGGGCCTCGGGAGACTGCTCAGGTTACTGGAACCTCGTTATCACATCCCATCCTACAAGTTTGCACTGAATGCTTCCTGACAGCTACAAGTGAGGGTGCCTGCCCATGTTAACGCTGATTTAAAAACACAATACACAAATCTATCTCTTGGATTGCTGGTGTGTGGAACCAGAACACCACCACGAAATATTTCCTTGGCCTAAAAGATCACTGAATTAACAAGGAGGTTTAACAGAGGAACAGGAGTGCTGTACTGAGAGGCTTTCGAAGGGAAACACAGGTACCGCCAATTCCGATGAGTTTCTGAAAATGCTAGAAAATGAGACCGCTGAAGACAGCTGTCATGCTGTTCTCCATGATAACAGCACTAATATTAAAAATAATAATAATAAGAGCTTTTAATGATTGAAGTGTATACAGTTTGGGCCGTTTGGCAAAACCCTGCAGATGTGTATTAATGATGCTTTATTTAAAAACAAAACGAAACAGTCCATGTTGGAATTGATCAGGTTAAGTTAATGGTGGTTTTTAGGCTGGACCCATGATTTAAGCTGTACCCATCCAGCTCAGACAAAAAAAAAATAAAAATAAAAATAAAAAGAGAGAGAAATCATCTGAATGTTAAAGCAATTGTTCAGAGTCTTGAAGAAGAAACCAGGCCAGAGAATGCCAATAATGACCATTGGCAAAATCAAAATCAAAACAAAAGAAACTTTATCGAGCCGCCGACAAAGAAATCTTGCACGGAGACTACAAGTCTGGAGTTTCTGGGATGAAATTGTACAGGAATCTCAGTCCACAGTTTCCTCATTCGCTGCGGAGACGGAGCTGTCACTGAATCTGACAGAGCCCTGCACTCCTCGGTCCGCCGACCCTGTGGAATGGTGGAAACACAACGCAATCAGGCCTCCTAATCTCGCAGCGATCGATCGCGATGTCTTTTCTTGGAGCTCCGCCAAGCAGTGTTCCCTCCGAGAGGCGTTCAGTTCTGCTGAGGATCTCCACGGAGACCATCGCTGCAGACTTCTCCCCGAGAATGCAGAGAGGCTGGTGTTTTATTTTATTCATTTTAAAATAATGCAATTTGCCCAGAGTAAACTACAGTATTAAACACAGTTTCAGCTCACCAAAACCGCATGAGTCATGCTATGGAGTTTGTACTATACTCAAATTGCACACAGAAAACACATATATAAGTCTAAGGGTTCTTAAACTTTGTGCATCTCTCAAATAGATTCACATATGGTCATCTAATAGTGGCCATAGTTATACTATGGGTCAATTTACAAAAGGATTGTACAGCACTGTAAAAAGTTAAGTGTGGCAACACTTTTCCCAATCAAGCTGCCCTGTCTGATTTGCCATAGTCCATTTTTGACAAACATTAATAGCTACTATTCGGTATTCAGTCGAATACCAAAAAAGTGGATTCGTCACATCCCTAGTTTATAAGTCAGTGAAATCCCAAAATCTTAATGGAGAAAAGTTGGAAACAATATCAAGTCTACACGGTGTTCTCCAATTGACCAAAACAAGAGACTTTTCATGTGGAGGAATAGGGTAGGGTCAACTCTACAAGTCAGCCTCTCTCTCTCAGATACAAACACACACACACACACACACATACACACACACACTCACCACCAGGGGGATGAAATTTCACACTGAAGAACAACAATGATTTACGAAGACAGACAAAAATACATGAGGTACAAGTAAGTTATTCTTAAAAACTGGTTTAATCAAGGAAATGCCAAACAGCATCACAACACTAACTCACCTTTCTGTAATCCAGTCTTCATGGCGGCCTGAGGAGCTGTTTCAACCTATTTGGACAGAAAAATGCAGCATTAACAGGGAGGTTTTTTTCACCTTTAAAAAATAGAGGGAAAAATAACACTTTCAACAATCTAAGTAGTGACGAGTGACCAATGTTACCGAGAATCTGAGTTCAACTCCATCTTCGGGGTCAAGTTCTCTGTCTCAAAGTCAGGGAGGGTTAAATCCTAACTGCCTGTGCTGAATACCAAGTGATAACACACAGCCACATGCTCTTTCGCAAAGACTTCCCACCACTCCCTTGGTATGTGACGAAAACGAGAGGAGAGTATTTTCCTCAGTGGGAGGCAGGAGAGGAGCTGTTTCTTTGACCAGCCCCATGTTGCTATGGACCCCTCCCACCCCAAAGACATTAGGATAAATTTTTACTTACTATGATACTCAGGTTAATGTAACTCACGCCACTTTAAGACCCTTCCGCGCCTGCACTCACAGCTAAGTTGCTGGGAACCAGGAGGGACCCTCTCTGTAGAGAGTGCTACAAGACTCCATACTGCTGGAAGCTCAATACTTGTGCTGCTAGAACAAACTTAGTAAGTCTGGGATAATGCAATAGCACTTTCTTGAGTGTCTTATGAACAGGGTCTTGATCCTACATCAGGAGAGCGAGATCAGAAGTTATTCTGCCAATGTATATGTAAAACACGTGGTACTGGAAGACTGAACCATTGGAATAGGGAAAAGATGCTGTTTGGAGAGGTTCCTGTTTAGGCTATAATGGAATTTTATGTTTCTTTAAGGTGTGAAATATGCATGTTGAAACACAATTTGTAAATATTTAAGGACTGTTCTAAGCTTTTTAAAAATTTTTTTTATTTATATTTTTTTACAACAGGTAAAAAAACATACAACAGGAATGTTTTTTGTACGATACAATTAGTTGTACAAATATAAAATCTTCTAAACAATCACTGGTATTACTCTGCTACTAACTATATATATATATATATAACACAGTGGCAGTAACAGTTTGTCCCATTAGTTTTGCTCACTCTGTTTATAAATTTGAACTGACTGGTCACACACTGAATTTGGGAACCAGGTGGCAATGTCACAACTTCATTTTGGTAACAAATACTACAGGTTTATCAGACCTGGAATTTTCTAGATATGGAAATTATATGATAAATGACAATGATTACTGAAATTTTAGCTAAATACTTTCAAAAAATGTTTTATATGCTTGTGATACCATAGAGCACCCACAAAGTTAGCTTTTAAATTTGGAAATTTAAAATTGTGAAGATTTTAAATAAAAAAGTGTACACTCTTCCATGGTAGATGGCTTTAAAATATTAAATTTACTGGAACTAATTGTGGATTTAATACTAGGTGGTTGGGCTATAAAAAAATAAATATTCTAAAGCTGGTTGTGGTGCCAGACACCTTTAATCCCAGCACTGGGGAGGCTGAGGCAGGTGGATCTCTGTGAATGCCTGGCCAAGCTGATCTATATATTGAGTTCCAGACCAGCCAGGGTTATATAGTGAGACCATCTTGAAAAATGAAGAAAGAAAAGAATATTCTGGGGGCATAGCTCAAAGTGCTTATCTAAAAATGGATATTCGTTCACTTTTTAAAAATCAAAAAATCTGAGTTTATGACTTATAGGAGATCATTCCTAAGAATTATTTGAAAAGGTAATTAACATGTATATTGCTACATTGATTACACCAGTTGAACACATTCAATCAAAATGTAATCCCCTCCCCACACACTTTTTCCTTGAATATTGTTTATCTAACAGTCTGATTTCAGATGAGTGCCATTTCACTGGAAAAATAACATTTCAAAAGATTTGTGATATCAACAGAAAAACCAGATCACCTATGATTACCTTCTTTTTAAATATAAGAATATAAATTAAATTAATTTGACTTGTTTAAAAAATAAAAGCAATATATATCAGCAGCTTAAACCAAAAATCAAAGTTTTAAAAAGGGAACTCCATGATGGTTCCAAATAAAACTCATGAAAACATGAACTCATTGTGCTTGTAACAGAATTTCAAAATGAATGCAAAGGTCTTGCACTGCTGCCTTCCCATCTCCCAAACCTGTTTTCTGTGAGGGTGCCTGAAGCACCACCACAGGACGACAGCCATTTGAGACGTCGCCACTGCAACCCACCAAGACAGATGGAATGATAGTTCAGGAAGGAGGCCAAGGTGGGGAGAATCTTTCTTTGGTGACAAGAGATAAGCCACCATATTACAGATACACTCTAACTCTCTACATGTGGGAAGCCAACCTGCTCCTTTTTGATCTTCTTCTTTGGCGCAACCTCAGTGGATTTCTCTGACTCAGATCGAGTCCTGACTGATCTTCTTTGCTGCTTCTTTTCTACTGGGCCTATGAAATGATTTAAGCACAAACAGAGAAAAACTCATTAAGATTGTTGGACTCATCTGGTTAAGGCTGACCAGACTCCTGACATTTTTAGCCATTACTTCTATAATGAAAAGTTATTAAAAACCTTTTAAATACTCGGGAACACAAAATTATTTAATAGTTCAAATCAACTGAGAATGGGCTCTATAAAAGATCCCAGTTATATAAGTAAGGGAGATAATGTTTTTAGTTTAGTCAGGCCAAAACAGCAGAGGCATAGTTTACTCCTGAAGGCCGGTAAACATACTTAAGAAGTGTAACTCTGGGGATGAAGGGACTGAATGGATCAGCACAAAGAAATTTGCTATTCCATACACACAGGCAGACTTGAGTTCAGCTCCCCAGCAACCACTTAAAACAGAAAAAGCAAAGGGGGGGAGGGGGCTTATCAGCACATGCGTGTAATCCTGCTGCTAGGAAGTCAGAGAAGGGTCTCCATGGCTTGTTGCCATGAGACCCTGTATCAAAAGACAAGGTGAAAATCAATTGAGAAATACACCCCCTAGCCTCTATACACATGCATTTGCACCTGTGTCCCCTCTCTCCCTCCCTCTCTCTCTCTCACACATACACACACACACACACCACATTGGTTCAAAATTCAATCACTAGTACACATTTTGCACCTTTTGTGAGTTGAACAAATTTTATGGTACACTTGTGTAAGTTATATTACTGCTACACCAACCAAGCCGGAGGAAAAGCAGGATGGATGCAAACATGTGACCAAACACAACTACTAACTCGGAAATGGCTACTCAGTTGGTGGAGTGTTTGCTTAATGTGCAGGGAGCCCTGCAAAAGATTCCCTACAGCACACAAAGGAGGGCACTTTGGAGGTGAAGGCATGAGGGTCAGAAGTTCAAGGTCATTCTTGGTTACATGAGATTGACCTCAAAAGGAAAAAACACACACACACACAAAAAACTAACCATGAGACAAATTACTAGTAAAATAAGCTTAAGGTGTGTGTGTGTGTGTGTGTGTGTGTGTGTGTGTGTGTGTGTGTGTATGTGTGTGTGTGTGTACACAAATGCTGGGATTAAAGGCATGAGCTGCCATACCTGGCTTAAGATTTTTAAACAGTACAACTGCTTAAAAATAAACTGATAAGTACTGGCATTTAATCCCAGCACTTGGGAGGCAGAGACAGGCAGAACTGCGTGAGTTTAGAGGCTAGCCTGATCTACAAAGCTGGTTCTAGGACAGACTCCAAAGCAATACAAAGAAACCCTGTCTCAAATAAACAAACAGTTAAAAACTTATGTGGACCTCACGGAAAAATAAAAACTGACATGGCAACTTGGAAGAATACCAGGAAAACCAGAAATGAGTGCCTCTGTGACACTACAAACAGCAACACCTTCACTGCGACTATATGTCAGGTCTTCAGTACAACTGATGGAAAATGCTCAGCAGGTAAAGGTGCCTGACACCAAGGCTGACTGCCTGGGTTCCATCCCCAGAACCCACATGGACACATGGCCGGGGGATGGGGGGTGGGGGGACACGACTGACCCTCCACCATGTCCTCTGACCTCCAGCTGTGTACCTCCTGTACAATCAGATAGAAGTGTCTCTTATGCAGCAATGCAGAAACCTTCAAAACCCTGCAGTTCACTGCTCTGGGTTACACGGAAATGCTTCCCTTTGCCTTAGGTCAAATCCAGAACAAAGAGCAATCTCACTACTTTGTTTTGGATAGTCAGTAGTTTGGCAATACCATAGTTATTTTGTTATTTAAAAAAAAAAAACAAATTTTTTATTATTCTGTGTACGTGTGTGTGTGTGTGTGTGTGTGTGTGTGTATCAAAGGACAACTTGTGGAAATGTGTTCTCTCCTTCCATCATGTGGGTCCTGATAATCAAACTCAGGTTGTCAGGTACTCACTGACATTTTTCTTTTCATGTATATATGAATGGGATACACCTGTGTTAATGCATGTTCACATAGGTATATATGTGTACAGATGTGTGTGCAAGTTTGTGCACATACAGGTGAAGGCACTAACAGGAATCAGTCATACCCAGGGCTCACTGATGGAGAGTCTCCATAGCCACCTTCCAAGGCTGGGATTACAGATGGGCTACCATGCTCACCTGCCACTTAAATGTGTTCAAGGAATCAAAGCTCCTGGCTACTTGCTTGCTGGTAAGTGCTTTAGTTGCAGAGCTATCTCCACAGTGTGTCATCAGAATATTTCAGAGCTACAATTAATCTGCTTCTAGCACCAAGTCACAATCTAGTCATAAAAGTCCATCAAAGTTCTGGAATTAGCCTTTACTCTAAACTTTTCTCCTTAAACTGGTAAGAAAATGTTTACTAAGGCAAGAGAGCCTACCCACATAGACCAGCTAAGAATTTCAGAGGTTCCAGGCTTCAGTACAATCATTAATACTCAAGTACTACCTAGAAAAACAAAAATGAAAACAACTTGGAAGCAATAGCAAACAAGCCAGCAAGCAAACAATACCTACTTGCTTCTAGGGTGGCATGTGGGGTTGGCAAACAATCTGAACTGCAGTCTCTGAACTTTCTTACCATCCTGTGATGTGTTTATCAGATACAGCTTGTTTTGTTTTGTTTTTCTGAGACAGGTTCTCATGCAGACCAGACTATCCTTGAACTACCATGATTTTCTGATCTCCCCGCTTCCATCTCTCAAGTGTTGGTTGGGATCATGGGCATGAGCCAACAAGCCAGTTTATGTAGTACCAGGATTTGAACCCAGGGTTTTGTGCATGCTAGGCAGACACTCTACCAACCCCTCACCTGCTTACTGTCTTACAGAGGGTGAGGCAACATGACTTCTTAAGATTATTCTGAAAGCTACATAAAGAACAAACACATTTAAAACCACTAATAATTTTTATACTTATTTTCTAAGGGTGGGGGTGGATTTGGAAAGTAATGTCGTAACCTAGTATGAATGTAAATGTCAGTCTTCAAACCACAGAAATATGTCAGTGGCACAAGTTGAGGTATTTAAGTTTTGAGAGAGAGAGAGAGAGAGAGAGAACACGCTCAAGAACTCCCCTTGCAGCTGAGATGATACGATGGCTTCTAAGGGGAAACAAGCATCTCTTCTGACCTTTGTAATACTAAAAGTTATTTTTACAAAAAAAAGTGAGCCGACCATTTAAAAAGACAAAATTATGCTTACTAACCATCACTGGCAACTAAACGAAAATCAATATCAAAGTTGTACCAACCATCCCTGAAGATAGGGTTCTAGTCAAAACTTAGAACCTAACTATATGTGTCTAAGGAAGATTGCCTTTTCCTAATTACAAAGAAAGAGAACATTCTACTTAAAAAAGAACACAAAGGTGAAAGATCACAGCAGAACTTGAATTTTATAATGAATAGATTACACAAAGACATGTTCAGTAGCTGAGGGGAAGAGCAGAAAACATGACCCATTAATAGAAGCTGTGGCACTTAAGAAGTGTCCAGTAAAGCCGGATGGTGGTGGCACACACCTTTAATCCCAGCACTCACAAGGCAGAGGACAGCCTGGTCTATAGAACTAGTTTCAGGACAACCAAGGACTACACAGAGAAAAACCTGTCTCAAAAAACTGGAAGAAGAAAACACTGTCCAGTATGAAATGAAGAATTTATTTTCTCCCTTCTCAGGGGACTTTAGGTGTGTAAATCAAGATCTAGACATCTCACTTAAAGTGAGACAAATTAACAATGCTACTATAAAAACTGATACACCTATTTGAATAGCCAAGGCCAAAGGATTTGATTTTTGAATAGTCAAAAGAAAGCAAATATTACATCATGGGCAATCAATGCAAAGTCTAAGTCACTTGTTACTTGCTCATCTTCAACTTCACTAGATGGTGTCTGAGAAGATGGAAGCAGCAGGCCTGGTTGCCACTTGCTGCTCCCTCGGCTCTCTAGGTCAGCTTCCTTTCCCAGTTTGATACTGGATAAAGATACTCTACTTACTGTGCCTCGTTCAACTTGTGCCCAGTGCCCTCTGGAAAGATCTTGCCCTGTCCTGTATCCCTCCAACCTGTTTTTAGAGAGCTAACACAAGTATCCCTGCACAGGGTTTCTCTGTGTAACAGTTCTTGCTGTTCTGAAGCTTGCTCTGTAGACCAGGCTGTTCTGGAACTCACAGATCTCCTCCGGCCTCTGCCTCCTGAATGCTGGGATGACAAATGTGTGCCACCAAGCCTTTTATTGAATGGGGTTGCTATATAGATTTTGTAATAATTCAGATTTTAATTAGATTCAAACTCTCAAAAGTAGCCCTCTGTACCCTCCATCACAGATTTGCTTGGATTACTACTGAGTCAAGATCTCTATTTCTGCTTTCCAGACTCTGACTCTTCCAGCAGACAATTACAATACACTGAGAAGTACACTGTGTTTGCAATATTATTTTAAGATGTGCTACATTTGTTTAATGATGCAAGGATGTGTTGTATTCTTTTATGTTACATTTGTTTATCTCTGTGGAGCTGTGTTACTTTGCCTGTCTAAAACACCTGATTGGTCTAATAAAGAGCTGAAAGGCAAGGCAGGAGAAAGACTAGGTGGGGCAGGCAGGCAGAGATAATACAGAGGGGAAATCTGGGAAGAGGATATTGAGGAGCAATTAAAAAGAAAGAGAAGAGGACATCAGGGGCCAGCCACCTAGCTACACAGCAAGCCATGGAGTAAGAAGTAAAGAAGTGTGTATAGAATAGAGATAGATAAAAGCCCAGAGGCAAAAGGTAGACGGGGATAATTTAAGAAATAAGCCAAGCTAAGGCTGGGCATTCATAAGAAAGAATATACCTCCATGTGATTATCTGGCAGCTGGGTGACAGCCCCCCACAAAGAACAAAGAGCATAAACAACTACAACTCTCGATCAGTGAGATGGCTCAATGGGTAAAGGGACCTGCCACCATGACTGAACTCAATCCTGGGACCCACAATGTGGAAAGAGAGACCCCATTTCTGCAGGTTTCCCTGACCTCTGTGAACATTCATAGTGGCATACATGCGTCACACGCACAAATTAATAAATGTCATGTCTTAAAAAGGAGAAGTATATATGTGGTCTCTGCCCTTCATTCTTAAATCCTTTCTAATTCTCTGAGTGGTATGAATATATATTTGTCCTGTTTGGTCTTTGACCTAGTTCTTGGCATAGAGCTGCGAAGTAGAAGGCATGGATCAATCAGTCTTTTTTACTCCTGGTAGACTGCTAGCTAGAGGCTAGGCACTAGAAGGTCACAGCTGTTCTAAGTTTTCAGTTCCAAGCCCAAATTCCTGCCCCAAAGCGAAGACAGACTAAAGCCTAAATAACAGGTTGTTCCTGTATGATGAAGCCCCCTGACCCTCTGAACTATGGCACTAGAATTTTCAGATGAGGACTCTGGAGGTACCTAGGAGGGCAGAGACACTATAGCCTCTGAGCCTATTGCCGGGGAGTCTCTTCATCTGTCTGCACATCTGCAGCCTCTGTGGCATCTTTGATGACAAAATGCTAAACTCCACTATAGTTCTTGCCTGACTTCTGTGAGCTACTGCAGCAAACGGCTCAGTCACGGGAGGGAGTAGGAACAGCCCCAATGTGCAGACTATTGATAGAGACTGGAGACAGGATCATGGTAGGTGAGGCCAGAAGAGCTGAAATCCAAAGCCAGCCTCCTGTCCTCAGAAAACTCAAGTCTTGGAGCCTCCTGGAGTCTATTCTGATGGGAGCTGATGCTGGTCAGGACAGCAACTGGGAGGTGGGAGCAAGGAGTAGTGAGTTCAGGGCCAGCCTGGGATCCACAACAATACTCTACCTCCAAAAAACCAGAAGCAGATAAGATTAAACCTGAAGGGTCTGACACTGTGAGAAGTGATCAAAAGATGAGGTGACATATGCTTTAATCCCATACTAAGGAGGCAGAAGCAGGAGACATCTGAGTTCAGTGAGTGTAGCCTAGTGTACACAGTGAGTTCCGGACAAGTCAGAGCCACACAATACAATAAGGCCTTGTCTCACAAACAAAAAGGTCACTTAGCAAGTGTCTAAGAACTGGTCAGTATGGGGAAAAATCGTCCACTAATCTGGGTACAGAAGTTTGCAAAATGGCCAATGTATGTCAGAACAGAAACAGTGAGAGAGAGAGAGAGAGAGAGAGAGAGAGAGAGAGAGTGTGTGTGTGTGTGTGTGTGTGTGTGTGTAAAATAACACTGCCGTTTTCAGTTCCAGATGTCTACTGTAAAGAGAACAAGTCACACATTGGAGTAGCTAGATCCTGGGTCCTAGAGATACTAACACTGCACACATCTACCAACAATTTTATTTCCAATTGAGGATAAAGGAGCAAATGGGAAGGATGAGAATGTCCACAACTGATGAAAGAGTAAACTGCTGTTCTACAAAAAAGAGAAAGGACCTAGACATGCTTATAATTCATAGCTACATCACCCCCTCCTTTATTTATTTACTTGCTTATTTATTTTGAGCTGGAATGTTGCTGGTTTCTTTTGGCTGGGATTACATGCACACTTACCACACTCAGCACAGAATTTATAGCTATGTTCTCTCTCTCTCTCTCTCTCTCTCTCTCTCTCTCTCTCTCTCTCTCTCTCTCTGTTTTGTTATTTTGAGACAGGCTTCCTTTGTGTAACACCCCTAGCTGTCCTGGAACTCGCATTGTAGACCAGGCTGACTCGAACTCACAGAGACCCACCCCACTTGCCTCTGCCTCTGCCTCCTGAGTGCACAGCCATACTCTTAATTATGGAACTATCCTAGTATTTAAATTCCTGTAGGGAAAAGAACTATGGAGAAAGCTCTCTAGTTTGGGTTCATTATTTCTTACTAAAATGATTGCTTTTAAAATCAAACTCTTTAGTTTTATGTGAATGAATATTCAGCCAACATACATGTCTGCCTGTGCACCTTGTATGTTATCTGGTTCCTGTGGAGGCCAGGAGAGGGCTTTAGTTCCCCTAGGACTGGTTAGAGTTATCATATGAAGAAGGATTCTTACTATGAAATACCTACGCACGTGTGCCCTTATGATCTGTTTCCATTTACCACACCTCTCAGCATGGATCCAGGTGCCCCTCAGTCATACCCACCTGCAGAACCAGATGTCGCCTCAGGGGATGACGAGTTCTGAGCTGGCTTCTCGTTTCTCTGACTTGGTGAAGAGATTATAAGCCTGTCTTGCCCCCTGACACTTATTTCTGTTTTGTTACCAATTCCCTTTAAAATGAGGCAGAATAAAAAACAAGCAATTAGCAGGCACATAGTGTCATGAGCTTAGAAAGATGGTTTAACATAATCATAATTTGCTCAAGCTTGTATTGTCAATTATGATTAGTCATTATCAGAAACATTTTATTAAGTCATCAGGATATAGTTTAAAATATACATTGAGATTACTTGAAAGAAAAATGAAAACTATTTACCTTAAGTCCAGGTGTTAAATGCCCTTAATAAATGAACTTTCATCACCTAATTTTCTGTCAAAAACAAAGTAATCCCTAATCTGAATAATTCCTTTCTTTACACCACTGTCATTTGGTGAAGTCATCTGTTACAAAGGTAAAAGGACAATGTGTCTTGAGATGAGAATATCTTTAGAGAAAGAAATATGCCATTTATGTTTACAAAATGTGAACAAACAGGTCACATGGAGCAGATAGCAGGTGCAGTTAACTCAGATATTAATTTAGGTATTTTTTAATGTAATGAAATAAGAGCCATTTTAACTATTATATTTATTTTTCAAAAGTTTACTTTGTTTTTAAAGCTTTATTTTCATTTTACACGTGTGAGTGTTTGCCTGAATGTATGTGCACCACATGCATGCCTGCAGACACCAGCATGTGATCTTGCACCCTCAGGAACTGGAACTATAGAAGGTTGTGAGTCATCATGTGGATGCTGGGAACCAAACCCACATCTACAAGCACAGCAGATATTCTTAAGGGCTGAGTCATTTCTCCAGCCCTCAAAGATCAGTTTTATCTTGAATTTCCTTTAATAGTTTTAGGGGGGGGGGAGTATTTTTTTCATACAGAAGCAAATAAAACTAGCTCTAAGAATAAAGGCAATTTGCATTCAAACAATATGCAAATGTTGCTATCAAAAGGATCACACTGGGGCTAGAGAGATGGCTCAGTGGTTAAGAGCACTTGCTGCTCTCCTAGGGGACTGAGTTCAGGTCCCAACACCACTATTTCAGGGCTCACAAATGCCTGCAGCTCCAGCCCCAAAGGATCCCAACACTCTCTTCTGGCAAGGAAAGGAAATGAGGAAGAGGAAAAAGAGAAGGAGGAAAAAGGAGAAAGTAAAAGAAAAAGGAAACAGAGAAGTATGAGACTATAAACTTTTTTGGGAAACTGAGCCATATTGAAAGCAGTTAAACCCACAGGCAGAGGCAGATTGACAGGCAGAAACCCTGAACATTTCTAAGAATGAAACATCCCTATATATAATCAACTATTTTGATATGCGTCTGTTAATGGAGAAAAAAAGCACAGAATTTCATAATATACACATGCATGAGATGCAACTAAATCAAAATCACAAACCCCAAATTATAAGTGGGTTGTGAGGTATGTACATATTCTAATGTTACAAAAAATTTTGACATCTTCACGTCAAAGACTAACTGCCTTACGTGGAAGCCTGATAGAGGTTTTTAGTAGCTGACCTATACCATTAATTACCCTTTCCTCACCACAGTTCATTATAGGACCAACATAGTAATGAAATGTTTCTAAAACTCAATGAGATATCCCAAGCTAACAGGAATCTAACAAAACTGCTCACTCAGCAATGCCAAGCTGAAAATGGCCTTTGCTCAAACAGCTTCAAGCTAGATAAAGAGAAGGCCTGAGAAGGTATAGACAGGTACAGCTGTTAGGCCTGAAGGCATAACCAGCCCATTTTATGTTTTCAGACAAGGTTTTGCTATGTAGCTCAGGCTGGCCTTGTGCCTTTGCCTTCTGGGTGCTAGAATTATAGTGCAAACCACCAAGCCCAGTCAGAGGAGCACATGATTTAATAGGAACTCACAATGTGCAGATTTAAGGACATGCAAGAAACCCTCACTAAATCTGCACTCCAGCAGCCACAAGGCTGACCTGAAATTTGGTTAGTACAGAGCTTGTCTAATGTCTAGAACCCTAGCACCAGCTGCATGGGCATGTCTACAGTCCCAGCATGGGGAGACAGACACAGGAGACTCAGAGTCAGAGGAGCAGGGTCGGTTACATAGTTTAAGGCTCCCCTGGGCTACATAGGACACTAGAGAGGTGGGTGGAAGAGGATGTACATTGTTTTCCAAACACTTAGATGAGAGAAAGAAGTACAAAACAGCTCACCTAGCACTTTGTACTGACTACATATCAAAATAATGTCTAGGTACATTGAATTAGATGAACTGTGTAGTTAAAATTAAAACAAAACTAAACTAAAAAGCTACTGCTGGAACAACCTAACAGATCAACAGGCACAATTATTCCAGTAGTTTGTTTGTTTGTTTGTTATAACAATTCAGATAAAAGAAAAATTTTAATAAAAATCATACTTTACAACAAAGAAAAACTAACTCTACAAATGAGAAATGGCAAACTCCCGAGTTTTTCCATGACTTTCCAGAGCTAACCTCGATCCTGGCTCCATTGCTCAAGATTAATCTACTGTAGATGGGAGAGTCTTACAAGAGGGAATTGGGAAGAACATAGCTTCTTGCCCAGAGTAAACAGGACTGCTTCAAATGCAGTGGATCCAAAGGGCATTTAAATTACATTCTTAAGTGGCTTTTTTTTTTTTTTTTAGTACCATTCCCCAAACCCCTATAGAACAAGAGGTACCTTCGTGGAATAAACAAACTGATCAATAAACTTCCCATCTCCTGTGGCATTCTGAAGAGCAAACACTTGTTCAATTTTCACAACTGGAGACATGTTACACTTCTGCAAATCTAGGCCCCCTTTGTGCATTGTGATGGAAGCTGGTAAGGATTTCCTTGCGGCTGCTGTTTTCCAGGCTATTTTAACAGGAGGTGGCTCTTCCTCGTCCACACTTGTGTGCCGCCTCTGGCTTTGTCTTCGAAGGTCAGTACTTGATTGTGAGGAGGCCACCTCCCCAGCATTGGTCTGTTCTGTCTGACTGTTCAGCACAGATCTTGGTCTTCGGGGTTTCTTAACTTCGGTCTTGGAGGTAACATTCTTCTTTGCTTGGGATGAAGCCTCTTCTGGCTGCTTGTCAATATAGATGAAAGTGTACTGCTCTACTCTTTCTTCTCTAGTCATTTTCAATGCTTTCTCTGCATGAGCGATGCCAATGTCCCACTGGGCACGTTCTCTCTGAGGCCGGGGCTTCCGAATCTTTATAAAAAGATACAGGCATTATGTGAGATTTTATATCTAAGTCTCATAAGCACATTAAAACCAACATGTATTTTCTAAGCACCCAGCAATTTTTTTCAAGTACACATAAATATTTTCAGATTCTCCAGACAAATAAATGGAATGTGCTGATCTCATGACATTAATAAACTAGTACTGCTCTATTAAATTATGTGATGGTCTGCTCCTTCGTTTCTATTTCTTTGGTGACTACTCTGCTGAAACACTCCAAAGAGTTGTCCTTTCACATCAGTATTTGCTGAATGGTAATAATGGAAAAGAAGAAAGACTACAGAAACACTAACATTGAACATGCCACTGCAAACTTGCTATTCCTCCACTTGTAGGCAAGTAAATCAGGTCCTGTGGGGACCTCAGCAAAGCCTGATGTCAGCCAACATTTAGAGGCGTGTGGCCAATCTATGCCAATATGCAAACAAGGATAGAATGAGGAGAAATAAGAAAACCCAAGAAAGCAACACAACCAAGAAAAGCCATGTGTGTTGCGAATGGGGTGGTGATGAACAAACCCGGAATTCTTTTCCATATGGTTGAGCAAAAGAGTCTGGGTGGGCAGGGGGGTAAGAAAGCTTTCAAACTGTGTGAGATGACCAGAGAAACTAATTGAAAGTGATGAGCAAAGCAACCAAGAGCTGTTCAGACAGGGGGCCAGTGAAATGGCACGTGGGGACCCATGTGGCCGAAGGAGAGAAAGTTTCCCCACATATATATCTGGCCTCCACATACACATCATAGCAAGTGAGCTACACATATGTACACAAATAAATATAACAATAGGGCTGGGCATGGTGGCACGCACATTTAATCCCAAGACTCAGGAAACACAGAAAGGCAAATCAGTGGGAGTTCAACCCCAGACTGGGCTAAAAAGCAAATTCTAGGAGACCCTATTTCACAACAACAACAACAACAAAAAGTGATAATAATAAAAAAATTTAAAGAGTCAGACTATGAGATGGTGTGTTTTATGCTAAATGTTGACTTAAAATATAAGCCTGATAAAATTAACTAAAACCCTCTTTATATATTGAAATTTGTTTCATCCAAGTACTTGGGACTGGGCAGAGGCAGAGGCAAAGGCAGGCAGTTTTCAGCGAGTTTGAGTCCAGCATGGTAGTTTCAGAACAGCCAAAGATACAAAGAGAGACCCTGTCTAGAAAAACCACTCCCTTCTCAGGGAAAAAAAAAAAAAAAAAAAAAAAAAAGGCAGTGGGTGGGGTGGGTTTCCTGCCCTGCTCTTCTGGAAGAGCAGAGTTCAATACCCACAGCCGGCAGCTCACACTGCCTAGCACTGCACCTGCAAAGGAGCTAAAAGGGGGGGGGGGGGGGTAAAAGAGGGGACAAGGAGAAGTAGAATAATTTTTTAAAAGTTTGTGATAAAATTTGGTGTTTTTGCTATTAGTGGATAAAACTCACTGGACTTGAACACAGAGACTTGTCTGTTCCTGCCTCCTATATGCTGGAATTAAAGGCAAATGAAATCACTCCTAGGCAAAATATAACTTTTAGAAGTATAAGAATTAGAAATTTCTGAAGTATAAGAGACCTACAATAACTGCATGATATGCTTGAAAAATTATCTTTATGAAGCCTAGCACTCGGTACAATGAATATATGCAAATAACATAAATAAAACATAACCAAACTATAAATAAATAAATAAATGAAATCAACAAGACATACTGAGAATCTTTTTCAAAAGTCTAAATATCCACCACCACCTCAAATGCACTGTCGTTCTATAACTCTTGCTCTATCCCCTGGTTCTGTATGTCTGGTGGCCTGAGCTGGACCAGTAACTGGTCTTCTGCACCTCAGTTCCCTGGTCTGAAGAAAAGAAAAAATGTACCTTATTAAGAATTTTATGAAGATTAAATAAGTACATCAATGTTTTCAACAATACTTATTTCACAGAAGGTATTAGATAAAACTTTTTATTTGGTCTGGTTTTGGTTTTTTGAGATAAAGTTTCACTGTGTAGCCTAAGCCAATTTTAACCTGGACCCTCCCTTCCTATGTTAGCCTCCCAAATGCTGGCATTACAGATCTACACACTCCTGGGTCTTATCAAGTTACTTTTAAATCTTTGATAAAATAGCTTTGTTAATAGAATAAAGAATTAAGAGAAGACACTAATACAGAAAAATTACTTATAATCTTTAGCAAAATAACATCAATAGTAGATACTGGATTTGTACACATCAATTCACAACAGATTATAAAGTTGGTCTTTGCCTTATGAGACAGGATCCCATGTGTCCCAGGAGAGCCCTAAACTCTATGTAGCAAAACTTGAAGTTCTGATCCTCCTGCCTCTTCTGGACATGAGGCCATGTCCAGATTATATGGTCCCCAAGCCAGAGTTTTATGTATGCTGGTAAGTACTCTACCAAAGCAGTTCTCTACAGCCTCAATTCTGACAGCTTTTAATAGCAGTACAATATCACAGGACATATACAACTACTTACTATGGTTTTTGATCGAGACAGGGCCTCTGAATGGCCTGGAAATCACTATATAGACCAAGCTGGCCTCAAACACTGAAGTGATATATCTGCCTTACTAATGAGTATTTGGATTATGGGCACATATCACTATGATCAGTTATAAAATGTGTTAATGGACATGGGGATATAGATGAGCAGCAGACTGCTTGTCAGTCGTGGGAAACACCCTGGGTTGCATCTCCAATGTAACAAACAAAGCAAACCACACAGAATAGGCTGTCAGTTACCTTTTGCTTTTCAGAGTGATTGCTGGCTTGTTTGGTTGCCTCAGCTAGTAACTCTTCATACTGTTCATGACCTTTATACTCCCGTACCCGTTTCTCATGAACCCATGCCCTTTCTGGCTGGTTGCTAAAAAATTGGACATGATATTCCCGGGCACCTGTAAGTAAAAATTCAAGTTAATTATGTTAGGACATAAAAATCCACATATAATTTGCCAAAGGGACCTTAAAACACAGTTTTCTCAGCATTTTTTCCATTAAAACTTGAACATTTTAAATTTCTCAAAGATATACAATACTCAGTAACCTCACAACTAATGACTACTATAAAAATCATCCCATATGATTAAAATCAGGGCAGCAAGTTTTAAGAGAAAGAAAAATGTGAAATTCTGCTAGTTGCCCCATTTATTACTTTGATTACATAATTTATTTTTTACTTATCTCTAATATTTTTACAATTATAAATACACATATAAATACACAGTGTTTTCTTCCAAAACTGTACATGTTTTCTTGGATTCTTAAGAATCAAGTTCTGATTGGATCGTTTTCCTGGGTATATAAAGAAGATTGTTTTAGGGGTCCTGTGACACCTATAGTACTGCCATAATAATATCACTGATTTTTCTTTTACACTTAAGAAACAAAAGCAACAGCAGATAAAACTTGTGGCATCACAACACAAACTACACAGAACGACACCCAGCTACCACCCCACACTGGCACTGTTTTAAAAGGATAGTTTTCTGTGATGGCCTTGACAAATCAGCAAAATCATTAACTTTCCTGCATTTCAGCCTTGAATTTGTGCCTCTTTAATATTCTGTGCAGTAAGAAGCCATGAGAAATGAACAAGGTACTTCTGCATCCTGGACAGTGAAGGCTGTCTTGAGGGAACACTGATTTATTATGGTCACCTGGTGGCAAGAAGGGATGTCACAGTACCTAGAAAATGTGCCTTTCTGTTGCTATTCAAACATGACAAGGGGCAGGTGTCTCTAAAGAATAAGCTCCTATTTCAAGGAAAACACATTATTTGATATCAATAATACAGTTTGACCTTTCAGGTAATAATTACAATTTTGGAAAACCTGCCTTTGCCTCTCTGAGTCTGCTTACTTCCTCAGATCAAAGAACTTCTGAGAAAGTAAGTGGTGATTTAGACAAACATCTAGCTGGCACAGTGGCTCACACTTTCAATCTCATCACTCAGGAGGCAGGCATAGGAAGATCTCTTTTACTTTAAAGCCACCCTGGTCTACACAGAGAGTTCCGGGACAGCCAAGGCTACATAGAGAGACTCTGCCTCAAAAAGAAAAAGAAGAAAAGAAGCTACAAAGGAATATGTCAACATATGAAAGTTCTACATGACTCACTAAAACAAGAATTTTTAAAAATTTTACTTTTATTTATTTTTGTTTTTTTGAGACAGGGCTCCTCTGCTTGTTGCCCTGGCTGTCCTAGAACTTGCTCTGTAGACCAGGCTGGCCTCAAACTCACAGAGATCCTCCTCCCTCTGCCTCTGGAATGCTGGGATTAAAGATGTACACCACCACTACCCTACATTTTTAAAAAACAAACTAAGGATGTAGCTCAATGTCATAACACTTATAGGGGGCCCTGGATTCAAACCGCAGTTCTTCTCATGCACAAATGTAATCCAAAATAAAAAAATAAATCCTGAAGACATGAAAATGAAAACATATGCATATATGTCTCTGAATACCTGACAAAGTTGTGTAAACTTTCTGTCAAAGGCTGAATATGTAGAAGAAATGTTTTTATAATATGAGAAATAATGCAGGAGCTGAGATGGCTCAGGGGTGGAGAGTACTTACTGCTCTTCTGAAGGATGGGAGTCTGTCCCAAGCACCACATCAGGTGGCTCACAACTACCCGGAACTCCAGCTCCAAGGGGAATTACACCCGAGAACCTTGGAGGCCACCTGTACTCAGGTGCACATACCCACACCCAGAATTTTAAAATATTTTTTTAAGAGTCTATTTTAAAATAGGGGCTGGAAAGATGCAAAGCAGTTAAAAGCATGTTGCTCTCACAGAGGACTGGGGCTCTGTTTTCAGCACCACATGGCAGCTCACAGCCATCCATAACTCCATGGATGCAATACTCTTTTCTGGTATCCCCAGGCACCAGACACACATGCAGGCAAAACACTCAGACACATATTTTTAAGTAAAATAATTCAAAGATAAAACTATGTACTTGTAAACTTCATAAAAATATTGCTAAGTCAGGCATACACCTTTGATTACACTACTCAGAAGGCAGAGGCAGGCAGATCTCTGTGAGTTCTAGGATAGCCAGACTACAGAGAAACCCTGTCTGGGAAACAAACAAATTTAAAAAATAATAATAAATAAATAATAAAATATTGCTGGTGTTAAAGTAAACATGAGAAGGCAGGTGGGTGGTACACTCCTTTAATCTTAGCACTCAGGAAGCAGAGGCTGACAAGTCTCTGTGAGTTTCAGGCTAACCTGGTCTACAAAATGAATTCCTGGCCAGTTAAGGCTACATAATGAGACCCTGTCACAACAAGGGATGAAGGACAGGGGAAGGAGAGAGGAAAGAGGGTGGAAGGGGGGGGGGGGGAGAAAGCATGCATGAGGAATGAGGCTGAGACATGAGAAGATGGCTCAGCAGATAAGCACACTTGCTGCACAGGCATGAGGATCTGAGTCATATCCTCAGCCCCCTGGTGACAATTCCAGGCATGGCCTCATGCGCCTGTAACCCTGTAGGAATTGGGACACAGGACTGGTGGGCTATCTGGCCATCAGATAAGCTCCAGCTGAAGAGATGCTGACTCAAAGGAATAAGGTGGAGCGTGACAGACAGTAAGATAGCCCACGTCCTCCTGTCTCCTCTCAGTGTGCACACAGGTAAACACAGCCACATACACAAGGAAAAGTAGGGTCAGGTGATACAGTACTATGAGTGTGAGAACCTAGCCTGGGCAACATAGTGAGACACTTCAAGAACAAAACCAACTCCCTCCCCAGGAAAAACCCTCACACCAAAGACCTTCATTTGCATGTCTGTTAACTACACAGAGAAAAAGAATTACCTCAAATTTTTCAAAATTTACTTTTATTTTATAAATACCGTGTGGTGTGTGTGGGTGTCTTGTCTGCTTGTGTATCTGTACACCATTGCCTGGTGCTCAAGGAGACCTAAAGAGGACATCAGATCCCCGGAACTGGAATCAAAGATGCCATGTGGGTGTAATGAACTGAACCCGGGTCCTCTGGAAGAGGAGTCAGTGCTCTTAATTGCTGAGCCTTCTCTCCAGCCCCCCTCAAATTTTAATAGTATTTATACAAATGTAAAAAGAAATTATGGGGGGGGCATCTAGAGATATGGCTCAGAGGCTGCTCTTCCACAGGTCTTGAGTTCAATTCCCAGCAACCACATGGTGGCTCACAACCATCTGTAATGAGATTTGGTGCCGTCTTCTGGCCTGCAGTGATACATGGAGGCAGAATGTTGTGCACATAATAAATAAATCTTAAAAAAGAGAGAGATTATGGTTACTAATTAGTTTCTGTATATACTCAAGAGTTTTGCCCTTCCCCAATCAATATACAATGTTTTTAAAACATAAGAAGCATTTAATTTCAACTTAAAATGAGAACTAAATGATGAAATACAATTTAGTCCTAAACATCTTCCCACACACCCTTGAAAAGTGTTATTATCTATTAATTTGTTTACTTACTGGTTTTTTGAGACAGGGTTTCTCTGTGTTGAAGCCCTGTCCTGGAACTCATTTTGTAGACCAGGCTGGCCTCAAACTCACATAGATAGATCCTCCTGCCTCTGTCCCCTGAGTGCTGGGATTAAAGTTGTACACCACCACCATTCAGTGCAAGGAGTTATTATTAAGGTGTAAAAGTCATTAAATACATTGTCCAGTCTAACAATGTGACTAATAACAAGTGTAGTCCAGAGAAACTGCACACAGTGGCTTAAGATACACAGCAGCACAGAGGGCTTCACAGACACCATGGGCACAACAAAGTCTGAGTTTCAGTTTTCAGAGACACTGTGAGATTTCTACTTTATTTAAAACTGAACTACATGGTTGTAACAGACAATAAAGTGACAAAGTACTGTTGCATGTCAAAACACGGATAAACTAAACCATGCTAAGTGAAAGCAGCCACTGGCCTGGTAAAGACACAGAGGCAGAAGGCTCTTACTGGCTGCTTAGCCTCCAGGGTGTGGGAGGGAGTTCTGAGTGATAGATATTGGGTGTAAGATTTCTTTTGGAGGTGGTGGTAAAATTCTTAAATTAGTTTGTGGTGCGTTAGCACAACTCTGAGTAAACTTTATAAAAATTACTAAATTCTGGGCCGGGAGGTAGTGGTGCACACCTTTAATCCCAGCACTTGGGAGATGCAAGCAGGCAGTTCTAGGCCAGCCTGGTCTACCCAAGGAGCTCCAGGCCAAACAGAACTACACAGTGAGATCCCACCTCAAATAAACAAACAAACAAATAAATAAATAAATAAGCTTTATGTTCTATGAATATTTCAATAAAGTGATTAGGTTTTAAAAGATTAAAGACAAAAGGCCATTTATGCTTTTAATCAGAACATGAGTGATTTTTAAATTCTAGAGTCTCAAATCATTAAGCATGACATGAACAAATTTTCTAGCACTAAAGTAGAAAACTGCCTAGGAAACACTGGACTAGAGGAAGAAATAATAAATTAAATGTGAAAGCTCTCAGAACTGCAGAGATGATTCAGCAGTGATGAGTGCAACTGTTTTTACAACGTGCCCAAGTTCAGGTCCCAGCGCTCTTCAGGGAGCTCATAATTGCCTGTAACTTCAGCTCCAGGGAAAATGAACCTCCAAAGGCACCTATACATAACGCTCAACCCCACGAGCACACATAAGAATTTAAATTTTTAAAGAAATCTCTCTCTCTCTCTCTCTCTCTCTCTCTCTCTCTCTCTCTCTCTCTCTCTCTCTCTCTCGGTTCTTTAAGGCAGGGTTTCTCTGTACTGCTTTGGAGCCTGTCCTGGAACTCACTCTGTAGACCAGACTGGTCTCAAACTCACAGAGATCCGCCTGCCTGTGTCTCCCGGGTGCTGGGAAGAAATAAATCTTAAAAAGAAAAATGTAAACTCCTTATACTATCTCAAAGGGTCTTTTTTTTTCCCCCCCTTTGAGAGAAGAGAGCTGAAGAGCCATGACTCTTTTGCTGTCGTTTTAAAAGCTTTTGAGGTCCAGATATGGACAGAAACTGTTTTATCTCACAAAATTTAGTCTGTTGAATAATCCTGCCCTGTTCTTCTCCATTCACAGAGCTGTAAGAGTCCAAGGTACTTCACAAACTCTGACCTCTCAAGCCAACCACCTCTGAGTTATGACTGCATGGATCAACTCCTAAGAGTGGCAGAGCAAGGGTTACACAGTGAGATGTGAGACTACTTTTCTGAGACAGAGGATATACCTCATTGAAGCTGCTGTGAGCACTACAGAAGAAAATGTTTAACAGATGTAACTCAGCTGAGAAGTCCTTTCCCAGCACTCAGAAAGCAGCTGCTGTAGCCCATAACTATGATTCCAGCAGAAGGCAGAGGCAGGAGAGTCAGAAGGTTTAGGTCATCTTCAGTTACAAAGCAAGTTTGAGGCAGCCTAGGCTACAGGAGACCATGTCTCCAAATCAAACAAACAAAAAAACTTCAGAAAATACATAGCAGAATCATCTAATAAATGCCTTGCACAAAACTAGACAAACAACGTTGTTTTTTTGGTTGTGATTTTGTTTTTGTTTGTTTGTTTGTTTGTTTTTTCATTCCTGCCCTTCTTCTTCTACTCTCCCAGCCTTTAATCAGCACATACTGCCAAAATGAAAGGTGGTAAGCCATACCACCAGCTAAACTGGGGCAGAGACTTGGCTAAGTGTCACCAATAAGGTAACATCTACAAATCTGATTTGCTAGATTTAAACAGACACTTTTTTCTTCTAATTGATAATGAACAGGTATCAAGAAGGAAGTTTAATATAAAAAAGAGAATAAAACACAAAATTGTCACAGATAATGAATAGCTCAACACATGACAAAAGTGAGTTCACAAACCAAGTGCCCTGAAATTCAGTTACAAGTCAAACTTTCTTTGAACTAAATAGGTCACTTCCAGGCGGGAGAATCCTAGGAATCTACTACACATCATGTTTTGGTTAAAACCAAACATTATGTTGGGACAAAATAAACACAATAACTTTTCTTAATTTGAACATTCCTAAAATAAGATTATCTATTATACATAGATCCAAATTATACTTCTATGTCCTATCAAATACATAAGGCTTTCCCAGTATATTTAGAGTCATGAATGAAACAGAGAAGGATAAAGCACTTAATATAACGAAAAGTACTTGTTTGGGTGACAATGATTCCCATAGGAATCCAAAGTGAACTAATTATCAACCAAGTTAGGCATGGTGAGATAAACCTGTAATCCCTGAAGTCAGAATTACGAGGAGGATAATGAGCTCAGAAACAGCTTGGACTCTACAGTATGAGACTCTGTATCAAAACAAAATAAAACCTACAACATAGTTCAAAAAAGGTTTAGCCTATACATTAAAGTCATATAATATATCTACTCACTTACTAATATGCTTTTATTTTAAATAAAATGATCAGGGTCTTTAAAACAAGGAAGCATGAAAGAAATTACAAAGAAGACCTAGAGACAGGTATGGTGGCTCAGACCTGTAATCCTAGCTATTCAGAAGGCTGAGGTGAAAAGGTTGCAAGATCCAAAGGTTGCCTGCAGTACAAATGAGTTCAAGGCCAGCCTGGACAATGTAATGAGACCCTATCCTGGCTCACAATTCCAGGTTATATTAACATAGCAGGGAAGTCAGAGCTTCAGGCTTTGGAGAACTGCTCACATCACAACCACCATCAAGAACAGAAAGCAGTGAACTAACGCATGCTAGTGCTTGCTCTGCATTCTCCATTTTTGTTTTGCGTTTACTTACTTAATTTATTTTTGAGGCAGAGTCTTGCTACGTAGCTCCAACTGGCCTGGAAGTCATTAGAGAGATCTGCCTTCACAGTACTGAGATGAAAACAATGTACCACACCACACGCTGCTTTGACGTTTTTGTAAGAAACTAAACAAAACATTCATTCGTTTACTCATTCATTTGGGTAGGAGGTAGCACAGAGGTCAGAGGATAGATATTTTTCCAGAGGGCTGGTTCTTTCCTTCCACCTTGTGGGCTCCAGGATCTAACTCACATTATTAGCAGGCTTGGCAGGAAGTGCCCTTACCCACTGTGGCATACCACTGGTTGGCTTTCTATATTTTTTCATACAGTCATAGATACCATGCCCAGGGAACTGACACTACACACATCTCTTCTCATATCAGATAATTTAATTAAGATAATCCCTCATACATTTTCAAAGTTTCACCTCTCTCTTGACCTCCCCCCAAAAAAAATTAAAGGTCTGTGAATAAGGGGGCTGGAGAGATGACTCAGTGGTTAAGAGTACATAAAGTTCTTATAGAGGACCCAAGTTTGGTTCCCTTCACCTACACCAGGCAGCTAGCTCTCAACTGTAACTCCAGCTCTAAGGGATCTAATACCCTCTTCTGGCCTCTGGTGGGTACATGGTGTACCTATCCCAACACACACACACATAACAAAAATAAAAAGAGATCTAAAACAACAACAAAAAAACAATGGGAGGTATTAAAACTTGGCAGTAGAATGCTCAGCTAGTGTGTGCAAAGTCCTCCCTTCAACTCTAGTCCTGGGGATCTGACACCCTCCTCTGACCTCTGTAGCACCAACACATATAAACAGAAACACAAACACACACATGTAAATAATTTTTTAAAAAGTTATTATATTATAAGGGCTGGGTGTGATAAGACATGCTTTTCCTAGCACTCAGAAGGTAGAGGTAGGCTTCTTTCTCTGAGTTCCAGGCCAGCCAGAACTACATAGCTAGTTCTAGACTAACCAGGGCTACATAGTGAAAAATTAAAGACTTTAGTTATAGAAGTTCCCTGACAGTATAAAATGACCATAATTATTTCATTTGTTATTTAAAAAAAAAAAATGAGAAAACCGGGCGCTGGTGGTGCAAACATTTAATCCCAGCACTAGAGAGGAAGAAGCAGGTGGATATCTGTGAGTTCCAGGCCAGGCTCCAAAGCTGCACAGAGAAACCCTATGGGGGGGGGGGGATTAGAAAGAGAAAGCCCTGAGGAGCAGAGGCAGGAGGATTGTTGGATGGTTAAGGCCAGCCTTGGCTATAGTATAAGACCCTGTAACACATAACAAATATAAAAATATGATAAAGATTCATGTTTTTATGTCAGATAATATATATGCATATTCTTATATTCACATACAACACTAAATGTTCACTTTTCTTTATTGCAAACTTGTTACTTAGTATCTACTTATTACTTTTCTTACCTCTTGTGTTAATTTTGGTATGGACCTCAAGCTGGGGGTCACTTGAAACCATACAAGGCCACCAAGGATAGGTTCCCACCTTGGACCAAACAAGATCACCAACCTGGAACTTAACACCAGTGGATGCTTCTGTTGTTGGAACAGAAGACAGTATTGGCTGAACCTACAGGAAAAGGTTACAAAACTCCATCAGAAGAGAAAGAAAGAGGGGTGAAGGGAATGAAAGGAAAGTTAGTGGAGGCAGGGAGAGGGAGGGGAAGGAGGGCGGATAAAGAGACGGGAAAGAGAGAAGAGGAGGAAGAAAACTATGCATAAAGCACATCCAACGTGCTCACAGGGGCTGGGGAGATGGCTCAGTGGGTAAAGTGCTTGTCACTCTAGCATGAGAAACTGAGACAGAATACCCAGAACCCAATCAAAGCAGATGTGCTGACATGCATCCATAATCCCAGTGTTCCTTAGGAGATAAAGGTGGAGAAAGAATACTCCAGAAGCTCAGGAGCCAGGCACCCTGGCAAACATGGGGACAAACAAAGGTCCGCAACAAGGCAGAAGAAGGCCAAGGGCTATCCTCTGACCTCCAAGCTGTAAACTATGGCACACACACAACCATACTCACACACATGAACACAAAGTGCCTACAATTCAAAAAGTATCTTCAGTTATAGTCTTCTCTGATATCTGTGATCTATAACAAGCAAAAAAAGAATGAAGGAAAAATACTAACCCATCCCAAATCCTAAAACAGAACTACTGGTTTCTGTTGCCAAACTAATGATGGAGAATTTCGAGAGTCCAATGAAAACAAAATGATCATGGTTTTTAATAAGGAAAGTAATTTGTATAAATTTAGAACACATCTGTTCCTAAAAAGCTCCAAGGGTTTCCCCATGCCCTTTCTGACATAAAGGAGTTATAACAGTGCACTTTCAAGAACTGTCACTGTACTGTCACCTCCTTTGCAGTTGTTCAAACTTCATTTCTTTTACTTCATGTATATGAATAACTTGCCTGTATATAAACAACATATGCATATGTGTAACATATGTGGTTAATGCCTCCAAGGATCAGAAGAGAGTGTTGGATCCCCTAGAACTGGAGCCACTATGTGGGTGCTAGGAACTGAACCTGGGTCCTTTGGCATAGCAACCAGAGCTCGTAACTGCTAAGCCATCTCGCCAGCCCTGTCATCTTTCTCTGACATCATACCTGGTCACTGTATTCAATTAGCCACTCACCGGGACGGCCTCTCTGAGCACTGGCTCTTCTCTTGGTTTTTCCGGTGCAGTGTCCACCCTCTCGTTTGGTCTCTAGGCAGAAAAATGTAGGGGACAGAATAAAGAGGCAGTGAACCAGGAACTGTGCTGTATGAAAAGAATCAAAGAAAACTGAACGGTAAAGAACATGAGGACGCACAGTACTGAGAGTGGGGAGGAGGTCATCTATGCAGTACATGACGCCAATATTCACTCTCCATTCTAAACAAGTTAGGAGTCTTATCTTTTCCTTTATCACTGAAACAGCACTGTTCTGAGCAAACTGGCTTCTTCCTTTCTTAAAACTGTGTTTCTTTCCCCACCTACCCCACCCTAGTTGCTCTCTGTGATGTGTGTGCAGAGGTCAGAAGACACTTGGGAGTCCATTCTCTCCTTCCACCTTTACGTGGCTTCCAGGAACTGGTCACAGGTCACCAGGCTTACTTTACTCAGAAAGCTCCTTTATCCACAGCTCGCCAGCCCAGGTTTCTTTTCTAACATTAGCAGACTGAAGGAAAGCAGGACACTGAAACTGCTCACAAGGTCTAACCTGGAAGTTTGCTGGGAGGAACTTTGGTAATGTGTACAGAGGCCTTACATTTTCAGACCCTTGTCCAGGTCATTTTCTAGAATTGTTTCTGAGGAGGCACTGAGGAGGAAAACTCTTATGTGTAAAGATCTGCAAAGCATCCTGCTGTAAGGAGTATGGTTTTTCCGCCCGCCGCTGGTCTGGTCCTGCTGCCGTGGCAGCCCCAATTAACACACAGAGACTCTGTATTAGATATAATTCTGTTGGCCAGTTACTTGTTTCTTATAGGCTAGCTCTGTCTTAAGTATTGGGGAGCCGGCTGGTATTCTGCTTTCTCCTGACTCTCCATCTTGGCTCCTCCTTCCTCCTTGTCTCCTAGTCCCGCCTATCTTGCTTTCCTATTGGCCAACAGTGCTTTAGTCATTAACCAGTATGAGAAACATATAAAGAATGACATCTCCCATCATCTCCTCTTTTCTGTCTAAAATAAAAAGAAGGGTTTTAACCTTAGCATAGCAAAATATATAACACAACAGTTATCAAATAAGAATCACAGTTAACAATATTTAGTCCATTAACATTTAGCAAGATTAAAAGAAACTATTCTATCATCTATCCTATATTTGTGAGTCTAAAGTCATATATGTAAATTATCTTTAAGCTTAACTAAGGAAAACTATAACCATAACTATCTGTCTTCAACTCCATTAAAGACCACAGAAGGATAGTATATAAACTATAGAAATGACAGAGACAACTCATTGCCTGGTCACCCGAAGATTGCCTGGTCACCCGAAGAAGAATGAGACTCTTAATCTCAGGGTCGTGGGTTCGAGCCCCACGTTGGGCGCCATATGTAAGGAGTACAGTTTTTCCGCCCGCCGCTGGTCTGGTCCCGCCGCCGCGGCAGCCCCAATTAACACACAGAGATTCTGTATTAGATATAATTCTGTCGGCCAGTTACTTGTTTCTTATAGGCTAGCTCTGTCTTAAGTATTAACCCATTTTTGCTGATCTATGTATTTTTCTTACCGGGGAGCCGGCCGGCATTCTGCTTTCTCCCGACTCTCCATCTTGGCTCCTCCTTCCTATTTCCTCCTTGTCTCCTAGTCCCGCCTATCTTGCTTTCCTATTGGCCAACAGTGCTTTATTCATTAACCAGTATGAGAAACATACAGAATGACATCTCCCATCATCCTGCTTATAAAAGCAACATGAGACAACGTCAACAGGGTTGGAGACAGTTCAGCAGTGAGGAGTACCTGCAGTTCCCAGCACCCAAATCTGCTCACAACTGCCTATAACTCCAGCTCCAGGAGCCAAGGCTGTTCACCTCGAAAGGCACTCATGCACATGCCCGCAGAGACACACACACAAGCAAAATTCAATAAATAAGTCTTTGTAAAAATGTACTTATATAAAAATAAAATTGGTTAAATTATGGTATAAAGGCAACATATTCATTATCTATCTTCCTATATATACATTATATACCTGCCACATGAAAGCAGAAGATGGGTATTTGTTGGGAGGAAGGGGACTAGCAAGACAGGTGGGGTGTCAGGGAAGGGTGGTGTTACTTATGCAAGTATGAGTGAGGAATGACACATGAAAATGTCATAATGCAACCTATTATTTTATACATTAACTAAGATATTAATTTAAAATAATGGAATCTAAGCATTCAATTATATTACTTATTAGATCATGATCATCAGAAATACATTCTTTATTCAAGTGAACTTTGGAAGACTTCTTTGGTTAGAAGCAGCGGCTGCTTAGATGACCTGGGCTCGGTTCCCAGAACCCACATAGAGGCTTAAGAGCATCCACAACTCCAGTTCCAGGGGATTCGATGCCTTTTCTGACCTCTAGAAGCACCAAGCATGCACATGGTACACACACATACATGCAGGCAAAACACTCATAAACATAAAAATATTTCAATAAATAAAAATTTTCTGAAATCGTGAACTTTTGACTAGCAGGATGGTAAAGGCACTTGCCACCATGCCTGACAACCTAAGCTCAATTCCTGGGACCCGTACGATGGAGAAGAAGCTTGACTCCTTCAGGCTATTCACTGTCTTCACTTGCACATCAAGGCGTGCACACGTACACGCATGCACACAGGTAACTTCAAAAGTCAATGTCTAAGTTGGGTCTAGTGCTGTGCACCTGTAATACCAGATACCTGGGAGCTAAAGCTTGAGCTGAGGCCAGCAGAGTAACAGAATTTTCATATTAAAAAACGGGGTGGCAGTATAGAACTGACTAGCAAAAGCTGTACTCTGATCCCCCCCTACACATACATACGTATTGATAAATAAATTAGATATGTAGTCCTATAGTAGAGTGCTTGTCAGAGCACATATGAGATGCTGGGTTCATTTTCTAAAGGCTAAAAGGAAGCACAGCAATTTGGAACTAGCAACCAAAGTCTAAAAATGTTTACTCTTCAATTCAGAAATTACATTACAGGAACAAATCCTACAGGAATACAAAAAAGAAGAAATTTAACCAGAGGGATGAGAATTATAGTATTAATACATAGCTATAATCCATATATCTATCAACACCTTCAAACTTTTTACTAAAAAAAAAAATCAAAATTAATGTGTACCTTGAAAAGATCTGACACAACATAAGACAAGCATATGACAGTAATCTGTTTTGAAAATGAGATTAGAGAAATGTTAAAAGAAAACCTGTATTTTTGTATTGTTTCCATTTTCTGTAAAAAGTAAATTTTCTCAGGAGGCAGAGGCAGACCACCCAGGGTTAATCAGACTATGCCTTAAAAACAAATAGATGGGTGGGTAAATAAATAAATAAATCTATGAAGTAAAAGGATTATTTTTATTTGTTTGTTTTGGTCTCTTGCTGTCTTGGAACTCACTATGTAGACCAGGCTGCTCTCAAACTCACAGAGGACCAATCGCCTCTGCATCCCAAGTGCTGGGATTAAAGAACTGTACTACCATGCCTGGCAAAAGATCTTTCTTTTTCTTTTTTTAAAATTTCTTTTCAGAGTTAGATAAAATTCAGAATGCTTAAATAAGGTCCTATGCGTATAAACTGCTGTGGCTCTGACCTCAAGTCCTCTCTGAGAAAGGTTACAATCTGAGACTCAAAGGAAAAGGAGATGGCTTAGTAAAAAGTAGAGAAAAACAACAGGAAGAAGCAAGCAGGTGCAGTAGTTTGAACAGGAGCAGCTCCCATAGACTGTGCTTGAATGCTTGCTTTCCAGTTGGTGAACCTTCTGAGGAGGATTAGGAGTAGGAGTGACCTTGCTGGAGGAAGTGTTTGGCTAAGGGTGGGCTTTGAGGCCCAGTGTCTCTGCCTGCTGCCTGCTGACGCAACGCTTTCCTAGCACCATCTTGTCTGCTTCCAGCCATGTTGATATGGACTAATTCTCTGAAACTGTATGCAAGCCCCCAATTAAATGCAGGGGGAGTTCCAGACAGGGTTTCTGAGCACTAAGATTAAAGATGTGTACCTTTAAGGCCACTGCCCTGGCTCTGAAAGGCCTGTTTTAAGAATATACCCTTTTGGAGCTGGAGAGATGGCTCAGTAGTTAGAGCACTGGGAGCTCTTCTGGGGTTCAACAGCCTTTTCTGTTCTCTGCAGGTACCAGGCAGAAAGATAACACAGACATACATATAGGCCAAAAACCTATGCACATTAACATAATTAACTAATTAGTTAATTTCTTTTTTTTTTTTTTTAAGTCACACCTACTGATCCATTGAACAAGAAAAAGAGAGGCTAAAAGATGAGAATGGAAGAGCAGGCTAGACTGCAAGAGCCTTGTAAACCATGACAAAGTGTTTTATTTCATCTTAAGTACAATGAAAAGCACTGAAGAGACTCAGGCAGACAAGTAATAAGTCATTTTGTAAAGATGCTGTTGGCTGCCATGTAGAAAGCATCTGGAGAGGAAGCAGGGGAAGCTGAGTGTACAAGGCAGAGGGACTGCTGAAGGCACTAGCCCTGCTAGATGCTTCTCTGATGCTGCCATGAGCATGCAAGGAGCAAAATGAGGACAGATCGCACACACCTTTATTCCCAGCACTCTGGAGGCAGAGGGGAGGATCTCTGTGAGTTTGAGGCTAGCCTGGTCTACAAAGCAAGTTCTAGGACAGCCAGGGCTACACTGAGAAACCCTGTCTCAAAAAAAACTCAGAATTGCTCCCTGATCTAATAATTCTACTTCTAGTTGTACTCTCAAATAGAAAGCAGAATCTCAGAAAGCTGTGTCTACAGCTATGTTTATATCAGCATTACTCCAAATAGCTAAAACATGGAATCACACACATACACACACACACCCCAAGTACATAAGTAAATAAGTAAAATATGTTCTAACAATATTAGCTAAATATATTTCAAGATACAAGCAAAATCTTATTCCCCAAAAGAACAAAATACTAATGTTCATATTAACGATGAGAAAAAAAGAGGCTGGACAGATGGCCAAGTTGACAGGATAACTTACTGTGCAAACATAAGAACCTTAGATTATAGCCAAGCATTTACATAAAAAACAGCCAAGCATGGCACACCTGTAACCTCAACACTGTGAGGAATGGAGACAAGAGAACTACTGAGGCTTGCTGCCAACAACGGCTCCAGGCTCAACGAGAACCTATCCCTAGGGAACAAGATAAAGCGTGATAAAGTGGGAGACCCAAAGCTCCTTGAGCCTCCTATAGCCCTACATGCATCACACAGGCACGTGCATTTGCACAGACATGTGCATATGCTGCACACAAACCATACACACATATACACACACACAAAGGGAAAAATTTATAGGAGATGAAGTATGCCTTTTTTTACCCTCTGAGTAACAAAGTTTACGCTGTTATTGTTTAAGTTGTACAAGAAGAACATTTTGTATGTGAACATTTTTCAAGAGCAATGGGGCATTTACTAATGATCCCCACCTCACTCTTCTCCCATCACCACAGACTCCCCATCCTGTCTTGAACTTACTCTGTAAATGTTCCTTCCTGAAGGTTAAGTGCTTGTGGCTTTAGACATGCTCTACCATACATGGCTCCTAAATTCTAGTAAAGCAGAATGCAAGTTCAAGAACAAAGCAGACCGTTTTGCTTCTAATGGCTCCCAGCTCTTTTTCCATTAGGGGTTTTCATGTACTTTTTGTTTGTGTTGGGTTTTTTGTTATTCTGTTAGACTTTTGAGACAGGGTCTCATGTAGCCCAGGTTAGCTTACTATATAGCCAAAGATAACTCTTAACTCGTGATCCTCCTGCTTCTACTTCCCAAATGCTACACGCATGTACCATTATGACGTTTTTAACAAACTTTATCGCAAAAGTATAGCCTAATAAACATGGCTGAATATTATCCTACTTGCCAGAATCTATAGCAAAAGACAGTCCAGCACAGCAGTTCTTAGGAACTAATAAGCTAAAAGCCAAATCCAGATCTTCTCAATTTTTGTGACTCTCCAAAGCCATTGTGTACCCATCTCTCTTCACTATAGGTCTTGGCAAGATGTTACAATGGGGCTGGGAATGTTGCTTAGTGGTACAGCACGTACCTACTATGTGCAAAGTTAGAGTAAAGAAATGCTATATTGAGTGTGTCTGGAGTGTACAATTAACTTCTATCCTCCCATTTATTAATTTACTCCACAGAAAGTCAATATAAGACATATGGAAGGTAGTTCTGTGTGGGATATTTGTTAAATGACATCAAGGGAGTTGGAGAGATGGCTCAGTGGTTCAGTGGTTAAGAACATATGCTGTTCTCCCACAGAACCCACATTCAACTTCCAACAACCACAGCAAGTGCCTCACAACAGCCTGTAACTCTATTGTTTGTTTGTTTGTTTGTTTGTTTTTCAAGTCAGGGTTTCTCTGTAGTTTTGGAGCCTGTCCTGAAACTTACTTTGTAGACCAGGCTGACCTCAAACTCACAGAGATCCACCTGCCTCTGCCTCCTGAGGGCTGAGAATAAAGGAGCAGCACCTTCTTCCCCAAGTCATCCTCTGACCTCCATGCATGCAGTATGACACACATGTGCACATGTTTTAAAAACAGCATTTTAGAGAGCACTTCATTGTATGCTAACTTTAAAAGCCAATGGAAGAGAAAGGAAAGGGAGGGGACTGAAGAGATGGCAGCTCTTAGGGGACCTGGGTTCCATTTCCAGCACCCACGTGGTGGTTTGTTATTGTAACTTCAGTTCTAGGGAATGCAATGTCCAGTCTCTCTCCACAGGGACTGCATGCACATGACACATAGACACACACGCAGGCAAACACCCACACATTTCTTTTCAATCTAGAGTCTTCATTCTACGACACCAGGGTTACTGAGTATCTCTGACTGTTCTTAATCACTCAATTCTATTTCTTTCATAGCATGTGACACCCTTTAAACCTTTGTGTGTGGTGTGTACATACATTCATACATACGCGCATATGAATGAACTGGGAAATAAGCACCCATGGGCAGGCGTCTTTTGCTTTACTTTCACTCACACCTTCAATTCTTAGAACAATGTCAGACACATGACATTCAATCAACAAGTGTTAAATGAATAAGAAAATGACAGAAAAATAGGAAAATATGTGAAATACCTACTGTGATCCTTACGGGGCAGGGGGAAGGGAGGAAATCAATCGCATTTGGGTCATATAAAATAGGATACAGCTACCCAAGAAATGTTCAATTAACAAGACGTAATCTTTCTTTGAAGAGTAAATTCACTTACTCAGATATATAAATATGAAAACAAATAACTGTCACAAAATAAGCATTTATTAGTTTCTTCCTAAATTTATACCTAGGAAACATCTGTAGTTTATATCACAACCTCTTCATTCAACTTAGCACTGATCTATTACATACTTACTATTATTATCTTATTGCCATGAAACTTCACAATCAAATCTCAAGACAGTAAAATAATCTACCAGAGCTGGCCATGGTGGTTCATGCCTTTGGATTAAAAACCAATAAATAAATAGATAGATAGGTAGATAAATAAATAATAGCAACAAAAATTCACCAGTACACATGGACTTTTATAAAAACTCTGCCTGGCTGGGCAGTGGTGGTACACACCTTTAATCCCAGCACTTGGGATCCAAGGCAGGTAGACCCCTGTGAGTTAGAGGCCAGCCTGATCTAAAGAATGAGTTGCTAGGACTGTTTCACAGAGAAACCTGTCTGGAAAAACCAAAAACTCTGCCTAAAGTCCTAATCAGCATATTTTAATAATCTGACTTTATTTTTTTTTTATTTTTTTTTTTATTTTTGAGACAGAGTCTCACTATGTCATCCTGGCTGGCCTGGAACTGGCTATGTAGACCAGGATCACCTCAAATTCACATAGATCTAGTGATCAGCATCTGTTTCCACTTCCCCCTCGCAACCCCTGGGGAATGTCCTGACTGTAAATAGCTTTCCCTCCAACTTTTGCTTAGTTAGCAGCAAAGGGTTCTAGAACAGCCAGGGCTACACAGAGAAACCTTATCCAATAAAAAAAGAAAGAGAGAGAGAGAGAGAAGGAGGGAGGGAGAGAGAGAACAAGATTCTTCATGCCAAACACTTTTAAAATATCTCTTCATTAATAATGTCCATTATACTCACCGAACATTTATTCATTAATTATATTTCCAAATACCCTGCTAATGATTACAGGAAAGAACTCACCAGAAATATACTTGAAGAAAAAAAAACAGACATAAAAAGATTTCAAATTTCCAGTAAGCATAAAAGATTACAAAACTTTACACAAAATGTTTCAACTTACATTTTGTCCCTCTGATTCTAATTTGGGGATTTTGTGTGACTTGCGCTCTTCAGACCTGGATGCCTCGTGCTTGTTGCTTTTTTTCCTTTTTTCCTTTCTGCTTTCATGCTTTGATTTCATGTGCCCACTTGCCTGGACTTCATTTAAAAGGTCTCCACAAAGGGAGGACTCAAACAATTCCCTGCCATTCTGGATAGTTTTGGTTATTTTTAGTTTAATCTCAGGTGAGCCCGTCTTCTTTGGAATTACAGTTTGTGGTACCGAAGGAGGAGGTGGTGGCTGTGGAGAAGGTTTTTCCAGGATTTCATGTGGTCTTGTGTTTGGAATTTCTGAATGGTAATAGTCAGTGGGGCTAAAGTTTCTAACTGCACCAAAACCGTTGGCTGACCCATTGGGATACTGATTATATGGCGGGTATTTGGTTTGAGTTTCATACAAGCTGATCGATGGTGGGTAGCCATTTGTGAGTGGAGGAAGGTCTTCTGTTGTGGGTGGATACTGAAAACCTTGTTGCAAAGTAGCTTCAAAGGGTGTCTGGCCACCATCTTCAACAATGTCACTGTTGTTATCAAAGGCATCCTCCTGGCGGATGTTGGCGGAGTCAATGAGTTGAGGTGGTTGCTGAATTGTGTTTCCCATGATCCCTTGCATGAAAGAGAAGGAGAAATCCATTGTTCTGCTCCAGCATCCTTAACTTTCCCTTTCTCTCACCGAGCCTAAAAGTAGAAGATTAAAAAGTATTAGAATTCTAATAGGCAAGAAGACAACCAATTGATAAGTGTTTTAAACCTAATTTTCAAATTCAGATATGCAGACATTAAGCGTACATATTTGTAAAATAAAACAAATAGGATCTACTATGGAGCCCAGGCTGTCCTTAAATTGGGAGCCTCCTCACTCATCCTCCCAGGTACTGGGATTGTAGGAACACACCATCACACCCAGCAAAAATCCAGGTTACTTTCATAATAATTTTAGCATGTGGAAGTAATTTTCATACTTACATACCCCCTATTTTTTGTTCGTTTTTTTGTTTGTTTGCTTGTTTGAAACAGGGTTTCTCTGTGTAGCTCTGGCTGTTCTGGAACTAGCTCTGTAGACCAGGCTGGCCTTGACCTCAGAGATCTGCCTGCCTCTGCTTCCTAGTGCTGGTTATACTTCAGTCTTTAAATTTAGTATATGGACATGTCTACAGAAAACTTCTGGAGGCAGAGTCTCACTATGTGGCCTAAGTTGTCCTCAAACTCATGGATATTGGGATTATAGGCATGTACTACCATATACAGCTTTCAAATGTTTCCTTCAGCAGGGTACACTATCAGATGCCTGTCATCCCAAGTTTGAGGAGGTGGAGATAGAAGGATCTTGAGTTGGAGGACAAACTGAGCTATATTTAAGGAGACTCTGTCTCATAGAAGGGAAAACAAAACAAAAGACTTCAAATTATAAATCTGTGCATTTATCTATTCATACAGGGCAGATTTAAAAACTGTATCTAACTGCAAACTATTCTACTGACCATATCATGTCAATTTATAATCATATTAATAGTGTGTAATGATAGAGTGTAATTCTCTACTCTTGGCCATTATCTAGTTGTTTTAAAAGTGGTGTATACAGGATATTCATTATAAATGCACAGCCAGTGACCCACTCTTGAAGGCTCCAGTTTAATAAAGTCTCTGTGTGGTGTGTGTGGAGGGGGTGTCAGAGCATAAGTGTTTTAAGATCACATCCAACTGATTCTTGAGGCAAGTCCTTTGTTAGATCACTGCAGTTAACCACTATATTTATTATACAAATATGCAATGTGTCTACAAGGTATCTGAACATGCCTACTAGGTAAATGTTATAATATAGACAGTTATCTGCAACAAGACCACCCTGTCTTGTCAGAAGGTTGGACAAGACCACATCCAAGATAAAGGATTAATGAATAGTCCATATATTACTTCTACATTTTCATCTACAGAGCAAACAGGTTTTTATTACTATATTGACTCTGATGAGCTGATTTTAGCTATTTGAAGTATTCTGAAGACTTCTGATGTTAGTACTCAGGCATCAGTATTGGCCTGTCCTTGGGGTTCTGACAGGATACAACCTCAGCTGTAGCCACTAAAAGCATCACCTGTAAATATTCACTGTGTGCCCTTTTACAAGGGCCCTGCTCACCTCCCATCCTCTCTTTCTTTCTCTCCCTCTCTCTGTTCTGCTGTCTCTACTCTCTCTTGCTGCTCCTATCTCCAGAGGCCAGTTCCCCCCTCCCAGCTCCCTTTTTATAATCCCTTTCCCTAATGAAAAAACAAAAAAACAAAAACAGAAACAAAAAACCCTCTGCTTGAACCCTGTCTCATGGCATCTTTCTCTCACATGCTGCTTTTCCTAAATTATCACATCTGAGGCATAAAGACCAGTTCAATTCTATGATTAATTAACAGTGTTTATCATCTTAGTTTGAGTAGTGTCTAGTACTGAAATTGTGTTTCCCATGATCCCTTGCATGAAAGAGAATGAGAAATCCAAATAGCAAATCAGAAAGGAAAAAAAAAAAAAAAAAAAAAAAAAAAAAAACCTAACAATATACCTTGTTGCACTGTAAGCAAGCAAATAACTGGAGACTTTTTAAAATTGCAAACAAAAATAAAAAGGCAAATGATGGCCAGGTATGGTGGAACACACCTTTAATCCTAGCACTTGGAGAAGCAGAGGCAGGCAGATCTCTTTAAATTCAAGGCCAGCCTAGTCTACACAGTGAATTCCAGGGCAGCCAGAGCTATTTACGGAGACCATCTATAAATAAAAAAGAACAAAAAACAAAGAAATGCGTAGGACTACTAAATCCAACTCCCAGAATTGCTCTCCACTGAGGCAACAGATGGTAAGTAGTGAAGAACATTCTTACTTTCTATCTCCTCTGGGCCAGGTACCTTCATATGTTACCTCATTCACCCCTCATGACAACCCGATAGGTAGTTAGGTATTGTGATTCCCATACAAGAATGGGAAGGTCTGAGGGAGGGGTTAAGTCGAGTGCCTAAACCACAAAGCAAAGGGTAGCACTGGACTGCTTAAGGACAGGCTCATGTGCCTCTAAAGCCCATGGTCTTTAGCACTATACTATCTCCTCCTTCAAGCTATCAGTTTCTAGAGAATTCATTCTTTTTGTTCATGTATTTTATTCCTGGACAACTGTCAAAACAGCAACTCTTCGAATAACTACTTCTAATGTTTAAACAGTGCTGTATATAAAGTTCAACATGAAAGCCTCCCAGTAACCTTTCCCCAGATTTTATCTCTTATGACAGATGGAGAAGTAGGGGCAGAGAGAATTAAGACAAGTAAACACAACTCCACCAACTGACTGTTAAGCATCAACTCAGCTGGCTCCAGATTTGTGCCCCTAGGTAGCACACTCCATTCACTGACAGCACTGAGAAATATTAGGAGTAATGTCTTAGGATATCGAGCAAGCATAGAGACCTTTCTACAATCTGACCCTTGATAAAAAACATATAGCTCACAAAAACAGACAGAAGATTTTCTCCTAGTTGGCTGCAGCTGTCAACTCGGACAGAGCCCTGAGTTATTGGGGAATATTATTGGGGGACTGCCTCCATCAGACTAGCCTATGGGCATGTCTGTGGGCATTTTCTTGATGGCTAACTGATACAGGAAGGCCCAGCCCACTCTGGACAGTACCATTACTAGGCAGCAGACCCTGTGCTACTTAAGAAAGCTAACTGAGGAGCAAGCATATCAGTAAGCAGCATTCCTCATGGTTCCTGCTCAACTTCCCTTCCCTCAATGATGGACATGACCTGGAAGTATAAGATGAAACAAGTTTCCTCCCCGACTCCTCCCGCCCCAGCCAAGCTGCCTTTGGTCACAGTTTTTATCACAGTAACAGAAGAGTAATCTAGAAAGGACAACTTCTGACTCTGTTACCACACACAAAGTACCACACAGATGGCAATAAAAACTTTCCATTGATACTTCAACTTAAAGGCATGTTAAATATTCACATCCAACAAGATGCAACCTGTATTTTTAGTTATGATCACTGTCATAGATGACATAAGCTTCCAAATGAGTCTCCCAAATCAGCCAAAGAGTCTTCAGATACATATGTTAAGACTCAAATTTCTATGCTTTTCCCTAATACCAAACAAAAGCTACTGAGAATTTTGACTTTTTTTCTTGTTTTCCCTGCTCTATCCCTAACTACAAATATTTTTGTTCTAGTTTGAAATGAGAAGTGGCATGACCATTATAAATGCATTGGAAGTTGCAATGACAAGAGTATTTTTTTTTAAAGTACTGAGAGTGCTAGGGATTACACCCAAGACCTTGCTTGTGTACCCTTTGCTCTACTACTGAGCTACATTCCTAGTAGAAGTATACTATAGTATATGTTGTTTAAGTATTCCTAGTACTGTTTTTAAAGTGTGCGTGTGTGTGTGTGTGTGTGTGTGTGTGTGTGTGTGTGTGTGTGTGTGTGTACACGCACGCCTCATATGCATACATGTGATTCAAGTGTCCATAGAGGCTTGTAGATCCCCTGGAACTGAAATTACAAGGGGGCTGTGAGCTGTCCAAGATGGGTGCTGGGATCCAATCTTGGATCCTCCACAAGAGCAGTCAGTGCTCTTAACCTCTCAGCCATCTCTCCAGCCCCCAATGTGCATTCTCACTTCATAGGCAAAACAACCCTGGAAGGCTGCCAAAGCAGATGTGCATTAGCTCCACTTACTAGATAACTACACTAAATACCGGAGATGTAGATTTTCTCAGGACCACAAAGCTAATTAGTGATTTGGCTTGAAGACTAGATTTCCTGCTTTCTAATCTTGTGTTCTTTTTCACAGTATCTTTGCCAGAGAGAAAATGATACCATAAGGACAACCATACTTTAACCTCAGGAGTCACACATTCAGGACCAAAAGCAGGCCTCTCCCTATTCAACTTTGCTTCCCTATCATTTTTTCATGGCTTCTGTCCTTTTTTAGCTTCCCATATTACAAATCACAGAATCATAAGTGACTTACTCTTCCTTCCCTGTTAAATCACAAAACTAGTTTGAACACATCCTATAGTTTCTTCTTTAAGTTTTGTTGTCTGAGACAGGACCTCCCTATGCTGCCCTGGATAGCCTGGAACTTGCAATGTAGCCTAGGCTGGCCTTGAACTCAGATATCTACCTGTCTCTGCCTCCTGAGTACCATGTCTGGCAGTTTCGTTTAAAATCTGATTTATTCTTTGACTTATAATTTCAAAACACAAACCATCCATCCCTCAGCACCTTATCCTTGACTATGATCATTGACTTTCCTAGATACTGCTTTTATTTTGTTTTTAATGTGGCCCAAGATGACCTGGACTGAACTCATGGCGACCTTCCTGTCTCAGCCTCCCAAACGCTGAGACTACAGGCAACAGTTACCACACCTGGCTATCTGGATACGTCTCGCCTCTACCTTTTCTTCACAGCAGTTAGAAAATAGTTCTTGAAACCAGACTTCTGTAAGTCTAATTCCAAACATAGAAGCACTACACAGCTTCATAAATTAGCAAATCTCCTCCAGGTCTTTCAAGGGATTCTATAACCTTTTGCTCATCAATCCAAATAACATGTGCTTGAAACACTTTTCTGAGCATCTACAGAGACAAAATTGTAGACTCAGTCTCACATTATACTTAACTCTATGAAGCAAAT